GCCAGGAACATGATAAAATCTGGAGAAGTATATCTGGCCAGATTTTATATAGCCTTATATATCGACGATATATATCGAATATATCACATGTAAGTCAATGAGAGGCAGTATAGCGATATATATCGCTATACAACGATATAGCCATTCCTGCACCATTCTCGCTTGTTGCTAGTGCACCGCAGGAGTTCCACTGCAATAAACTGTGGTATCTTTCAAAAGAATTATGTGAGTGTAGGTGACTTTGATAACCTATTTTTGTTGAACAAACATGAGCATGTAATTTGAACTGCATGGCTTATTTTTCTTTTAGTGACATCTGGGGCGAAACCTCTTTAAAATATTACGCAATAATTCACTAACAATGCAGGCATACAGAAATACAGTCTTAATGTATATTAATTATCACTTTGTGTCTTGTTTTTATTTTATGTGATGATTAAATAGGTTTGAATTAGTTTAATTACCTAGGTGTCTGTAGGCAATTACCTTCTTTAAAATGGCCTATAATTGTCCATGCATGACACATAATTATCCCATCGAACAAAGTTCGGAGGGATATAGGGAACGCCTCCGTCCGTCCGTCCGTACGTCCGTCCGTCCGGGCTATAACTCAAATACCGTTGGCCCGATTTTGTTCATATTTTGTACACATATACCCTATGGGAGTAGAAGTTCTGCTCGAAAGCCGATTTTTAAAATGGCCGCTCATTTCAAAATGGCGGCCATTTTAGTGCCGATTTTACAGTAATTTAGGTGCAATATGTAAAACTGTAATAGCAATATGTTTTAAATGTAAAATAATTATAAAGGACATTAATAAAGCTACAAATGTAGATATAAAAGCACATGGCAGCCATCTTGAAAAATGGCGGCCTTTACTCGTTGTTTTACGATTTTTGCCATAGGCAAAGGTCGATAGAAATATTAATTTTAAATAAAGATGGCATGGTAATCGATCTGTGTTTATCTATGTTTCTCTTTATAGAGAAAAGATAATACTTGACTTCTTTTCGTGCTGCCATCTTTATATCGGCCCAGAACCTATGATTTTTGCTGTAACTCGAAAAGTAGTGGAGCGATTTTGTTCATATTTGGTATGTGAATACTATAAACATTGCACACTGTCTAAAGACACTTTTGGTAGAAGGCGGCCATTTTGAAAAATGGCCACCATGTTAACGTATTTTACTATAACTAGAAAAGTAGTGGAGCGATTTTGTTCATATTTGGTATGTGAATACTATAAGCATGGCACACTGTCCTATGACACTTTTGGTAGAAGGCAGCCATTTTGAAATTTTTTTTGAAAAATGGCCGCCATTTTAACGTATTTTATTATATCTCGAAAAGTAGTTAAGGGATTTTGTTCATATTTGGTATGTGAATACTATAAGCATGGCACACTGTCTAATGACACTTTTGGTAGAAAGGTGGCCATTTTGAAAAATGGCCGCCATTTTAACGTATTTTACTATAACTCGAAAAGTAGTGAAGCCATTTTGTTTATATTTGGTATGTGAATACTAAAAGCATGGCACACTGTCTAATGACACTTTTTGTAGAAGGTGCCCATTTTAACGTATTTTACTATAACTTGAAAAGTAGTTCAGCGATTTTGTTCATATTTGGTATGTTTCATTTTTTATATGTGAATACTATAAGCATGGCACACTGTCTAATGACACTTTGGGTAGTAGGCGGCCATTTTGAAAAATAGCCACCATTTTTAAGTTTTTTTACTATAACTTGAAAAGTAGTGAAGCGATTTTGTTCATATTTGATATGTGAATACTCATGAGCCTTGCACACTGTCTCATGACACTTCAGATAGTAGGCGGCCATTTTAAAAAATGGCTGTCATTTTTACACTTTTCACTATAACTCGAAAAGTAGTGGAGCGATTTTTTGTTCATATTTGATATGTGAATACTCTAAGCATGGCACATTTCTAATAAAACTTTGGAGAGTCAAAATGGCCACCATTTTTATGTGTGTTATTTTACAAGTACATGTGTGCGATTTTTCAAAAATTTTATAGGTGGCTACTTAAAAGCGTATTATTTCTTCTGATGACAACTTGGCTAGTGAGCAACCATTTTGAAAATGGTGACCTTTCTGGTGTGTTGTTTTATGATATTTGCTATATATTTCGTTTGTAAAAATGCCAGCCATTTCTGTTCGATGGGATTCGCTACGCTTTGGCGTTGCCGTTGTTCTGGTTCTAATTTTGCCAGTGTACTAAAGATTGCGACATGTGTGTTGATATCCACGACATTTAATGTACCCTCTGTATCAAAAGTCTTTTCCTATTAAGGAAAACCTCAAATAATTTTTGTAAATGGCAAGTAAACTTAATGAAACTTTTCACACATACTTTAAGGCATATAATACACACTATCCGGAAATTAATTAAGACAATTGATTAATTTTTACATACAGAACATAGCATATACCAAAAACACCGATGTGACTTTTTCCAAGTTTGTGACGTCAAACTTACTCAAGATTGCCAAACTGACCAAAGTCTGGCTGCTCTGTAAAACTAAGCGGACAAAGGTATTTATAATTTGTATATAAAATGCTAATTTTGAGCAATCAGAATATGTTATAGACTTAAGAAATATAGACCGAAGAGCAGAGGTTATATTGTCGAATACACCCCGCAGGGCTATGCACAAATGTTCTCTGTACCCAGAACGACCGAAGGGAGTGAGGGGTTCAAAAGCCTTTGTGCCTAAGGTCTATACGTATTACGATTCGAACATGAAAACCCACCAAAATGTTCCGAATATTCATTATGGTCCGCCATTACTACGACCTGCCGTTATGACGTCACACATTACCCGTATTACCAGGGGTATTCTTCGCGAATACACCCCGGTGAAATGTTGAATACACAGTCATGTTCGAATCTATAATATAGACTCGGCGAGTCAGTTGCCATGTTGTTGATGTTTATAGACCAGTGATGTCACAAGTAAATCTCATCTTGCACGTGTGACTTTTAAGGATGAAAGATGGCAATATCTTGCATGGGGTAAAGATGGCTGTATCTTTGTTAGTCATATGAGAAAGCTGTATAATAACAATGCAAAAGCCCTTACACTTGTGTCTTAAAACAATGCTGCCTAAATGTTCATTGTTATGCAGTATTCCCTTAATTCTTACCCCTTTCCTGCCCAATGAAATCAATTAGTAAACTTTTGTGACAAATGTGTCAATTTGATTTTCTCATGCGTTTATCTTCTCAATATTCTTGATGTAATTTTTGTATTTAATTCAAATGAATCTATCATATTTTCATTTTATTGCAATAATTTTGAATAATAATGCATCGAACATTGATACATTAATGATAGCAGTGCTTATTGTGATGACATATATCTGAATTCCTCAAATAAATAGGGCTGTTTATGAAATGTATGGTGACATCCATTGTATATTAAATAACATATTTTGTTCATAATTAGCATTAACGACTTTTGTCTGCGTACTTTTACAGAGCAACCTGATTTAAAGTGATTTTGGTCAGTTTGGCTATCCGAGGTAAGTTTGACGTCACAAAATTGGAAAAAGTCACATCGGTGTTCTAGGTATATGCTATGTTCTAAATGTGATATTTTGAGAAAAAATTAATCAACTGTCTCCAAATTTACACAGAAGGTGTATTATATGCCTTAAATTATGTGTGAAAAGTCTCATCACGTTAACTTGCCATTTACAAAAGTTATTCGAGGTTTTCCTAAATAGGAAAAGACTTTTGATACAGAGGGTATGCTATTTTGTTGCCAACACAACGGGCACAGGTAATGGTGACCAGAGAAATGTTAAGAATTGTTTGATTTTTTTTAAAACAGCTTTAGTAATGAATTTTTGGAAAAAGGTTTTGTTTTTGCGGCTAATATGGACTATGAGTTCATATCATGTAATGTATAAATTGTGTCGATATTTTCTGACATGTTAATAAAATATTTATTCCATAGTTAGCATGATATTCATAGGATAACATGTCAAAATAAAAACGGTATTTTTGTAATCAGTGGTAAAATATGATATTTTTGAAAAATCTTCACTTAACCAAAGCATACGGTGTTTAACCCATGACATACGGCGCCGTATGCTATGAATTGTGGATATTTGTTACTTCAGACTCAAAACGAGGCTAAGTGTCAACATCGCCGGATCGTTTGGAAAATATGAATTAAATCACTTAATTTCCAACGATTCTGATGATGTCACTTTAACTATGGAATAAAAAGAACATCCTATTTTTACTCGTGATATGATTTTAATCCACTCATGGATATTGATATCCATTCGTGGATAAAAATCATATTACTCATATATCATAGGATATCCTCTATATCTACGACGTTTGATAATCAAATATTAGTATTCTCCGACACATGCTTAACACATGCATTTTGGAAATTAAATGTAATCAAGAATTTATATAACAATCATTTAAATACTTCTTTCAGTTAGATTAATTTCTAAAATAATCCTTCGAAATCAGATATGTGCATAGAGATATTTGAATTTTTGGAGGATACCAAATATATAATAGACAGCATAACTTAAATTCACAACAGAAATAACAATATTTTGTCTGATATTTTCGTTATATGTCATTTCATAGTTTTCAACAAATGATACAGCAACAATGTTAATTAAAGCAGTGAGTTGGAGGATACGAATATTTGACAAAAAATATATAAAGAGTAAAAGTAATTTCATTTCATGGGTAACACATATTTAATATTGCCATTTTGAGAAATAATCGCAAACATAATTCATTTAGCGGCTGTAAAATATCACCACAATCAATTTGCTTTATGTGCTGTAATTCGAGTTCAAGTATGACACAAAAATCCAAATTTTATTTTTTGTCAAAAATTCCATCATCTTCATATTGCATATTGCCTGAAACATTAACTTATCTTAGATTTGACATTATAACACATAGTGTAGTACTTTTATTGCTGTATTAAAATACTCACGAGTGAGGTTAACCTTAGTGCTTAATAGCAAAACTGCAATTGTCCAGCTCAAAGCAATCTTCATATTTGCGATCGCTAGCTACGTGTGCGTGTTTTTGTGTATAATATGGTTGGCCTATTAGTATAAAGAATGCATGCGTTGTTTACGGGTGTGTAGGCGTTAATTACGCTCGTGTAGATGTAAAATTACGCCCGTGCTGACGAAAAATTACGCCTGTGTAGGCGTAAATTACGCCCGTGAAGAAGTAAATTCTACGGGCGTTCAGAATACATTTACAGGCGTGAACTTACGGCGTTAAAATTATTAATTACGGGCGTTAAGACTGTTATTTTACACGCGCTGAGAAACATCTTCACGCCCGTGGAGTTTATTTTTAGCGCCGTAAATTATGAACCAATCAGAACCTTACTTACAAGATGATTTAATGCATCCTTGCTAAAAGAGCAACTCCGAGATACTTGCGCTAGTAAACAACAATCAGAAGCCTGCTTACATTTTAGTGTGTTGCATTGAGGTCCTTAAATATTCGTTCAAGATTGAACTAGATTTAACCAAAGAAGTATTCATTTTTTAGTAAATCATATTAAAAGGCAAATTGAAGAGACATGTACTGTGTTGGCAGTTATCAACACCCATTGTAGAAACGACAAAATTGCAGAATATTTTGAGAAGGTATACATGTTTGGTTTCTAAATACGATGATTTTTGGATAATTCTCCAATCTAGGCGTCGGCTTCAGAGGTAGGCTAGGCAGGGACCTATTAAGCTCACACGCATTGCAGCTTACAGTCTCATTATACAGTCAGAAAAAAAAAATACAGTCAGATCGCTAGTGTATCCCTCTAAAGGATGTGTCCAGATACTAGAATTATAGTATCTGATCAACTGCAAATTGACTCTAGACTATATCCTGCAGATCTGGCATTTTTTGAAAATGTACTGAAAATGTCAAATGAGCCTATATACCTAGTATACCTAGCCAACATATGTTCAAATTTGGTGTTAGGGAGATGTGTACACTCCCCTCCATAAGTTTGGCAACCTTTTTTCTCCATTGAATTACGTGTTAAAGCCTCTTTACGTTTGAATTTTTATTTACTTGACCGGCGATGAAATAACTTATAATATTAATGGAAACGTAACTTGACTTTATTTCCAATACCTCCAAATTTTCTCAATTTTTTTCCTCAATTACAATAGGTCGAAAATTGATGATAAATTTGGTGAATTTTTGAAAATCGTCATTCCCATGTAATCCAATGGGAAATGGAGGGTTCGGGGCAAATCAGAAATCAGGATATCTTTTCAGTAAAAGATTCAGCAAAAAATATTTTCATATAGAAAATTGAATTGTCTAACTTTTTTGAACACTAAGTGTTTAGTTTATTTGATGAATATTAAAGTTACAGCGCTTCAAAGTCATTTTTGAAAAGAATTTTCGCCTCCTGTGTTATTTCAATGGGAGAGTTTTTTTGAAAAACAATTTTGACTTTAAAGCCCTATAACTTTGTTGAACCTGAAGAAACATATCATTTTTTGTTAAATAAAGTTAGCAAATTCAATTACCTGCCTAACTCGTATTTTTTGCAAGGACTCGGATGGATGGATATTCTGTCATATGACTTGCGGCAAACCTACCATTTCCCATTGGTTAACATGGAAATGTCGATTTTCAAAAATTTATCAAATTCATCATCAATTTTCGACCTACTGTAATTGAGGAAAAAAATTGAGAAAATTTGGAGGTATTGGAATTAAAGTCAAATTACGTTTCCATCAATAGTATAAGTATTTTCATCGCAGGTTAAGTAAATAAAAAGTCAAAGGTAAAGAGGCTTTAACACGTAGTTCAATGGGGGAAAAAAGGTTGCCAAACTTATGGAGGGGAGTGTACTTTTTGGAATCTTTATGCAGCCGTCTTTATATGTCACATGTTATTTCCAGGAATACATAACTCATTTAATATACGATGTACATCTTTCACATTTGCACAAATAGTGCACCGAGACACCCAGAAAATAAATAATATTTCATATGCCTCGAATTGCAACAGTTGTTCCTGGCACAATCATGAGTATGTTATTAACTTGCACAAGGATCTTGGAGTTGTACTTTTAGCTATAATGCATCGTATCATCATGTAAGCAAGATGCTGATTGGTTCATAATTCACGGCGCTAAAATGAACTCGACGGGCGTATAGATGTTTTTCAACGGGTGTTAGATACTGTCTTGACGCCCGCTATTGAACATTTTAACGCCGTTAGTTTACGCCTGTATTTGTTTTAACGCGTATAGAATTCACTTCTTAACGGGCGTAATTAACGCTTTGACGGGCGTAATTAACGCCTACACGGGCGTAATTAACGCCTACACACCCGTAAACAACGCATGTAATCTTTATACTAATAGGCCAACCATAGTATAAAGTTATAACCGCTCGTACTATACTTATGGCAATGCGACTATCACATAATCTGAGGCTTTTTCAACCTTCCCGTGTATGTCATACATGGCATGCCATTTCAAAGAATATTATTTTATATACTGGTATTCAAATCATTCATCTGATGCAGGTATAACATCTTGAAGTGTCAGATATACAGCCGGGTATTTATGCGTTTGCCCTCGTCTACTGTCAGTCGTTTTATGAAGAAAGTAGCACCAGGAAGAATTGCCATACTTGCAGGTAGATGATGAAAGGTTGAAAAGCTGCTTATTCGCAGAAAAATGAACCAGTACATACAATGACTCACGAAATTCTTCAGCTTCTATTTTTGCCCGTGGAACATCTTTGGAACGCTCATTCGCTATGATGTTCCTATTTTTCTATCCCAAAAGTCGCATGAACCTTGAATATATTTCTTTGTCTTTGATTTCTCGAGATATACTGTTGCATGAATCATTCCGATCTTTTCGGGATAAACAATCAATGATTCGTACCCTTTGCATTCGTTTGACATCACTTCTTAAAAGAGAGCTTCGTCTTCTTCTGTAGTTTAACTAGACTCTGCATGCAGGGTAAATGATTCGTATCAAATGGATGGACTTGTTCTTTCTCTTGATATCGGTGCCTAGCTTTCCTTAGATTCCTACCAAAGCAATGCTTAATAAGTTGCTTTAAGATGCTGTCTTTTGCTGTATCCTTGCATTGTATCCATGTTTGTTCTGCACTTTGGACCCCATCCCATAATGACTGAATCTCAGCACTACAATGGGGTTTCAAGGTGATTTAGAACGTCTGTGGCTTGGATTGGTTTGTCGGGGTATCACGGTTCGCATAACCAGTCCATATTTGTCGACGACGTCGATGATGTTATGGTTATGAAGAGTTGGTATTTGATCGACATATTATTTTTCATTTGTTATTTTATCTATTGTTTCCACTACTAGTTGAGAATTGAAGGACTGGCTCTTCATTAGTTAAGAAATCACCTGTAATTCCATTCTTTTACTAGTATTTTTATCTATTAGCCATTCCATCCCGGTATATTCATATCCCCAGATACGGTTCCAGAGGAATCCTGTGAACAAGAATACATGATGAAGTGCTTGAGAGACATTGAGGTTTAAAAGGGGTTACAAGCTAGAGTTAGGATTAAAATTTTGTATCTTAGTGTATAGTATACAATTGTTGACCTCTCCAAAGGTCAACCGGCAAAATTGTATAGTCTCAGTTTGGAGAACAGTCTCCTGGGCTAATGTTTTTTTATGAAAATATAGAAATATCACACAAATAAAATTATATATATTCGAAAGAGGACATTTAAATCTACAAAATGAAAAAATATCAAAATTTCCCGAAGCAGGCGTAACGATTCTATAAAAGACAAGTCTCGATTTGGAGAAAGAAGTTCATCAGTGTAATGTGCTAATAATTTTTTTATGAAAAATACAGAAATATCACACAAATTTTTTCATTCCGTCAAATTAAAACGGTAGCCAAATTAAGTATATCTTCTACAGTAAATGAGCACCCGGACTGTTTGTTTGAGTCTATTTTAGTGTATAGAATTTATCAAAAAGTTGATATGATCCAAGTATCGCACAAGTTACGAGGGAGAATGTGCTTTAAATTGTAAGACTCGTGTATTTTAACATTGATCTTATTTAAGTAATTACAATATTCAATTATTATTTCAATACTGCGACTTCTTGTTTCAGTTATTGTTCCTTCCCTGGAGTGATAGGTGATCTCACAGCTACATCTCCTATTGTGATGCCAAATCTGAAAAGACTAGTCTCGGTTTGGAGAACAAAGTTCATGAGTCTACTGCACGTCGCCTGCTTTGGACAATTTTGATATTTTTACATATATCCATAATTTAATTTGGGTGATATCTCGATATTTTTCATAATAGAACATTTACATGTAGCGCAGTACACTGATGAACTTTTTTCTCCAAATCGAGACTTTTATTGAATCAGTACTGCAGGTTTCGCCTGCTTCGGAAAATTTTGATATTTTTACATTTTGTAGATTTAAATGTCTTCTTTTGAATGTTCATAATTTAATTTTGGTGATATTTCTATATTTTCCATGAAAAAAAATTATTAGCCCAGGACACTGTTCTCCAAACCAAGTCTTTTCCCTTACATGTAGGTACCGAAAATTGTGTATGTTCTTTGAAGTTTAATAGTAAATGCATGATCATTCTATTGGATTTATTCAAAGATCTCCACATGGAAGGAATTTTCATCTTTAGAATTTCTTCTACCAAATTGAAGAGGGACAAGAAAACATGAATTGCCTGTGAATATTTAACCTTAAGTTCTTTGATATTTGCTAGAGATGTAAAATCGTGGACATTCGATCTACATGTACAGGGTGTTCAAAAAGTAACAGGACTGGTGATGGCATTTTATTAAATATGCACCAATCGTCTTTAAAAACCGCTAAGTTTCGACAACATACCAATACATTTGGAATATGAAGTTCGGGTAGAGTTATGCTTGCTATAGTAACATGACATCGCAATACCCGAGGCAACATTCCACGCAGAATGTTACAGAGACATTAGGCATTTTGTACATCCCATATCAAAGTTGAAATGCAACAACTGGTGGGAAATACATTTGTTTTACATCATTTGATATTCCTATGTATTCTCTATCTTGAAAAATAGGCCGCTCCTCTTGGTCAGTAAAAGAGTAGTACTCTGTATCCATGACAAAAACACATGAGTGAACCCTATTTGAGGACATGTCACGCAGGGTCGATTGGACAAGTTGGAGAAGGTCGTTCTATTCTTTAAAGGGTTCCGATAAGCATCCCGTATAAAAACAATATGGCGGCTCCAGGCGAATCGACTGGATCAGTCCATTTTTAAGAAATAAGGGGAGTTCTGTAAAATACAGTTTATTGAAATTGTCTTTGAGATAAAGTAATCCGTTTATAATGATTTTGAAAACATTATCCATAGAGTGATTGCGTTCAAAGAATATTTACAACAGCCAATATAAATCCTTGAATTAGAACTGCTTTGTTTCATTTGTAGGATATTTCATATACCAAGCTGTGTGCTATTACGTTATGGGGAAATTTAGATGTCAATTTTTCCTTATTATACACAAATAGAAGATCCTGAAACTTCACCCATAAATGTGGAATTGATTTGTCAAAATAAAAATCACCGTTTTATAAATATGTGACGATCTATAATATACTTAATATGCTATATAACAGTTAGAGGTGTTGACACAACGACCTCGAGCCTGTGAACCCTTGAGTATTATTCCGGGATCGGGCCTTTTATACTAAACGGTGAGCAACACCAGAAACGAGCGTTCGATTTGCTAAACGATATGCGTCACCCTTTAAAGGTCTTACAGCACTGATTAGCATTCCGTTCTCAATACAAGTAAAAATGAGATATTGCATGATCAGAAGAGAATGGTGCATGGTTTCAGACCTCAAGACCTAGTAACTATAACTCTACCCGCATTTCATCATTTCTTCTGAAACTTCAGGAATTTAGTTTAAATACTCCAAAGTACATTATGTAAAATTTTGAAGATGATTGGTGCATATTTAACAAATAACCAGCACCAGTCCTGTTACTTTTGGAACACCCTGTACATTGGTAAAATCATATCATACTGTGAACTTGAATGTTATTTTGTTGGAGATTATTATTTATTTATTTTCCGATGTCTAATATATTGTTCATCATTTTTTCTTAAAACAGGGATGATGGCCAGATGTTTTAGACTCAGCCTGATGAGGTGCCAATGAAAATCCAACACAATACACAATATTGCCTGGGGAGTTCAAATCTCTCAGGTTGTAAAGTAATATTTTATATGTTATATATGGTCTTAAGTACACTTAAATCCTTTCTTTTCATATGAAGTTTTTGAAATTTTTACTTCCTGAACTAAAAGTTGCTACTTGATAGAAATATTCCAAATTGTGTTTTAGACTATAAAATAGGTTTCTGTACGTTGTCAACTCAACTGTACGTTGATACATTTAAACTTAGAAAACCTCGAAGTAATCTTGCTCGTAACCTAATGAATTTCAGTTTCATTGAAATACTCGAAGTAGCCTATAGCTTATATATCAGATTGGCTGTAAGGACTGTAATAAACATTACAAATGTGGAACCGGTAGAGCGATCGACACAAGAGAACACAAGGAACACAAGGACACTTTAACACTAATTAATCCTAAATAGTCTGCTGTTGCTGAACATATTGTGTCTCAGGCGCATGTGATCAATTGGGATTATAAAATTCTGGACAGAGAACCACCCAGCGTAAAGTTAAGTAATGTAGCTGTATCCCAAGAGGCCTATTACAATCTTGTCACTTTTGTTTTTTACTTAAAGCTAGAAAATATTTTGATCCCCCAAGTAAGGGAGTAGGAGAGTAGGAGGACTTTATATGATTTCTAAAACTGAATAATGACAGGATTTTTTAATTTTTGACCACTGGAAAGTTTAATAATTAATGTAGAAAATAAAAATCATAGGTCTACGGCGTTTTTTATATTGCTCTTCGATTTTTTTTTATTTTGCATGTTTTTGTTTTATTTGTTGCTAGATATGTACCAAAGGGCAACAAAAATAAAGATACATTAAAATGATAAATTATGATTCATTGTTATCAAAAGTTTGTTTCAGTTTATTCCGTAAAAACTTATTTTTCAAAAGTGTGATGTCACGATATTTTTATGTACATGTCCAAAAAATGATACTCGTCAAATCAGTGCTCCTTATATAGTATAACATGGAGCCATCTATTCATGATACAACTGCCTTAATATAAATCTCTTTAATTTTATCATCTATCCTCCATAAAGCCGCGAATGAAGGAACATCCATGCATGAGTGACGCATATAAAGAGTAACGTAATCGAAATTACATTAGCTACATAGAACAACTGTTGTACTTATAATGTTTTACTTTGAATTAGAAATGTATAAGACTTGAATAAACCTTTTGAAAGACGTTTGCATAGGTGAATGATATTCAACACACTTTGGAACTTTATATTACTTCGCCCTTGTGTGCACAATGTGAATTGTTTGTATAGCCACATTTAAACATTGTGAATGGCATTTGAACACCGAAAAGGTAAACTAAACAGGCATACAAAGTAAAAAGTTCAGGTCTCTTAAAGAACGAAGTTGTACATTATACAGGTTCCAAATCAGGGCGTGGACTGGTACCGTTAAAAATAAGACAAACGAATAAAACTAAGGCCAAGTTCATTTCTTCAGTCGTCACAACACACTAGTTGGGAATAATACCCGTGACGCTCTGCCGATATAATCTTAGTGGATTAAAAAACTGCTGAGAAGATGATGAACGGCGGCCGACAAGAGGAAGTCGTGAAGAGCAGCATTCAGCTGAAGTTTCAAGATGAGAACATTGAGAGACAAGCGGTAAGATAAATATCCTTCTCACTGTAGTAAACCCAGCTAGCAGCAAACTCAGGAGTTTAATCATACTTTTAGTACATGCACTCATGTCCCACCCTCGTCGTTTAATGTGTTCCTCATATGAGACAATTGTGGATTCATTGGATGATCTTACATGCTTTACATAGCCCACCTTCGAATTTATAATTAATGTTCCTTTGCATCACGAGGGGAGATTGTAGCATTGTTAAATTCAACAGCGTGTCTCCTTCGGGACACAAACTATAGTCCTTCAAATGCAAATATGCTGTGTAAATGTCAAGTTGGATGACTTGTAATTCAAGAAAATATCTATCATATGGGCGTTCTAAGTTTTCCCATTTCATTCACATAATATTGCATTTTTAATTTCAGCAAATTCTGAACCATTGTTTCGACGACATGGAACGATTCATTGCTAAAATCAAGGCAAAGGCGGAACAGTTTCAACGCTGGTCAAAAGTTGTCAAGTTGTATGGAGAGAGAAAAGCCAGTAAAAAAGGTGAATTTTCAGTATACTTCCAAATATTCTAAATGATCCAAGAGATAACCCATTTCCATTGGTCTAGCTTGTGAGTCATTATTGAAATACAGGTGTAAAAGAAATTATGGTCCCCTGGGGATTATGGTCCCCTTTCCTTGCGGCTCTTACTGGCCCTGACTGTGTATAAATAATAAGTAAAATAATTGTAATTAGGTCACCATATAAATCAATAGAGAGTAAGACCAAAATTTGAGAGGACCACCTCCCCTTTTACACCGGCGATGACTTGATTGTACCATTGTGACTTTACATGTTCTTTTGCTTTAGTAAAATTATTTTGCTTCTATAGTGTGCTCTCACAGTCATTATTTCCTCAAAGAGGGGATAGAGGTACATTGTTACTGACACATCAAGTGTTTTGAATTTTCTAAGGGTACGCTCAGTGTTGAAACTTTTTGTTAGAAAGTATGTCACCTTGCTTGTTTATCGCCAGATTTAGCAAAAAATCTATTCACATTTTATCGATGTGGTCATAGCAACCTATTTTATGTTCTGTTAAAACGAGATTTTATTGTAAACCTCTCATGTTTATGTCGTCTTTTATTGTTTTCATTCAGTAAATTCGTGACGATAATGTAAATATTTTGCGTGTTAGGTTTATCACGACGTCTAGGATAGTCATGAGACGAATTAGGTTCACCATGGACTTCTAATCTAATGTAACAGTGGCGGATCCGAGGGCCTGCCCCCCCCCCCCCTAAGTTGGGCCCAGCAAAAAAAATTGGGCCCAAAAACTTTGGGCCAAAAAAGGACATTCATATTTTACAAAGCCAATGACAGACTGTGCATAATGGTACCTTACAAATCCAAAGAAGAGCACATAATGCTGTCAGGGACAGGCACATAAGGTTGTCTTTAAACTAATACCGACACTGTAATATAGGGACTCTTTGGGTTGGTTCAAAACCAAAGGAGAGACCCAATGGGTTGACACAAAGCACAATGGGTTGACACAAAGCTGATGACCGACATACTTGATTGTCTCTCAACCAAGAAAGAACAGCATATTAGGTTGAGAAAAAGCCAGTGATAGACATACATAGGTCTAAAATGTGGGAACATTCTACAAACGTCAAAGACATATTGTGATGCCACAAAGCCAATGGCATTCATAGGTTGTCACAAAGCACTAGCCAAAGACGAACAAATAAGTTGTCACGAAGACAATGTCAGACATATTTACTTGACTTATCATGAAAGAGAGGACAGGCATTGGGTTGTCAAAAAGTAAATGTAAAACATCAGTTTGTATCACAGTCAATACAAATACATTAGGTTGTCACAGAAACGGACAAATAAATATGTAAGCACAAGTGTCAAAGAGAAAAAGATTGTCTCAAAGTCAAAAACATATACAATGTTGGTACAATACCACAATGGGCAAACATGAGATTGTCACAAGGCCAATGCTAAACATCAGGCTTTATCACAGTCAAACAAAACGCATTAGGTTGTCACAAGAACGGACATATTAGATTGTCTCAAAGTCAAAAACATATATAATGTTGGTACAATATCAAAGAGAAGGGCGAACATACAGTTGTAACCAACCCAGTAACAGATTTATTAGTTTAGTTTAGTCATATTATTTATATTCAATAATGGAAAGGCTGATCACAATATCAATATACGAAATATATTTTTATAACCAGAAACCTTTAGAAGTTTAATATTAACTCCCCCGTGGGATTTTAGTGTGCAAATATTGACTTGATACGCATCTATTCATATGTTTACAAGCCGAGATTTTCTGAAGTATTCTAAGACTTAGGCTGACGCATTATTACAGATTTCAAATTGACAAATACACTTTGCCGAGTTTACATAGTTATTGTATGCACATGGTAATAACAGGCTACATAGACTCACTGGGCTGAACTATCACTATAGTGGGAGCGCACTATTTACAATGACTTGCCTGTCGATTGTTCAATAAATACTAATACAGTTGGTCTTACTTTTATGTTTATTAAGGAATCAAATTAAAGTTTGTAGTAGTATATGACCCTTGTATAATATAGTGCCCTTTCTGATCTAGTTTTTAGGTGTTTTTTTCAAGCTAATCTTGCCACTAGTGATTTTTCAAAATTACAGGTTATTAAGTTTGTGGCACACTTTGAATCGAATGTCAATGGCCGCATAGGAGAACCAACGACTAATGACAGAGCATTTTAATTTCAATTTGAGTATAGCACAGTATATTGAGAAGTATGACCAATTTTGATCAAGACTATTGACTATTGGCAAAATTAATAAATGTGTAAGTACAAGAGCCATTATGAGTAACGGCCAAACGTATTTAAAAACACAGTTTGCAACAAAATCAATAGCTTAACACATATGTTATTCGAATATTTAAGAACAGGTGTCATAAAGGTAAAACCTAAAATGCAATTATAGATGTGGACAGAAAAGGAACATTTGAGAGTGCCACAAAAAAAATATCCCCAACATCACATCAAGCAATAATTTTACGCACAAAAACACTGTTTTAACATCTCATTTCACCCACTATATGTAGAAACCATTTTCACAAAACCTCATGGTAATGAAACATTTAATTCATCCTGAAATGATTACAACATATGCATATACACTTAATTAAAAAAAAGATTCAAAAATGGTTGTGGATACATTTAATGTAAGATGGCTCAAATGATGTTTATTTTAGGTCTAATTGGTATAATTGACTGATTGGAAAATGTTGATTATATTCACATGGACGTGGGTGGAATTACTCGGGTGGAAAAACTCGAGCACTGCTTGAGAATCTGTTTACGTAATTATAAATTTAAAAGTCTTGCGAAGAGCATGCACATTAAATTAAACTTCATACAAATACTCCATATTATTCATTGAATAAATCTTTTTAAACCTACATCACACTTTTTGCTTCCAACATGACAACGTACAGCTAAAGTGTACACTCGTATATTTTGCCACTGTACGTTGTCGATGGCAAGGCGTGCATGCACATGTAGGCGAAACACGTTATCAATGTTAGTCGGCTATAGGGTTGTTCGTATAATATGGCAGCCGGCAGTTGCATTCGCGAATGCGAGCTTAGTTAATTTTAAAATGTTTCCAATTTTGATTAAATAAACGTTTTTTGCTATTTTAGGTGAGAAACCAACAAACATAAAAGAACAAGAGTTTATCACTGTTTTACAAAAGATAAAAATGGCATTTAACATATTGGTAAGACAATTATTTCAGCTCATTCCTTTTACAGGGGGCATCATTTCTGATGATTTTTATCTTTTTAGCTTGTGATAATAAATTATGTGTACAATTTCTTGTTTTATCTTACTTGATGTAATATCTTTTCTAAACGAAAATATATATTTCTACACGTGCATTTATTAATGGATTTGGTCCTGCCACTAAATAGTTACAAATATTTCGACAATGCGACGAGATCATTAAGTAAGCCTAACTAATTCAATCAAAATTTCAAATGTTTAGGCAAAACTACAAGCAGTAATGGAAAACCCGTCTCCGGAGGAACTGATCCATAATATGTTTATCCCCTTGAGGTTGATCATCGACGCTAGCCTTGATAAATTGAATAGGCCAACTCTTGCAACAACTGTTATCTTCCCTCTATTGTCTGTAGAAGCCTGTTCCCTTGTTCATGAGTGTACCAATGACGAGGAGCGCACCTTGTGGTCAACTCTTGGAGAGGCCTGGACTATGAGCAGGTACGTATTGCCTACTTGATTAAATTACCTTTCGGGGCCCAGAGTAGCTGGATCCTCTTCTTCCTCATCATTGATAGCGTTAAGAAAATTACCAATAATTAGAAAATGACATTCTCCATTTGTCACTATTAACTAAAGACGTCTCATACATAGTGCTACTTACTAACAACTTTATTTTACAGCGATGATTGGCGAGGCGACTGTCCACCATTTAACCCCAAATTCTCCGATGGTTGGCAACCATACGGTCCTACAACATTAAATCATGTTGGTATGACTAAAAATCAGGGTCGGGTTACAATGCCAAACGCCCTTGGTGCAGTTGTCTACACAGGTCCTAAAGCCAGTCGAAGCACGATTCTCAACAATGAAAATGTCATCAAAGAACAACGCAAGATCGTAAAGACTAAAACGACCACAACGACCAGCTGGGACCAAGAACAGCGGATATTTGTAAGCCAGTTACAGGACAGAAATGCCAAGTAAGTGTTGATTGTTAAAATATGTCTCAGCCAGTTGCATGACAGGAGTGACAAATACCAGGTCGATCAATAAGTTCTGAGAAAATAGTAGTCATAATACTTCAAATATAATGCAAATTTTGTAGAGTTTAAAAGTACACATAATATTTCGACTATGTTGGTTCATCTACAGCACGATTGATGAAATGCCTAGAAGTTAATATATAGCGACGAATGATGATGAATTGATTCATAGAATTCCTTTTCGGGCTACCGAAGTTAGAAGTTAACCATAGCGAAGAAAATGATATTTCTAACTGTTGCGTTAGCAGTCTTAATAAGTATACAGTATTTAACCCTTTGCATTCGTTCGACTTCACCTCTTAAAAGAGAGATTCGTCTTTGTAGTTTACAACTAGACTCTGCGCGTAGCGTATATCTAAGTCAAATCATTAGCAAAATGGGTTGATTTATTTGCAGGGTCTTCTATGTCGTAAATGAGAGAGCCATAATTTTCAACGACCAGGAACTTGTCCTAAAAAAGGGCGAATGCGTGGAGGTAGGTGTTTGGTTAATTTGAACATGGCCTCTACATAATCATGTCTCTGTGCTGTCCATGGTGATGGGATAATCTATATGAAGTTAGGTCAGAATGAAACTGAGGAAATCAAAGGGGCGTTTTCTGTGGGTTTCAACATGGCAATATTTACTCGGTTTACCGAAAAATGGAATTATTGAATGTCCCGGTACTTTAGCCCAAGCCCTAGACCAAAGTTTCAAAGATTATTTACCTATCTGTTTATCCTCTTGACGACCCAGAGTGACGAGATTTCTCATCACCTTGAAAATGACCTTGAAATCCAAAGTAACGAGATAATCCGTTGCAAATTTGTTCACTAAAATTGCTTTTTGGACAATTTTCATCCAATGTACGCAAAACAAGTTCAAATGTGTAGAAATGATCTCTGTCAACTAATTTCACTAAAATGAGCACCACCTGTTATATATTAATGTACAGTAGTAAAATGTCAAAAGCTGGAAAAAATGAAAAATTCTCTGGTTTCAAACCAGCATAATTGTAATGTTGGTGTCTCTCTCACTCTCTTAGGTGCTGGATAATGCCCGACAATGGTGGAAGGTACGCAACTGCCATGGCCAGATTGGCTATGCCCCTCATACTATACTCCGAACAAACATGAATGAAATGGTTGGAGCATCCGTCGTCAATGGCCGAATAGACGTGGAATCTTCTGGCGTTCGTCTCAGCCAGATGCCCACTTATGAAGAACGGGTTTGTATGGTTCTTGTGTATTCATGACTTAAACAAAATATTACAACCCAAAGTTTAAGCAATCGGAGGCAATATATACAAAAAATGATTCAGTGTACAAACAAAAATTGATTCAGTGTACAAACAAAACAACATATTTCACGATTATTGTACAATAAAGTAAAAAAATATTTCATCATGACATTGTTATAATCCATGTTATCTTGTGACCTCATCTCTTTTTTTGCTTTAGATGTGCCTAGAGTATCATGTTTTTTCAGTTTGTGTGATGTTTGATTTTGCTTATTACAGGGATATATAGCTAGTGCTAGTAGTGCACCATCTAGTATCGTGACCACGTCTTCGTAGTCTCGCTTAAACACCCTCTAAACAAGTCTTTCAGGTCCGTATTCTTAGAGGGCACACGTGTCATAAAGAATGCAATTTACATCATGTACATAGCCAGGCGAGGTATCAATAACTTTTTACATAAGATATTAAATCAGATGTTTTTATCGAAAAATGAGGAAATTAAATCCTTTAGGTAAAATATCTCATTAATGCCTGGGTCACATTTGCTCCGATCCATCGGAGTGTTTTGTTCGATATTGTATTCAATTTTGAACAAAATACTCAATTGGCCGGGCGCTGTAGGGAAAATGGGGGCAAATGTGACCAAGGCATAAGCAAGCCTAAAACCTCACCTATGTACTTACGTTGCCTCTTCTAATTTTAACCTGACTTCGCCCTTGTACTAGTTAGAAATGCTCAGAGTGTATAGTTGTAGAAGTTGAAAGAGCCAAAAAACCTTTGCGATTTTTGTAATGAGATTGCATTGCTAATATAGAAATGAAAATATCATACTCTCTGATAATGTTCGGTGTAATATGCATCCTTTATGTCCGGGCTACTCCTATACACACTATTCTAGTAATTGGTGTGCAGATAAAATGGGTCAAAATTAACGAATTTATTACAAATTAATAATACCAACAAATCAATATTTGTGCAACCATTTTCTGTGTACACTAAATACTTTAACATGTCACCCTTAGAATGTTACTAGTTGTGTATATGTATATGTACAGTTTTATTTCACATGCATAACAATGACCATCATAATCATTATTTGGAGCTACAACAAAAAAAGTAATCGTATTTTCTCAACGAATGTCTGAGTTGTATACAACGATGGTGGTTGTGCGATGATCGTATGCATAACACTCTTCATTATATGCTCTATCACTCTACTATACCTTGCATTTTGATGTTCATGAGCGACCCATTTGGCTTATTAGTAATGATTATGTTATTTGTTTTTATTTGTCTGTTCCTTATTAATGGTTTATCGGAAGACTGTTAGATGTTATAACGTACTTTCAAAAATATACAATACAATTAGACAAACATAGTATCTTATGCATTTCGATGGGTTAGTTTTAGTAGAGTGCATATATCATTAACTTCATGTTATGCAACTACAAATATTGGGTTAGTGGTACATAGTATAGAGACTCATATCTATAAATCTAAACAATCTTAAACTATTTACAGGGTGAGTCAAAGCTCTCCATATTTGAAATTTTGTATGGGAATGTAATATATAGATTTCAATAGTAACATTTGTCTTGCATTCTTCTAATATTCCATTTTTGTCTGTAAATGATTTCGAAATATATATATTTCAGACCACCCGACATACTATATAAGATGTCAAACTAGTATCATTGTTTTTGTCATGACTAATATCAGTGTAATATTGTTGCTTTGAATATTACCTAACAAAAAGGGGACAACAGTATATTTTCATTAAAACATTGTGTGTCTGTTATCACTACTTATTCCAAAAACATTCGAGATTTATTGATTTCATTGAGGATCGATTTTAAAAGTGGTTCCTGATACCCCATCGATTATATTCAAATACAAAATATGAACGCTTTGGCACACCCTGTAGTATATGAAAATATGTTTTGGGTTGGAACTGATATCTGTATTTCAATTGTAAGCATATCAAGAGCACCTGTGAAGGGAATCCTAAACATAGCTTGTTTATTAGTGTTGTTGGTCGTTTAGAAAAGCTTATTTCTAGTGTTATGCTTATTCATAAAATGGTTGAAGGAAATAACAAAAATTGTATCATTGTATTTTTTGTTTAGGAGTTTAATTTTCCTGCGGAAACAGATAGTTCTTACATGAAATACAGATATTTCTAACTGCTATATATAACAAGGTACACGTATGGCATATAGACTACTGCAAAACATGTATTGTTAATAACATGCTAAACAATAAAATCAACGTCAATGGGCGTAGCAAGGGCTTGGCCGTAACATTTGTCCCATGTAGAAGCAGATTATATGGAGAATATCTCCAAGCCTGCAAGCACGATATCTTCAAAAAGTCAGAAATGGGAAGCAATTTATAAGCTAAAGTGGAGCTGCTAAAATACTTTCAAATGTCAGCAAAGTGTGGATGTGGATGGATTTTGTTTGGACATAAGAGTCTTCTCCTTGATTGTAGTGGCAGAATATACAAGCTTACAATTTTTCGTATGATTCGTATGAAGGGCTGTGAGCTGAACTGATCTGAAACACATCATTTGAGGCTCTATTTGTATTGCATGAATACAAGTGTGTGAATCTATGCTTGATGTCAAAAGAATTTGAAACCCTGCTTGTTCTTCAACAAAGGACTTCATTTTGAATGAAATGTCAAATGGTCTCGTGTCCACTCGATTGTCGAATTCCCATGGCAAAGTCTCGGGATAGATCCCATAGCAGAGCGAGTGTCTCTGAATATGTTGGAGACTACCCCTGCCAAAAATGTTCGATGGATTGTTAAAGTTACTCCTGATTGATGGTTGGGTGTTGAGTATTGTTTATTTATGCGTCTGGTCATAGTTTGGGATATTGGTGGTTTATTTAAGTTGAGAATGGCTAACGGAATAGATAATCACAATATTTGTGCCACACGAATCAGTTCTTCATGACTGAGATAAGAACATTTTTGCAAGTTCGGTTTCATTAAAAAATAAGTAACAATACAGAATTTAATCTGGTTTCGGTGTGGATTGAGTTAAGAATTTTTCGTCTCTATCAAAGAACCTACAGCTTGGCCAAGCATTATCAAAGACAAGATAAACATCCTCTAAAATGATTTCCATAGAATCTAATCTCCTGAAGTATAAAAACAACACTTGCAAAAACAGTTGCAAAAACCTATAAAGTATCCCAAAAGCAAAATGACAACATTATTAACAGAACATGTTTTACAGTACAAATTTAACGCTAGTAGAAATGTGATTTTGTTGCATGTATATAATATAGGACCGTTATTATCAGAATTTTAACAACTACAGTATAATGCTTGTGTTTCATATTCATCTAATCTTTTATTTTCCTAATTTCTTGAATCTTTTATCCTTTATCTTTTGTCAACTGTTTGTTTGTTCGGAATAATAGTCGGTGTTTTCCGATTCCATAGGATAGATGTATATATTCATTGTACCATTGTTGAAAACTATTAATCACATTCACATTTTCCATATCCAGGCTGCCAGCGAGCACTTCACTGACGAATTTGACGACGATGACGTTAATCGTATCAGCCAGCCAGATGAGCACGGCATCGCCGAAAGCTTCAATTTTGAAGGCGTGGCCGAGGTGATTGGTGTCACCAACAACACGATAAATAGATACGAGGGTACAAGTAATACCGTTACAACATACGATGCAACCAACGATACAGTCAACAGCTATGAAGTTTCAAATGGGGACCGATACAGCTCGACTTACGACACCAATGTCGTAAATGGGTCTAACTATGGAGTAAACGGCTCGGAAAATGCATATAGCAGTAATGTTATAATGACTGCAAGCGGTAATATCATGGATGGAAGCGGGGCTGGTCAAATTAGTCAGAACGACGGTGACGTAAGTGAGCGTGGATACGATCAGGATGGTCTACCTAATGACCCCGTGGCAGACTATTCCATGTTTCAGCCTATTACAACACAGGGTGTACCCACCATTGTCAACTAATAAACTCCATTAATTAACTGATATTACTCAAGCTTCGTATTGAGTTAAAATGAGATTTTCAGACATCTTTCTCGAGCTATTTTTAACAAGAACAAGGACCAAGTTCCCAAATGCATGCCATATCTGCAATGGGTCCACTCTATATCTGCATATGCAGCGAGACTGTAAATGCGGTATATACAAGTATGAACAAACAAACAAAATGGAGAAGAGAGCACATTGCGTTGTGACATTTTTATCTGTGTAATTAGCTGTAAAAACAAGTAAGATAAAAGATCTGACGCTTTCAAAGATCTGAAAATATATTAGTAGGGTTCCGGAAGGATTTTTGAATTGACCAAATTAAAAAAACATTGAATGAAAGTCAATACTCGGCATGGCAGCCTTGTATATATTGTAATATAAAACTCTTATGATAGAGCTACATGTACTGTATATACGTACAAGTAGCCTAATTCGTTCTTTTATACATATATTTATATCTTTAATAGCATAAAAATATATTAATATATTTACTTATATAGTTGCATCAATGGATATACACACATTTATTCATTTTGTATTCAATGTTATGATAATTTGTACATAGAATACTGATGCAGATCAAAACTATTTTCCATACATCTGATGATCTTAAAAAGATGTAAACGACTGCTATCTTTAAACTGCTCATTTTTTGTTTATGCTTATAGTTTTATGTCTCAAAATGTATTATTTTTCACATGTAAATTTTATAATGTGATGTATGCTGTAAGTAGAGTTATGTTTACAATATTTGGCAGTTTTTTGTTAACTATATATGTTATTTTTGCTTTAAGAAATACACTGATATATAATGATTTTATCCAAGGAAGAGTTGTCTCGTGTATCTTGTGTCCAGACATATCCCGTCTGCTCCACCATATGTATATACACCACTATTCGGCTACATACATTAAGAACCAGAAACAAACGACAAAGCATAATATCACATACTATGTACAAATCCAGTGATTTGATTGGTTGCTTTCTATGACGTACTTCCTGTATCACATAAATTTCATATGATACGAGCACACGTACCACACGTTGTATATGGAAATGACGTCATACAACGTCATTCTATTCTTTCATTAAATTAAATTGCATTAAATTATTATTTCACTAAATTTCTACATAGTATGTGATAAAATCGTCATCACACGTTTCAGCGTATGTGATACGGGAAATATTCCACTCAGTAAAAAAGTATCACCACTCAAGCTGCGCTTTCGTGGTGATACAATTTTTACTTTCGTGGAATATTTCCCGTATCACATGCTGAAACGTGTAATAACTGATAATATCAATCATTGATACGTTTAAATAGATACTCTCAGCATACTTGTATTATTATTGTGCACATGAGAATTTATAATGGTAAAATCGTTGTCGCATACCATTGTCAAGTGAAATATCAAATCGCAGACATTTACTCGTGAAACTGTCTGTAATGATGACCAGCTCCATTCGGTAATATCTAGCTCCAACGGCCATTTGATTTGCAATACAATATGTTATACATCACTTCATCGGTGGAGATTTCTTTGCGACTACTTGGAGATTTTCGTCATATTTCAACCAGTTAGGAACATCGTTGACGTCGTCTTTTTTGATCTCTTCATTTGGGAAGTACATATCCTCAGTTGACTGGAAAGTATGTGATGAAATATGGAGTTAAACTGGCAGTAACATGCATGCAAAATGTCACCAACTGTCATTTGGTACAGACACCGAACGCCGAACACCAACCGCCATCCACACATCTGATGGTGACATAACTATTTACACAAGTGAGTTACATCCAAAAATCACAGTTAGAAAAAAATATTTGAGAATGCAACCGGTCATAAAAAGACAGTATTCAATATCCAATATCTTTCTTGTCCCCTGGGGGTTACACATGGTTTATTTGAACGTATTATCATTGTTTGGGATGCTGGGGATTTGTTCCCTAAAATTGGTTTGGCAATCCTGATGACAGTTTTACTTGATATAGGATGCCACTATGTTTCAAATGAATGTTTCTTACTGTGATGTTGACATGTTGGGGAAAATTCGGAAAGAAAGATGCACTTTTCGTAAAGTAGGAAAATAAAATTAAGCGTTTGCAATTTAAGAAGGAGAAAACAGAAATACATAGGGCCTAAAGGCTTATAGTGACCCCAAAACGTAATCCACAAAAATCTCTTCTGAACTTCTGTAATGCAAATGATCCTTTCACTTCATATCAAAGGCATTTTCTTCAGTCTGTGAAGTTACAGTAAACTATAAATGGTTTTACATATTTTGCATGATGCCAACGACCATTTGATCGATGAAAGATCAAATTTGACAAAATTGGAATGTACATCATCAATCTGCGAGCTGTTTTTGTCGTCCTTTGAAAAAGTGCTATATTGTCGTATTGTGCTGGTGGGCGTGCGTCTCTGTTGACAAGCGGGAGGGCGCTCTCTTGTCATCAAAATTCCAGAAAATCGTTTACACATTCTTGATTTGTTTGCAAAATCAGACGAGTGCTGAGGTCTGGTCGATTATGTTTTGGGCATGCTGAGCAAATAACTTGGGAGCCATTTTGTACTCAAAGTGCGATATTTATCACTTTGTGTCTTGGACCTTTACCACTGGTGATCCACTCGATTACGCTGGAACAGTTTCGGTAACAAAATGTCGGAACGTCGAAGGTACGATTTTTCTTTTTTCCTTATTTAAACGTTAGGCAGAATTTTTATCACAAACGTAAATCAGTATCATATGTACACATTTGCGAACAAATAGTTCAGAAGACAACGGGATCGTCGATTTAATTCCTCACTTAAGTTACATAAACGGTATTTCGAAAAACAGTTAAGATCCGTTTATGTAACTTAAGTGAGGAATTAAATCGACGATTCTGTTGTCTTCTGAGCTATTTTTTCGCAATCATTTACATTTTCTAAAATATATGATACGTCTATACGTTTGGGAGAAAAGATGTCGTGGGGATTCTGCCTACGACTCGTGAAATAATATAAGGAAAAGAAAAATCGTACCTTCGACGTTCCGACATTTTGTTACCGAAACGAACCGTTTCGCTAACCAGCGTAATCGAGCGGATCACCAGTGTACAGCACAATATACTATGGATCTCCATATACCTCCATTACATATCACTAAATTTTATAGTTTAAAAGTAATTTCGATAACTCACAAACTGAAGATGAAGCACCTGGCACAGAAAGTTGATACATTTATATTTTGAACTTTTCTGAGACTACTTGTTTGGGCTACCCTGTGAACGACAAAATTAGACGAAGCAATACACCAAAAGAAACAATAAGTCACAGCTCACATAAAGAATGAAATCACTTTAAAAATAGAGAAGTTTATAATTTATTCATGTTTTATAACAACAATACTATTATACCAGTACATTCCTTCATGTCATATATACGATAATTATACGGTTTGACACAAGAAAGCCGCCCTATTGTTTTGGAATAACTTTCTTAATAATTAATGAATAAATCTTCATGATTTTTATGCGTATTTAGAATGTTCAATGCATAAAAGATCGTTATGTTCAGCATCAACAACTTTGAGATTTAGAGATACCATGTGTTCCGTACCCGCGTTCAGGTATGTTTTAGGGGAAATAGTCAAAAAATGTCCAAAACTACAATCTTCTGGAATTGGGAAATCTGGAATTCGTTACTGCTTTCACATATATTATCGAAAATGTGTCATATCTACCGATTTTAAAATAATTTTGTCTTTAATGAACTGACTCGTTTATTGGGTCATTTTAAAGGAAGATATTTTTTTAATTTTCATTTTTGAGTGGTTTGAACACTCTACGTATAAAACTTCATGAAGATTCCTAATCATTGACAAAGTAATTCCAAACTTAGCGGGTGGTATTTTTGTGCCCTGTATAATGATATACCACTATTAGACGTACACAACTCATCCAAACATACTCGTAAGTTACTCAAAATAAAAAAATGAAATAATCTTTTAAATGTCCATAATTCCATTCAATAATATATTGTTCAAATGAATTCCAAGTTCCGAGGCGGTGCATCTATCCCATCGAACACAGCGCATCTCTAGGATGCACCTTTAGCGATGGCCAAAAATGGTCATCACCTTTTTTGACTCGGGTTAAATGGGATGGTGTCCTCTTTGTGCATTTTATTCGTCTGATTTGTAATTTTGAAGCGCAAGCTCAGGACACGACATCTATTGTTCACCCTAGGAGTAAAACAGCACAGAATGCATACAGCAAATCAAAACACAATGAAGTGCGAAGAAAAAACATGGAAACTAAGTCGCAATAGACAGAAAGACACTTCAACCAAATCTTAGTTATAGAGAGCCTGAGAGCAGAGCACCGATTTTCCGCAACCGAAAATGGCTGAGCGAAAACGTTGGTGAAGCTATTTCATTGCGACTTTTACTTATATTTCTTTACAATGATAATAAGATAAACTAATGCCAGTGTTAAGCAAGCCCATATAAGCAAGCCATGCTGATAGTGGCGGTGGATAAAGTAAAGGACAAAATCAAAAATAGTAGACATTTACTCTTAGAGCACATTTAATTATTCATTCTTCAATTACAACTCACCCTCTTCTTTATAGTTTGGAAATGTTTCTTTGAGACTAGCGTTCCTCTCTTTTCACCAGCAGCAAATGGATTGTCAGCCTGGAATATCCGTAATGCAATAGTTTTTAGTGATAGCAGACGACATAATGTTTATAATGGATTACTAAAATAGTGGCAAATATTACCCTTTCTTGGCATCATTTGCCACATAAGAATTCGGTAAAGTGAAAGCCTCTGGCAACAGTTAATTTTAACTTTTCTTTGTTAAAAAATTGTCTATAGAACTTAAAACTCTAAGGTAACTGGTTTTGGTCCAACGGTGATAATCCGATGTTTTTTGAACATTTAATTGATGACTTACAGGCCCATTTTGATCACCAAGAAGTTGTTCAATAACATTATCGAGTTCTCTTTGTTCGGCAGCAGATTGTGCGTCGACAGTACTGCCACCTTGTGGGCAGCTGGTTGGGTCCATGTGGTCCTTATCGCAGCTACATTCACCGTTTCCCATCTGATGGTGGAGATATGACTGTTGGAAATCCTTCTCGTCTTTCACCATTTCCTTGCAACCATCTTTCTCTAAAAGTATAACCATAGGCAAAGGTCAATAGAAATAATTTTTTATTTTAAATAAAGATGGCATGGTAATCGATCTGTGTTTATTTATAAATATTCTCTAGAAGTAATGTTACATATTGAGTATGTACTCCATCTACTAACCAGTGTAGCCATAGGGGCATGGATTTGGGGGATGGCAGTAAAATGGCAAAACATCATCAGACTTCACTTCTTGTTTGTTTTCTTTTTCTCCAGTTGGGGAAAGGTGTTGTTTGCCTTCACCAGCTCCACCTATAAACGAGATTGTCACGATACAATGTAATTTAAAACATAACGAATAGTAAGTGGGTCTTACAGAGGATTCCTCACCAAAAGGGTACTACAAGGAAATGTGTTATCTGTAACCGCGAATCAGTCAATCATTTGAATTCTGCTGTTTAAATGGGGAAATGTGCTTTTGCCGATTTGCAATAACTGCACCACTCACGTGAATAGTACTTAGCATATTTAAACAAGTTTCATGTATCTCTTCCATCGATGAAAGTTCAATCAATCGACGTGTTTAGAACCCCGCTGAACCCAACGAACTGTCAACTTCATAAAGATATTATTTTTAATTCCATGACGCATTTGCCTGCAAAAGTTCTTATCACAAGTACCTCTTACTTAATGGATATGCTTGAAAACACTACACAAACCTGAAATGTATTGGTATCCCCAGAGTTGAGGGTCATTCTGCTCGTGTTCCTGGTCACGCAGTTGCTCTCTTTGTTCATTTCTTAACGCTTGCTGCCACATCGCGCTGTCGTCATTCAAAGGAGGTTGCCCATCACTCTCAAAGTAGTCGGGATCCAATGCCGCCATCTGGTAGAGATTATTCAGGAGCATATCATAGCTACTGTCAGCGAAACAGCCAATTGTCAAAATGGCTGACAGTACCGCGAAAATGGACGTCTGCATCGTTCGTTCTGTAGTGACTTGATCCCTTGTAATATAAAGACCAGGGTTGGAATTGCATGTTACGATATTACAAATTAGAGTATACAATCAATGGTAAGGTCTGGCCAATGACTCGCTAACGCTCGCTCATAAGAGTCATATAGAGGTATTCATTGATTGAAAATATATTGATATTGTTATGAAGAGACGGTGTAGGAGCAAATTGATATCATCTCTATTACACATGTACGCATGTTTTTAATTAGAAAATGTCCCCATCTCTTATCACCATGTATCATGATCATGTACATTGTAGAATCAGTTAAGGGTAATGATTTTCATAAGACATAGTCTATATACCTATTGAAAGAATTAACGTTGTTATATGTCCTCTTTACCTCATTTTGTAAATATTTCCTAAAAAATTCCAGCTTAAATCTTCATCTTGGAACACGACAGCCTGAACACGAATAATATCTACTGAGTGTGTGATATTTCAATTTTGCCTGCCATGTCAATATATATGACAAGCAATGTTCTCGATTTACGCAAAATTAAGGATAAAAGGAACAATAATGATATTGTGATTTTTCTGTTAAACTAGTGAAACAACATAGTTACGTACCTGTTAGTCGTCACAAGCTGTGGTCTAAAAGAAAAAATCTTGTATAAATTATATCAAAATGGCGGAGTAATGACGTCAGTCGGTGCCAATAGAGGTATAGGGGTATTATTAACAGGGGTGATATCGACCAGAATTGGAGAGCTGCCTACGCAGATATTGAATATTATAATGCATTCACTGCTTGTTCTAAGCACTAATTGATTATGATGGTGGAATTGTTAGCAGATATTCTAGCAATGATAACATTATGTCCGCCACTTTCATGTATACGTTTGCGTCGAAATGTGACACAAGTTGCACGTATTTTGGAGGACTTGAGCGTGAACGTGTGATACAGGGTGTTCCCTAGTGATGGCACTAGGTCTCCCATTTTAATAGTTTTCAACCAATTTTTCTAGATTTTGCAGGAATGTAATGATGAGTAACCTACCAAAATTCATGTCTCAAGAATAAAAATAGTTAATTTTACCGTTAGAATTTGATTTTATAACACACAGCACATCGTTGGAAAGCTTATCTTTTCTGTTAAGTTTTCTTTAGATCCTCACTTAATAAATCAAACGTCCAGATACTGGGTTGAATTAAATATAACGCATAGTTATTACGAAAAAAATTTTGATTTCATTGACAGAAAACGTTATCTCTATATGATAAAATTAAATCAAATCTCCAGGGACCGACAAATTGAGTGTAACGCACGGAACTTTGATGACGATATATTTTGCAAATAAAAGTACGCATGTTTTTGAATAGCTATTATGTAATGTAGCTACATACTACTATTTATTTAAACATGGAACGTTATAAGTTTATTTTGTCTTTTTTTAATCTCCTTCACACCATAATATAATCGAAACACTTATGACTGATGCCCTGAGGCAAAACAGGACAACTGGCGCATCTGAGGAATTCAATTCATTGCCAAATGTATCTAGCTAATGTCGCACGCCTTGCATAATTCTAAGACAAAAATGGATTTTAATAATATGTTATATTTAATTAGGTAATGGTAGCCATATTACAAAGTGTCGTGAAAGGCGATATCTTTGTATATATTTGACACAAATATCATTTTTTGTTTTTTTTATTTAAATTTTTTATTTACGTTTTTTTAATATACCATATATATGTGCAACAAACGCTTTAATGTTGAGTCCTCTTTCTTCTGGGACAGCCTGCCTTGCAAGATGAAAAGCTTGTGCTAAAACGTCTCATAAAAACATGCATTATCCATATAAATTGCTTCGACAGTGAACAAACACCACCTCTTTCATTCTTTGCAGGGCAGTCTTGTAGGCATGATGCTAAACATCCCTAATATTATTAAGTCATTAAGTCTTCAGATATTTTTACGAATCTACCCGGTTCGTCTGCCATTTTGACTTAAACTGAACTAAATTATTTACACTGAACGAAAACAAATTCTTTGAAAATTCCCGGGAGCGTGGGATATCGCTAGATATCTCACGGTTGTCTTATCTGATTAGCATTGCCATTGAATATCGCCAGATATCCCACGACATGTGACCCGGTTTTGACCAATCATACTGTCGCTAGCTAGATAGTGATATAATAATGATCTATATCCCATGATCTACTACTTCCCGGTGAATTTCACACCCGGGAATATATTTTTGGTATGAAATCGTATTGTCCTGCCAAAGTGCCGCTCATAAAAATCGTATTCACCTCCCAATCACACTCATGAACATGGTATCATGGTATAATGATGTTTGAGAACGATATTTTCAAAAATTGAAAATAATAATTTCATCATCATGCTCTTGCTGACTTTCAACGTCATTTTGAGCAATAAGCGAATACCCTGTGATGAACATGATGTATACGTATTGTTGACCTTTATGCTGAGGAGTTTATGTTATATAATAAAAAATTTATATTTTATAGATTAAATATATAGTCATTTTGAACTGATAATTTAATGACGAGAGTTATGAATATCATATTATAAAAAGCTTATTTACTGAATTACTGGTCGGGATTAAATACGGGTTTATTCCGAGTGACAATATTATATTTCGATCGGAATAAACCTTTATTCCCTCCCAGGAAAGAACCTCTATTTCATGTGAAGCTGATTTAACAAGAGTTCAATTCAACATAAGATGAACTTTATTCGTCTCATATAAATATATTGAAATATACTATTTTGATTTTAAACAAGTCAAAAAATATTTGCTTGGTGCCACTGCGCCCCAAAACTGTCCGATGGCCCTGCTGTTTGATTAGCGATCACGTATCATGGAGTTCTGCCATCTCTATATATCCGACATAGAACTCTTCCATCTTTTCTTTAATCAATGTCTTAACATATTTATGAGCTATCTGTTCTTCAAAGCCTTTAGTTGCATCTCCACCAGCATTTTTTAGTATGCTCCGTCCACCTGGGTGATCGTTTATATATTTCGTGATGTCATACACCTGGAATTAAATGTTAGAATTCCTGTTTGACTAAACTGACTGTCCTTCTGTGGTGGTGGGTATTCTTATCGAGATTGGCACAGATTAATTCTCTACCTATTTAAAGATGTCGCCCTGAGAGTCATGTTTACCAGACACACCCACTTTGTTCTAAACTTTTGCGTTCTATTCTAGGTCCAACAATTGCATTTCAAGACAACAGCATTCAATTGATTCTTGATGGAAGTATATAAACGAGTATGGTTTGTATTTATATTACCTTATTATGCACAACAATCCAGGCATCGTGTGTGAATTTGTGTTTTATAAGTTCTTCCCTAGTCAATTTTCGATTTCGATCCATTTAGTTAAAGGAATCCAACACCTTGCAAAACTTCTTAACGGAGAGGAATAAGGGAAAATGCTTGCCGGATTCTGAATCTGTGTATTTTTTAATGATTTTTCACCGTCTTAGAATTTCAATTTTTTTCCTTTGAAAAAATGAGATTTGCATTGTTTTCCAATTAGACAAATGAGTAAACATGAATAGCCCGAAATCTAACGGTGAGATTTTGTTTTAAAAAATCATGGATATCAAGGCTAAATATAGCTATACAATAAACATAAAAAAGCAATGCTTGGACTCTTCATATTCACACAAAAAATTAATTAGTAAATGAGGTTTGATATTTGTGAGAATAAGTTGTACGAGTCGCAATGCTCTACAAACACCAGACTACAGGGTGGATTAGGATCAATGACACACATAAAAATTGTTTTAAAAACATTTCATGATAATTATCTCAAACAAAAGCAGTTAGCGAAGGATACATTTCATTACACTCAATAAATAGTTATCACTTTTGACTATATATACATATCTCATGGGAATGTATTTCCATCTGCTCAAGATATCATATTTTAGCTTCGAAAATTACAATCGTTGGATAATACATTTGTCTCAGAATGATAGGCCACCCTGTAGCAATGTAGCTTTCACTTGAAGTGTACCCTTGAGAATAATGAACTTACTTTCAAATTGGTCTTGCTTTTGTGGTGTATGTGGCATTTTAGCAAATCTGCCACGCTCATTTCTTTCCAGAACCATCTTGTTCATATGTAACACTAGGCTATACGCGCATGTATAGACAGATGACATAGATATACATATAAATTATATATTGCACCTGTATTTACTTACATGGGAATATTCCCTTTGGAAAAATGCAAATGCATGAACATATATTTTCATCTTATATATGACTTCAAGCTAACATATTATTTCATATTTATATTTTCATAGTTAGTCTAACATAAATAATAGATCCATGAGAACAATATTCTTTGTTTTCTTAAAAATTGATGGGTTTACTGTGAATTCAATAAATTACAATTTGCAAGGGGTAAGTATACTGTATGACCTTAGTGGCAAAGTACTGTTTATATGTGCAGCTCAATAGCATAAAATATGTTGAATGAAGCATATGGTGGGGATTAGTCGTGTGACACACAAACTGACCAATACATGAGGGTATTAGCTACTTTTCACAGAAACCAAAGGAGGACAGTGATTTTATTTCAACTGGGAGCTTACCTCCACACGACTGATCATGTGACCATGGTGTTGGGTCCCTTTAAAGAAGTGAATTAATTACTTTGATCTGATTGGCTCATTTGAACTCTATATTTTTCTATATATTGAGTCAAGTTTTGAAACAATTGATAAAACAATAGTAGAACAAAAATAAATTAGTTGTTTCAGGGCTGAAAATTCTTTGAAATTGCCAAGTTCTGGCAGAAAAGTTTGTTTATTGATTTTCTTCATTCAGTGCACGAATGCATTGTGGGAAATGACATGGCTTTTTCAAATATGACAAAATTTCCTCCAAAATTCGTCTAATATCTCGGCATATGGAGTAGAGATGAAGGTAAATACGTCATTTTGTAAGGTAAAAAGACCTGAAATATTGTCGATCAAAAGATCACCCAACAGAATTTAGGATTTCTCAAGTAGACTGATTACCAATTGCAATTTTTGCCTTTGGAATATGGTTGTTTCCAGGATTTTTTATTTATTTTTTGGATATTATTTTCAGACAGTATGCACTTATGATTATATATGATTTTTCTATTTTCAGATTGATTTGTGAATATTGGAGTTATTTACACTGCACCATGTCTAACGTCATACCAATGCTATCTGCATCTCCGCCCCCAATGGAAGAGACATCATTTGACACAAGCTGGGGCGATGATGACTTTGGGGACTTTTCATCTGCTCCTAACCCTCTACCACAAAGTGCTCAGCCTGACATATCAAATCATTCAGAATTGGATAAAAACAGTGTGCCAGTAGCAACACCGCCAGCGACAAATGTAGTTAATTCCCTCATGAAAGAAGTTCCAGGTATTATGGGAAATTCTGAATTTGTAACAATGAACACAGTGAATGATGCCATAAGTCAAGAAGGAAACTGGGGTGATTTTTCAGATGAACAGAATGGAAATATAGACAATGATGATTTGTCAATGAAAAGGAATGGAGATTTTTCTCATACATTTATCAACGAAGAGGAAGCTACGGTAACCAACAAAATTAGCATTGAAGCTTTAAACTGTAAAGCAGATGCTCAGGAGAGTACAAGTCAGGATTCTGTCACAGACTCTGGTCTCTTTAGTGACACTTCAGCTGCGGGAAAATCAGATGGAGATGAAATACCAAACTGTGAAAATGAAAAATTTTCAGATTTTCAATCTGTACCTAATTTAGGAATTGCAAAATCAGACACTGGAGAGAGTCTTGCCACTCTATCTCCTGATAAAGAATCTAGTAATGTTGAAAGTGCAATACTTGAAAATGCTGATGTGGCAATAACTGGAAAAAACAATGATAATGATGAAGTAATTCCAAAAAGTGTCAACACTGAATTTATAAGGACTGAGTGTGAACCAAATGAAGAAGAAAGTCTTTCAGGAAATGAACAGTCAAGTGATGAACAAAGTGCAATAGTTAAAGATGATTGTATAGGGAAGTCTGAATCTAATCCAGCCATTACTGCCACATTCCAAGTAGAAGAATCTTCTAAAACTGCATCAACAGACTCTGAACATACAAATGCCTCAGGGAATGATGAAGCATCAATAGAAGCATCAATAAATTCAGATTTTAAACCGGATAATGCTGTGAATGAATCAGGTACTAGTCAAGAAAATATAGACTTTGATCTTAAATATCAGTCCAGTGATAATGAGAATGAAAACATAAAAGGAAGTCTTGAAGTCTCGGATTCACAACTTGAAGATTTAAAAACAGATGACTTGGATGACTTTCAGGATGCTCATTCTATTAATAATGTGGACGGTATAGAACAGGTAACTACACCTGATGTATCTGCTTTAAAGGAGGACAATGCTTCAGAAACATTGAACGATGATGTTGATGATTTTGCAGACTTCTCATCTGCACCTGCAATGACTGACACCGATGTCAGTAAAGCAGAAACTTCAAACGTTTCTGAATCTGTACCTACTGTAGAAAATAAAGAAAATGATTCATTAAATTCATTACAGAAGGTTCAATCTACATTCCCTGAAAAATTAAGTGGAGATGAGAGTGAAGAAGAAAGTGATGACTTTGGTGATTTTGGGTCATCAACTTTTCACGCAGTTGATAGTCTCCCTGATTTCAGACCAAGACCTAATAGTATTAGTGAAACAAACATTGATGAAAATGATGAGGAGGAATTTGCTCCATTTGACTCAAATCAGGATTTCAAAGCAGAAAAATCATCAGAAACTGGAGATGATGACGGCTTTGCCAATTTTGAAACGGCAGCAAAACCTAAAGATGATGACGATGATGATGAATTTGCCAATTTTGAAATGGCAGCAAAGTCTAAAGAGGATGACGACGATGGCTTTGCTAATTTTGAAACGGCTGCAAAACCTAATGATGATGCTAATGATGGTTTCGCTAATTTTGAATCTGCATTAGATAAACCACGGGAAGGTTTTGCTAAATTTGAAACTACACCGGCAACAACCAGCTCAGGGTGGGCCAACCAAGAGACTATATCTAACAATGAGGGATTCACTGCAAAATTTGATGAAGATGATGATGACGACTTTGGAGATTTTGGTGACTTCGAGTCTACAGAGCAATCTGCTCCAAAAATACAGCCAAAAATTGTGGAGACTCCAAGTATTGTAAGTATGCTGTAGTAAATAACTGTGCTAAATTCCAAGGAGGGTGGAATATGTGGCTTTATTATATCACTATTTAGCTAACAACTGTTTGATTGGTCAAAAACAAGTCACATGTCATGGAATATCTGGCAGTATTCAATGGCCATGCTAATCAGATAAGACAACTGATATCTAACGATATCCCATGCTTTCCGGGAATTTTCAATGAGAATTTGTTTACGTTCAGTATAAGTCAAAATGGCAGACGTGAATACCTAAACAAATTTCTGACGAAGAAAAGTTAAAATTAATTGTAAATGTACACAAAAATCAACAAATGTTCGATTAAAGTTTTTGTTGATCGGATGGAGGAAACTGGGAAAGATATAAACTTGAAAAATGTGCAAAAATGTGAAATAAATACAAAATTATAACACTTTTTGTGAAATGAGAAATCAAGATGATGCCGAATGCTATGGAATCAACAGTGACAGAGACAGTGATATAATAAAACAAATATTTCACTCTACTTTCGGTGAATACCTGTGACACTTTCACAAGATGATATTCCACTAGCTCTTCGAATATCACTTGTGAAAGATGTACACCTCAGTCGAGTGAAATATTTGTTCATTATTCACTTGTCCCTCATATGTTTTATATACACATACTATGCCATTGGATATTTCAGCCTGTAAGAGATGCTGTCAGAGTATGCAACAGATATATATACATAATGAGAATATGGTCATTTGAGCATCGTTGACTTATAACACTCTCAATACAAAAAATACAGATATCCATGTTCATGTTATTAGACACTATGACAGTTTGATCCCCTTATTAAGAACTTTGATTTTCAGAACCAAAAAACTAGCCAGCAGATCAAAGGCCGTGTTGAACAAAGTTTTCCCCTTAATAACGAAGACAGCGTTCAGCAGATAACCATAGATTTCCTCAAAGCTTGGCTAGAAAAAGAAAGTGAGAAGATTGAAAAAACTATCGAGGGAGTTGGAAGAAGTAAAAGTGTAAAAAAGTGAGTGAATGATCTTACATCTTAAATATTATGTAAAAATAGAACAATCTGCCATATACAAGTAATATGAGATCTCAAAAATCTTAAAGCTAAATTGATTATTTTTGTTTTAGTGTGAAAGTGGAACTTAATGTCTGGAACAACATGAAAGACATTGACACAACAAATGCCCTCTTGTACCATTGGAGCCATTCTGCTAGCAGGAAAATTATGCTGAAGGCCCTTCAGATTGACACCAGAAATATGGTAAGTCTGTCGCATTATTTGAAGATATTTTTTGATAGAATCATAATTAAAGATATACAGAGTACATATGACATTTTAAAAAGGTTGACAATTATCTCAGATTGCCTATTTAAATTAACATGTTTAAAGACAACATATAAAGTTTGAAAATATTTTTTCATTTTTCATCATACAAATGTTGAAAACTAATTTGTTTCAGACATTTATTGAAAAAAACTCGCTATAAAACACATTATTTTCTCATTTCCATTGGACAGATCAAGTAAAAGATATAGACTAATGAATTGCTTTCGTTTTCATGCATATATAGGAAATAAACCATTTTCCTTTAAAATCATATTACATTCATGTGCAAATGAGCACACATACAAATGAAGCCATTTTTGTGCACTTTTGGTGTTCACATACATATGAAACATTTTCTATGTTCCTTTTTGTTTCTTAAATCATGCACTCAATTTCCAAATTTGGTCAAATACAATTCATTGAGTACCAGATTCTAATCACCAAAATGGAGAATATGTCACGCCTCATTGAATGAACAAGCTAAAATAGCTGGTTGACCTCTTTGTACAAGTTCCTTTACTAAGCACTAACAAAGATTTCATGTTTCAGTTGGTAGGTCACAAGAAACCAGCAGTGCCAGTCTTCGCCTCAGGTCTTGGACTGTTGGAGCCTAGCAAAGGACCATCAGAGCCTACTAAGCTAGAAGAGCCCATGATGCCAGCCCTTGTGGATACATCAAAGGTGGAATCTGCCCCAGCTACCGAGGTAAGGATCTACTTAGTGCTTAGTAGAGAACAGTGTCTGTTCTCATACTGGTCATTGGTCCTTATATATTTGAATAGATGTCACCTCAAATAAGAAAATCGCTTGGCATTATTATGTCCCCACCAGAATTGGTTCTAGTCTCCCAACCTTTTTTGTGGATGTTGATTGGCGGTTAGTGTTAGGTGGTTGGTGTTTGGTGTCCGTAATAAATGGCAGGTGGCGACTGTGATGATTTTGCATGTTAATGCTTTGTTCATTAGATTTTTAATAAGAATGTACATGGTGTCTACTAGAGCACCCACATTTACTTCATGTAAACAGTGGTGCCTAACAGTCAGTCTGTGATATATATAATGGCAAAGAGTGTTTATATTTTGGACACCCTGTACAATTCTATACATACGTAACTAGTATCCTCAGGCATTGCACTTAAACAAAAATTGATGTTTCCTCAAAGACAATAATGCAGATGTGAGTAGGTAGTTACCAGTTTCACCATCAGGTGGCTCGTTTGGGTCAGATAACATGGCGGGTATAGTAGAAAGTTCCCTTTAACTTAAATTACATCTATTTTGGTAGTTCAATTATCATATAACCCTTATGTATGTTATGCAAATTAAAATATGTCCAGTAAAAGAAAATGTTATCTGTCCAATACAAGAAAAAGATATTTCACTTTTTGTGATTTTGTGACATGGGGTCTATGGGGAATCAACCCAAACTAGTCACATTTTCAAAGTTGATAAACAATTTTCAAAACCATATTTCTAGATGTACTTTTACATTTAGATTTCAAATATGAAATCGCTTTAACTGAATTTTGGATATTTAATGATGTAAATATTTCTCCAAAAATTGTACATGTAGTAATTTATATTTACAGGATCATAGACTATGATACAAAAAGGTTATTAGAGGGTATTGCTAGCAAAATATGGTGGGAGCCAAAACAGAATACAATGTATTTAGGCTGTTTTGTTAATGTTTCAGGAGGTATGTCCCCCTATACAGTTTGACTGGAGCACCAGTGGTCTAACGAACCCCTTAGATGGTATGTACATATCTTTATCATCCATGTACAAACTTATATTTCTATGCTAGAAGTTGAAATTTATTGAAACTCTCTAGATTCAGTCTCACAAGCAATATGAATTCATTAAGCTTAGCTTTCACTGTAGTTCTCTATTTGAATGGTTATTGCCAACTACAAAAAACAATTCTTGGAAAATTTAGATCAAATCTGGGTCAATGTTAAACAATATACAATTTTTATTACTACATGTAGTTTGTTGTATCCATGACAACTTACATCCAGGTAGTCTAATGATAATTTCCAGATTTATTTTTGATGTAAAATCTTCTTATTTCCGAATACTGACATTAAAAAGGTTTCCACCATGGATATGACACAACATGTTTTTGAAGTAGATCCATAACTGAATACGGGGTCCATCGAGTCTCATTACACTTAACACAGACTTCATATTGGAATTGTAAAGATACTTTATGGAAACCATGTATAGTTACTAACATCAATCTATATACTTGTAAATGGCAGATAGAGCCATTTTTCTCAAAACTTCCAAGAATTGTTAAATATACTTTTGACATTGGATTTTGACTTTTGACAGTCATGATATAATACTGTTGTAGCCTGACAACTTGTCATGATGCCTAACAATGTACAATTGTAAACTTGCAATATGCTATTAATTACTGCATATTGCATGTAGATTGTATATCTACCATATTTTCTCATGTCGTAACATATCCTCATTCTTTTCATTTCTATAAAGTGCTTATTTTTGTCTATTCAGAAAATAAATTAGATTTAGAGATATTTCATGAAGTTGAAATAAAAATTGAGAAGCCCAATGAAATCCTTTGTGAGAAATCAGGTAGGAAGACACTGTTGCATGGAATATTAAGTGTATGTGCTAGATTGATATGTTCAGTGAGTCTTACTCTCAGAAACATTTGCAACATGTCTGTCATGGTATATTTTTGCAATTTTTTTACCATTCTGAACACTCATCAAGTGATTTTGGGCCAAAGTGAAGACCCGAAATTTTTAGAAAAGTAACCTCCTATCCCTTTTGCAAAAGCTGGCTACGGGCCTGTACATAACATTCTGATAAGTATAAGTATAAGGGGTCTTAAAGACTGCATGAACTAAAGCATGCACAGTAGTGTAAATGATTCTGAGAGTTTTCAGTTTGACTTTATCGCCAAAATAGTTCCATAATTATACAGTTAATAGTGTCCTAGCTGTTAGGTCAGAACAGAGCATCTTGCATAATATTTGTGCATCCAATAACTAATCACTGCAATGTCAACGCTACATGTATTTGTATAATATATACCAAATAGAGTCCTTTAATTTATATTGGTTGAATAGTCTAAATACTTCAATTTGATTGGTTTAAGTGCAGTCAATAGTTTGTGATACCATAGCAATTAGGCTATAAAATAGTAAACCAAGTGGAAAAATGATTATTCATCATGAAAAATGAAAATTAAAAGTTGTAAATCCTCTAACTGCAGCGTTAGTTTACAATGTCACAAAAGGATTTTAACAGTCAAATTTGGATTCTATTCCATTCCATTTATATCTGTCCACTGTATTTTTGCCATTTACAGTCCTCAAACCTGGCCAATGTATAGTCACCATTTACAATTCTGGGCAATGTATATTTTCCAGTTACAATTCTGGGCAATGTATATTTGGCAATTAGAGTTCTGGTCAATGTATTTTTGCCATTTGCACTTGTGGCAAATGTTTTTTGCAATTTACAGTCTTGACCAATATACAGCCCTGAGTTTAGACCAAAGTACATGTTTTCTTCCAATTGATACAGTTCGTGCTGAGTTGTTCAACAGTTGAACATTCTCACATTTAATTATGTATTGTTTCATTCAACATTGTGACAATATGAGAATATTGTTTCCATAAAATATACCCCCATGTCACAAATTAGCCTTTATTGTATTTAGTTTAAATAATAATATACTACAGGGTGTCCCAGAGCTCATGAGAATTTTTTGAGGGAGATATAAGGCATGAATGATTTTCCTTCAAATTAAGTGCACTTAATAAACAAACATTGAGGAATAACTGACATGAATTTCAGGCACATATCTTTCATATTTCCGAATTTATTGTCATTTGAATTCTACATCGCCAGAAACCCTGGAGTAGTCAGAGAAATACAACAATTTACATCTTTTTTTGATAATATTTACACAACTTTTCTACTCTAATAGCATTGTTTCCATTGAATTATTTCAGCGTTTCAGTACATTAGTTCATAAGATCATACACATTCAGCTAACGTATCTCTACAGAGTTATTATAGCATATTATCTGCAGTTGATGTCATCTTCCAGCTACTCTTTATACACATTCCCAAATCGTCCGATAGCCATTTCTGTAGGGTCCTCTGAAACAACATGACTCAATTCTTCCTCCGTTTCAGTGACATGGCTCACTAATCTTTGTTTAAGGTCCCAAAAGAAATCAAAAGTCTAGTAGAGCAAAATCTGGCAAGTATATGGAGCTACTATATACTGTAAAGTCTCAATAGAAAGTAAATTGGATGCACTACTGACATGCATGTAGTGACTTATTCACTGGTGCATTGTCAATATGCAAGATCATATTGGCTAGCAAATGGAGACATTTCTTTCAATTCCTCAGGAACACGTCATTGTGATCTTTCAGCAAACCAAATGTATAATCTGTTGATGTATTGGGTCTCTATCAAAGTTTATATATCGTTTTATCAAAGTGCATCATCAATATGAGAAAAATGCTGAACTAAGCTTACACAAAAACATTGGTTTTATAGTTGAGAATTTGTATAAAATTGATAAAATGTGACATAATCTGTTGTATTTTCCCGATAACTCCGGGGTTTGTGGCGATGTAGAATTCAAATGTCAATAAATTCGGAAATATAAAAATAAAAAATATATATAAGTGCCTGAAATTCATGTCAGTCATTCCCCAAAGTGTGTTCAATAAGTATACCAAATTTGAGGAAAAATCACCCATGTCTTATATCGCCCTCAAAAAATTCTCATGAGTTCTGGGACACCCTGTACTTCTACTGCATTCACCTGTCACTTATCATACTCATTTGGTTGTGAATTTCTCATGGATTCCCATGAAAATATGGGAGAGTCAAACACACTTTGAAAGATCAGGTTTCCTCCTTGTATGAGCATTAACATAGCTATGATGATAAGTATACCCTTAATGGGCCCAGACATAGAGGTCTCTCGTAGTCTGTCTTCTTCAGGCCCAAGACTTTCCGAAACACTTCTTTGTCGTTGAATCCATTTTTTACCAACATGCTTTCTATGGGACATATCATTCTTGAGTTTCAATATTTGGAAAGTTGGAGACACCCTCTTAACATGCTGATTATTAGGTTGTAGCATATGTTTTGATTGTTTTTGTGCTTTACTGTTATATTCCATATATGGCACATATGTTGAAGTGGAACCAGTATCAGTATTGAAGCGTAAACATTGTTCTTCTTTAACTTGTTTGGCTCCTCTTTCCGTTCTACTCATTGTAACTTGGTCCTACAATGTTCCTGGTTGTAACTTGGTTCTACAATGTTCCTTGTCACTGGTTCTACAATGTTCCTTGTTGTAACTGGTTCTACAATGTTCCTTGTTGTAACTGGTTCTATAATATTCCTTGCCACTGGTTCTTCAATGTTCCTTGTTGTAACTGGTTCTACAATGTTCCTTGTTGTAACTGGTTCTATAATATTCCTTGTAACTGGTTCTACAATGTTCCTTGTTGTAACTGGTTCTATAATATTCCTTGTCACTGGTTCTACAATGTTCCTTGTTGTAACTGGTTCTATAATATTCCTTGTAACTGGTTCTACAATGTTCCTTGTTGTAACTGGTTCTATAATATTCCTTGTAACTGGTTCTACAATGTTCCTTGTTCTAACTGGTTCTACAAAGTTCCTTGTAGTAACTGATTCTATAATTGTCCTTGTTGTAACTGGTTATATAATTTTCCTTGTTCTAACTGGTTCTACAATGTTCCTGGTTGTAACTCACTGCAATGTTCTTTGTTCTAATTGGTTCTACAATTTTCCTTGTTGTAGCCAGTTCTACAATGTTCTATTCAGCAATGAAAGAATAAGTCCAGTTGCTTTGTATGAAGCCTTAGTTGCACTAGCCAGTGTATTTTTGTTTTTACAGCATTCAGGTTCAAGTTTATGAGTTTGTTTACATCTGTTTCGCCCCAGTTACTAGCTTCCTGCAAGGCAAAGTGGTACATTAATCATAAAAAACAGTTGTCAAGGTTAATTATACCAATGTTTTGCTATAGATCTACAGCAGAATTGACTTTTATTCCCAATGGCTATAAATACAGCTTATGAGCAATGAAATTGTTTATGTTGCATTCCTACTTTATATCTTGGTGAAGTAGATATACACACCCCCAAATGTCAAGTAGACAATTGGTTAACATCTAGGATACTTACTACTCATGTTTGTTGTTGTAATGGCAAGTCATCCAAATATTTATCCTCTGTCCAGAATTTTCTCCTCAACAAAAATACTCACTTAAGTCTTGACAATATTGTGTTTAAATTTCTTCAATTATGTTATACAATTGTTTATCAGTAAGCATTAATTAATTCAATACTATAATTTTGTTATACATACCCTGAACTTATTCCAACAAGATATTCCTCAAATGTTGCCCTTAAGTCAATTTGTATTATTATTGCAAACATACCTGTCATTAAGGCTGGAATCAGAGGTGTGACTGTGAGGATTGACAAATTACTCTCAAGAGACCTGACACTATAGAAGGTTGTCTTATTTACAGATCATCAACATTTATGTTATTTGCCAATTGAGTTTCTACATCTGACATCTAATTAATTTGTTATTCAACAGTAATGCATTACAGTGATATCAAGTTGTTATGGATTTGAACGTGAAGCACATGGCATTCAACCTGTAGAGGTTGTATTGAATAAAGTCATATAAGGCGCTTATCTTAATCCATTTTATCAATATTTGAAGAATGTGATCCAATATAGGATTTCAGGCTGTAAGCGGTACATGGATATCATATAACCTATTCAGGGTCTTAAACAGATCAATGAAATAACATTTTTATGTCATCACCACAAGAGGTGACATATTGTTATTGTCTCCAACTTTTTTGTGGACAGTGTTTGGCGTCCAGCAGTCGGTGTTCAGAATTTGGCATCTGTAATTAATGGCAGGTCGTGACATTTTGCATGTAAATGCCTTGTAAAAGTTTATTTTGATCAATGAAAATGTCAAGATATATGATGAGAATATTATTTTAAATGTCTATGTGCACAGTAAATAGAATTATCTGTCCAATAAAACAAAAAATATATCATTTTCAAGATTTTATAACTATGTAGCTTATATGGGGATTCTACTGAACACAGAAACTCTTTTGCATGACAAGGTTAACAATTTATTGTAGGTCTTAAAAATTTAATAAGATATTTTCTACTGGCGTATCCAATCTTTTGGCAGAGAGCAAAATTCATGAACATCTTTTTGTGAGTTTTTGTGAATATTCCATAAAAAGTCACACTTATAACTCTCTCTCTGTTAGCTGTTATGTTGTTACCTTTAAACAAAAATATCTGTAACAGTAGTGTACTTTGTTGGGTGAATGATGTATGGTAGGGCAAGTCCATTGTTTGTGCTAAGTTGTCAACACATCCAGACATTGTTTTTTGTAGATTACATTTTGTACTATTATATGGGTAGACTGCAGTTTACAGTGCTATGAATACTAATTATAGAGTTGTGCTGTCATAACCTGTTGAATTTCCGGCCAGACACAAGTAACATGATTTAGTTTAAAAAAACAGAAACACATGACTCCAGTTTCTTAGCATATTTATGGTACAGTGGTATTTATGTTAACAGAGTTGTCTAGACAAAATGGTCTTTGAGTTCATAACAAGTTTCAATTTGTTGTTTCGTTGAATGAATGAAAATTGTGTTGAAATCATTTAAAAAAATGTAGAAACTAGACATGCATTGAGCATTGCTTGTCAGTTAGCCCATTCTACAATGATTGTAAAGTGGTTTATCATTAGAAGGCCATTTAAATGTGTTCTCTTTCAGCAGGTAATCACACGCCTCTTAAAGTTAACCTTCAAGTAATTGTTGATCCTACTCTATGTTCAATCTCCAGGCCAAATGTACCTCCATTTATCTCGCCTTTTGACAAAATCTGATTGCTTTATTACAACCATGACACTTACACAATGTGGGCGGACCTGGGAATACATTGGGGAAAGGGCCCAAAATGTTACTCGAAATTGTTTGTGCATTAAAGGGCAGAATGTAATTTTGGTGTATTTTCCAAAATTTCTACCTCACATTATAGTCCCATATTAATGTCTTACTCAAGGGTGTGGTATTGTTTTTGAGTGATTACTTATTTATTCAAAAATAGCAAACTAGGGGGATGGAGTGTGTCCCTCACAAAAATGAACAGGTTCTTCTTCAAATTGCAATTAGAGATTTGTCAAGGGCTTCTTAGGACACTAAGGACAATTATGTACTGATTACCATTAGTGTATCAAACCTGACAAGTGTCAGTGTTAGACTATCTTGATTATTGTTTACATTATATGAAGCTAACCATTTACTGTATGTAGTTGTAAACATTTACTGTATATAACCCCCCTATCACACCAAACTCGTTCTTACCCGTTCTTGCCAGTCCTACGAAAACGTCGTAAAACGGGCTCAAACTGGCTGTGGTCGGGAAATATGTCTGAAATAATTAGCTTCTTCGTTCTTAAACAGTCTTCAATACGTCCATCTCGTTCGCAGTTCGTTCAGGTCGCACCACGTCGGTGTGCAACGCCGTAGAACGCGTCCCTTAGTCTAGAAGGTCATCATGACCTGATAACAGAACGGTATGGTCGGAATCGAATTTTGAATCGATTCAAAATTCTAAAATCACATTCCCGTCTGAGAACGTTCATAAAGTTCGTAAATAGACCTTAGAAAGTTGCAGCTACGTTCATTCCGTTCGCACACAGTTTAGAACCAGTTTTGAAGAACGCAGTGGCAACTTGTTTGGTGTGATAGCTATATTTTTGCTAACTCGTTCATAAGCAGTGTTAAATACGTTCTTAATCAGTTTAAACCCGTTTGCAATGAGTTCTACCTCGTTCTCAACACGTCCTCAGACAGTTCCACTCGTTGTTAAAACGTCCCTAGTAGGATTGAAGTACGACGGTTCCGTACGTAGTACGTCTAGCTCGTCGTTAGTACGTTGTCACTCGTTCTTATTGTAGAACGTGACGACCACGAAAACATTTTGAGCATTGTCTAAGTTCTAGAGGACCTACCCGTTCGAGTACGTTCGATGAAGTTTGTAAATAGATCCCAAACGGTTCTTAGTACGTCCAGTCCGTTCGTACACAGTTGAAGCCCGTTTTCGAGAACGTAGTGAGAACTAGTTTGGTGTGATAGTAGGGTTAGGGAGGCATCAAAAGTTCGATGTTGGATAGAAAACTAAATAAATCTAGTTAGGATGGGAAGGGGTTCAAACCCATTTCAGTTTGCTATCCGACAAATTTCAACATTTCAAACTTTTGGCAATTTTGGTCAGAGTCAAAACTTGATTTATTTAGTTCCTGATCCGACATCGAACGTTTGATGCCTCCTCATAGTTGTAGCATTTACTGTGTGTAGCATGTAACCATTTACTAATCCATAATTTGCCCCTCTTACAGCACACATGTTAGATTTGGACTTTTTCTCCCAAACCACTTCTAACTTGGCTTCCAAGTCAGGTAATTTCTCAGAGAGATTACATATTTTTATATTAAGTAGTTATATTTGTTTACTCTTTTTTTAATACTTGAACATGACTTTGTATCCGATCCAGTATAACACAATCCCAGGGAAACAAGGACCAACTTGAAAAGTGTAAGGGTCTACATGTTTTTCTTGGGATTATGTGTGTACTAGACAGTTTTTAGTCATGTTTTATTTTTTACATTTTACGTTTTAATCATGTCAAGTTGACCTTTTAGGTGAAGGTATATTCAAGATTTTTTATAAATCTTAATCTTGAGTCAAGTCTCTCTTCCTTTGTCAATATATTATTATTCCATTAGTAGCAGGTGTAAACCTGAAAAGTGTCAAGGAAAGATTTTTATTACCATTGAAGGTTCTATTTGTTGTTGTTGTTGTTTTGTGATGATGGGCATGTGGGTGGTTAAGTGGGCAATATCAGTTCTATGCTTTTCCATGAAAATCATTTTGGAGTTCACTTGAAGTTTTCCAGAATGACAAATTAAAACGCATCAGTTATTGAGCATTCAAGATTGAAAATCTTCAGATATTTATTACTATTTTGAAAAACATACATGATATCCAAGAGCATATATGTTTGTTTTAACTCGACAGAAGAGGGAACATATTTTCTACTTTTATTTAATGTTATTGTTGAAAATTTTGGCTGTTTTTTAAAAGGTCTTTCCAAATGCTTGTTTTCGAGACCAATTTTTGAAAAAATGCCAACTTTCTCTTTATTCAGTTCCCTTAATTTCTGCCTGTGTGTAAATCAAAGAGACACAAGTTTAAAGGACGATTCTCGGTTTGGAGAACAGTCTCCTGGGCTAATAATTTTTTCATGAAAAATATAGAAATATTACCCAAATTAAACTATGAATATTCAAAAGAGGACATTTAAATCTACAAGATGTAAAAATAACAAATTGGTCTGAAGCAGGGATAATGCTCAATTAGACCGATTCAATAAAATACAAGTCTCGATTTGGGGAGAAGAAGTTCATCAGTGTACTGCGCTAATATTTTTTTGCAAAAAATCTAGAAATATTACCCAAATTAAATTATGACTATTCAAAAGAAGACATTCAAATCTATATTATGTAAAAATATCAAATTTGTCCGAAGCAGGGATAATGCTCATTTAGATTGATGAAATTCGTTCTCCAAACCGAGAATCGTCCTTTATTTTACTTTTCCATTTGATTACATGTATATAAAACTATAGAATGGGCTAGAAATCACACAATGTTTTATTGCTTGTGTCTTATTTATGTATTATTTATTAAAAGTGAGGTGCTCTTGCCCAACCTCTGGTGACGATACTGATCTTCTTGGAGCATAATTTACTTGATGCTCTCTGGTACATTGTTACTTCATGATCCCCGGCACATAATTTACATGTAATTTGTATTTCCATACTTGTGTATTTATTTAACCACCAATTTAGTGACAATACTATTTATATGAGATGCTTCAATAGTTTCCATCTATTTTTACATCACCACCAGAAGTGGTGACATATTGTTACAGTGAGTCTCCAATTTTTTGTGGGTGGTGTTCGGTGGTTGGTGTTTGGCATCTGTAACAAATGGCAGGTGGTGACATTTTGCATCTTTATGCCTTGTTTTCCATGTGATAGAACCTTCAATGTATATGTTATGGTGGAGGAAATGTAGTTGTCTCAATGCAGCAAACTCCTCATTGTCAAGATCGCTGAAATATTTTAAGTGGAAGCAGACCAAAGAAAATTTTGGAAGCAATCTTTGCAAAAAGAATCCATTTTCCTTACAAGCTACATTATCCTAATACTGTTTTTGAAAAAGAATTTTCTGGGATATCTGATCAAATATTGAAGGAAAAGGTTCCAGAAATATTCAAATTCATTAAGATTGGAAAGAGGAGTCCGCTTTTTCTCTTGAAAAGGAAAGTGGACCACTTTTTCAATTTTTGTGCCAGATAAGCTTTAAAGATGTCAGGATATTTTACTTTATATAGTAGTCCTTAATTGTCTTTATTTATTCCTTATTTGTTTTCCAAGAAAAGTTAAATGCATGACAATATATTGTGCTATTAATGTTTCATAATGTGTTATTGTTATGTAACAGGTTAAAATTAACTTTAACAATAGCTTATTTTATTGTACAAACTAATGCCATTAATTGTCTGATAGGCTGTATCAGATGCATGGATTTCTTCAAAGTAATGCATGTATCTTGTATTTTCTCAAACTCTAACTATTTAGGCAGTTCATATTGAGGTTGAATAATGAAAGTCTATAATGTACATTGGACAACTGCTGTTAACAAGCAATTGATCAAATACAGGAACATTTTGTATTTTAATGTCACTTTTTCGTTCCTGTACAGAGAACCATTACACATATATTTTACCTTACAACGCATATATGATTAAGCGGAACTATATTTTCATTTCCATTCAACTGATAAATCTGTTCTGATGTTTCAGCATTGGAGAAAGAATTCCTGAATGATCTGGACTCACCTAAACCCGAACCAAGCAAGCTTCAACCCCTGGAAAACATTTTGGCTAACCTTAACAACCCAGGGACAACCACATTCAGCACAGTTCCAAGCCAGGTTAAGGTGGATGAGAAACTGAGCAAGGAGGCAAACAGTGTTTTAGTGGGGCTCCCTAACCTTGCTTTCATGCAGGCTAAAGTACTGATGTTCCCTTTGAAAGGTCAGATGGATTAAAACATGTGGGGCTACCTAAACTAACATCTTTTAGGTTATGTATTAATTGATGTTACATCTGACTCTCTCTATGCTACACCCAACAAAGACCGAGGTCATTCTTATAACCAACTTATCCTGGGGGAGTAGACATTTGGAACTGGTTACCATGGTGTCCTGTAATGTTCTATTCCATTCCATCTAGTTGTGTCCTTTCAAGGACTTCTAGGTCAATGCTGGGAGCAGCACCAATGTGCGTCCATGTTCTTGGATATTGGAAGTCATATCATACATATATTGATACAAGTCACTTGGGTTCCTTGACTTGTGTATTACCATACTTATATATGATACAATATGTTGATTTGCACTATGTTCAGCCAAAGTGAGAAATGTAAGTAAATTGTAAGTGAAATATTTATTGATGTATATACCACAATTGGATTTTTCGTCAAGTTTGAATGTTGTAATGTACTGAACTGTAGATACAGTGGATTAAAATGTGCTACGGAAGTTCACAGTCAGTGTGTAAAATGTCTGTGTAATTGGTAGTAAATGCATTCAGTTATGTTAGAATACAACATGCTTTTGAGCCAGAATTGATTCACAATTACTCAGATGCGAGTAGGTAGTTACCAGTTTTGCCACCAGGTGGCTGATTCGGGGGAAATAACATTGCAGGGTATTACACAATTCCCTTAAACTTGAATATTTATCAGTTTTAGTGGTTCACTTTTCATATTACCCTTATGTATCTGATAGTAATACAAATTAAAATATGTCCAGTAAAAGAAAATATTATCTGCCCAACACAAGAAAAGATATTTCCATTTTTGTGATTTTACAACATGGGGGCTATGGGGAATCTCCCCGACCTAGAAGTCACATTTTCAAAGAAAATTAAATTTTCAAAGTTGATAAACTCTTTTTAAAACCATATTTCTAGATGTAATTTTATATGCACATTCCAAATATGACATCAGTTTGACTGAATTTTGAATTTTTAATGACTTAAATCAAGATTATTTCTACTCGCATCTAGGATATTGAGATTGTACCTCAATAAGGCTATGAATCCTGTGGCATGTTCTACTCCATTGTTATTTAGCAAATATGAAATGGTATTTTATTGTAAAGTATTTTCATAAATGGCCATACCTGATACATATTTTGACTGAACTAAAACAACATTACCATGGTACAACTAAGAGTATTATATTGTATAATATAATTAATATTTAATAATAATTTCCATCGTACTATTAAGAAAGTTATATTGTACAATATTCTTGTATGTTACCATTAGGTAATATTGAAATTTTTAAATTGTACAATATTTTGTGCGACCTTGTAATATTAAAATATTCTGCGGTACAATATTCTTATATAACCATGGTAATATTAAGATTATATATGGGACATCATTTTGTATATTACCAAAGCACTATTAACAATAATATTTGGTACAATATTTTTCTTGCATATTACCATCGTTAAGTTAAATAACCATGATGATATTAAGATAAAATTGTTTGGAACAATAATTTGAATATCATAATTGTACTTTTAAGAATAAAAAATTAATGGTGCAATTTCTTTTTTAGCACCATGGTACTATTTATAGGATATCCTATGATTTTGAGGAATATAATTTTTATCTACGAGGTGATATTGATATCTGCACGAGAGAGCAAAAAAAATTAAAATTAAAATTATATTCTGAAAAAAATCATAGGATGTTCTTATTATCCTACACTTACAAGGAGTGTACTAAATGTATAATATCATTGCAAAATGAATTTAATGCCAAATATAGTCAATTTGGCGGGAAATCAACAAGCGGAGTATATCGTCACAATATCCTCCGCATATTTGGTTTTCCGGAGTATATCGTCACAATATCCTCCGCCTGGAGTATATCGTCACGATATCCTCCACCTGGAGTATATCGTTACGATATCCTCCGGATATTCATTTTGCCAATAAATATCAAATTTATTTTTTAATGTTATTATACATTTAGTACACTAAGTGTAGGATAATACAATATATTATCGTATGCAACAAGATTTTGTACCATATTGTATGCTATGGTTCTAAGACTAATATGATACAATATTTTGTATATTATGTGTACCATAGTACTATCAATACTATTGTATGGTACAGTATTTTGTATATTACCATGGTAATATTAAGAACATTATACAGTACAACATTTTGTTTTGGGCATCAGTTTGGCTTGTGGTTGTGTGATAGTGAGCTTGCAGTATATTAAGACACAAAATGGTAAAATCAATGGTTAAGAATATTTTGAGCATATTTGTGCAATATGTCACATCCAAGAAGTTTGATTGGATTTGCTGTGCCTTGCTTGTGTCTAGTTTAGACCTACCATACAAAAATTTGTGAATTCCTCAGAATAATTTAAATATCAACATATTTAGAATAGAAAAGAAAGAGTGAACATGCAAATAATAGCCACAGTATGGAATGATAAAAATTATACTCGAATCAGATAGGTCCATTTGCTTTTAGTTGTTAACTCCTTTATTTCTTCTATGATGCCCCCAGGAAGATAGGCAGCCATTATTCAAACTCAATCTTCTGTTGCCTGGCGTGGAACAATTTAAAATATATTACTTTAAGGTTTTTGGGACTAAGTATTTCATTAAGAGATGGACGTTTTGAATATAATGGTAATATTCAAGCTTCCTTGGCAGTTCTCGTCTTCTAAAAATGAGTAATATTGTTACCAAATTGATGCACACCTAGGCAATGGAGGATCCAGTTTGAATAATTGCTTCCAATTCTTGATGTTACCCACTATATTGTGCCAGCTATATTATAGATGTAATACATGTTAGAAATAAGCATTGTAAATAATTGCATCTGGTTATTATCACTTCGATGTTACTGTTGACATTAAAGACGCGGTAACATTAAAAATTGTGAAATTATGTGTAAAATAAAAGTGATTATATATGCATCAATGCTATTATAGTAATGTTAAATGTGTTTTGCCTCGCCAATCCCTGAAACAGTTTTGCACAAATTCCAACTACATTGCACTTCTACTAATGACAAGTAGTGTACCTTGAACTAGAACTTAATTTAAATGAGATAACCTACCCAATGGACCTCTTCAGCGAACTGGGGGTATGCTACCACATATAAGTGAATTTGAAAGAATGGCAAGTGTAAAATGCATTCCTTTCAAAAATTGTACCATGCCTCCATTTTAATTCTTGCTTGATCCTGATATTTACTTTCATCTCGTCTCTATTTTAATTGTAGTACTAAATAAAAATTTCAAAAAGGCCTTGGTTAAGCTTTAATTTCCTGTTTAAGGACCCCTATTTACTTTTGAAAATGGATTCTAGCAATACTATACCATATGGATGTACTTGTTGAGATTCGATCAACTTGAGTTCTGAGAAAATGAGGATTTCAGCAAGGGCACGTTGACATAACCAATGGTGACATATGTGATTATATCCTGATGCTAAGTCATCGGTCAATGGTGTATGGCCCCATGTAAGGTCAATTCACCCTTGCTGAAATCCTCATTTTCTCAAAAAATCAAGTTGATCGAGTCTCAACAAGTAGATTCATGTTGGATAGTATTGCTAGAATCCATTTTCAGTAGTAAGAATGTGGGTTCTTAGACAGGACATTGGACCTACTGTTTAGAACTTTTAATTACTGGTACTATTTTGCCTAAAATAAAATGCTAAAATAAAAACTACTTTCAAATAAATCACTCGGCATTTATATTTTATGTACATTGTGTATAAAAAATTATTATATCGAATCTCATTATATAATAAAATGTCTCATTGTCAATAAGAATCTGCACTGCCATCTTTATCATTCTCCAATTTATTTCACGCGTCATGTGTATCATTAATAACCTCATCCGTTCTTTTGGAGAAAACATCTTCGCCAGCATCAGTGTCATTTTCAACCAAAGGTAGAGAGCCTTGAACTACAATTCCTTCATCGCCTTCAACAGGTGGACCCATTGCAGCCCATAGGGGATTGGATTCTTCGCTGCTAGTAAATGAACCATTTTGCTGAATGGTAAAGCAGAGCATTAAGAACAAAAATATACAAACTCCAAAAAAGTTGTCAAAATAAAGTGAGATGGGCAATTACTGGATTGAAATAAAGTTATTGAAACATTCATGTAGTTATTTACATATTTGTCATTTAACGTTACAATTATTTACATGTAGCTTTACAATGGTAAAACAGAAAGAATTGAATGTAACATACCCCAGTTTGATAATAATCCTTGTTTTCATCTAAACTAAAGTCTGTGTAATCAACATTTGAATTGGCGGCCATCAACTCGTCCAAAGATTCCTTCAAGTCGGCAAATGTTGGCCTGTCTTCTGGATTTTCCTCCCAACACTGCATCATTATATCATACCTTATTATTAGGAATGAAATGGTTATTCATGTGATTTAGTAATCCCAATACCGCCAGTACATGCAACTACACATTCGTTTTAGAATTATCTTTATTTACTATCTTTATATATTTCTTGTGTTTTCATACCTCCCAACAATTAACAATATTACTACAACGTAATGTGACATGATTCTTCTTATAAAGTGGTTTTGTTGCCAATTACATATTTGTTTATATCTTCAGAAAATGTATGTCAATTCCAATATTAAGAAGGTTAAGTTACACGTTTTCAATAGAACGTGAACGTGTAGGATTGTGGTTATCTAGGGATTTGTTCTCCCCTTGGTTGCTATTACTTGCCCAATTGAGAATAAAGGTATAAGGAAAATAGTTGTAAATAGGTCACTATAAATTGAGACGAGGACAGTAACCCCCGACGGACATACTATTTATGTTCACGTACAAGTTATATCAAAAACGTTCAACTTAACCTCCCTATTAGTGTAATTTGACCGTCTCTTCATTTAACAGTCAATATCCTTACAGAGCATCTGGACAGTTTTCCGTCTTCTCAATTCTATAGCCACGCTTGAGTTCCTTCAAGAGGTCTTTGTTAGCAATAGTAGGGTAAGGTGTACCTCCCATAGTAATTATCTCGAAGAGTACAATTCCAAATGACCACCTAGTGTATTGAGATATACGCTGAGTTAGATAAATCATTCAACTGTAATTTTGAAATTATGTGTCGATAAGAGAAGATTCGGAAGGCATGCACAATATGAGATACCTATGATAATGAAAGTAAGCGTATACTCAGGGAAATAAATGTGAACTTACACGTCACTTGCAGTTGTGAAGCTCAGATCAAATATGGCTTCAATTGACATCCACTTTAATGGTAGCTTTCCCCCTTTTTTTGGTACATAGACATTGTCTGTGTAGACACTCCTTGTAAGGCCAAAATCACTTATTTTAGCTGTCCTGTTTTCTATTAAAATATTTCTGGCAGCAAGGTCGCGATGGACAAATCCTTTACCACTCAGATACTCCTTAAAAGACAACCAAATAATAATATCTAACTCAGTTGTATGCCAACTATTGGTTATGGTATCATTCCAACAGTTTTAGGGCAGAAATGGGATTTATTGCTAGTTTCCTTCAAAATCTTTTTCAAAAAACCCTTTTAACTTCACCAAAAGAATCAGGATTTTTGGAAAATATCAGACCAGGCCTATTATGTTTGACGCGAATTGTGAGGCTTGATCTTTAACCTTCGAGCGCGTTTTCTGGCTGTACTCTCAACATACAAGGTACAGTGAAGTATGTCTCTTACCATGCCCATTGCAATTTGTCGCGCAAAAGAGAGTAGATCTATCAGCTCAACTTTATCAGTTATTTCAAGACAATCGTTTTCATCTCCTCGAATGCTCTTATCATCAAATGATTCTGAATGGGTCGAAACACCATCAATCGCTTCATTGTTTAAGTTGTCCAGTTGTTCGTGCTCACCAAACAATGCAGCAATTTGGCATTCGGGGTCTTCTAGATCATTTTTCATTTCTTTTATATCAGCAGACATTGTTATTATAGGAGCATCGTGTTTAAACACCATCTAAAGAAAAAAATGATTAGATTAGATTGTATTTCTCAAACATAAACCTGCACATCGCTCCAAAACGCAATATGTTGACTTATATTGTTTTTACATTTTTAAGCTCTAATATAAAGTTTATGTAAATAAAAATTGTTTTTTCTGCGTAATATCAAAGAACAATCATTTAGATAAAAAAAATAAAAAAGCGAATGCGGGATTCGAACCCGGGCCTCCCGCGTGCTAAACGAGAATTCTACCGCTACACCACCGTCTTATCATGATTGGTGGAAGTAATTAAAAGCTACTTATTTTGAATGCTATGATTCGGAAGTGACGTCACGTTCTTCATTTAGAAACCTTTCCAAAATCATATCGTCGGCGCCGATCGAAGCAATTTAATGAAAAATCTTTTAAATGACACATTTATCGTAAGTATTTCTACACAAGATTTGCCCCATTTGTTCATCATTCTATAATCTTTCATTAAGCTCAAAATGATAAAGTGCACCCCCGAAACAACCCAAGATTGCGTTTTGGAGCGATGTGCAGGTTTAATCGCCAAACATTTAGATCCTTTGCGCACTTTTTGTATGTAATTCAATTTTGGAGATCTTGTCATAGAATACGTTATCTACCCTAGTTTTTTATTTGTTGATAGTGACACATTGTTTCATTATTCAAGTTCTAAATCCTTTCTTTCATGGTGTATTGGTGTATCAAAAGTATTACACTCACGTCGACACGATGTTTTCTCAAGAAATGCTGCAGGTCCCCGTGAGGCACATACTCCACAATGAGGCACAATGGCTCACGTATTGTACAAGCTCCAACCATACTGACAACATTGGGGTGAGCTCCTATCTTCTTCATCAAATTGATTTCTTTCCTGAACTCATCTTTTGCAGATTCAGATGCAAAATCTACAAATTATCATTATACTGTTCTATGCTTGCCTTCTGGGCAACTCTCTCTCTCTATCTTCATAAATATGTTTTGGATAATGTTTAAAACCAGACATGGCACCAAAATGTTACAGAAGAGGCCGACATAATCGTGTGAACTGATGAGAGTTTCCAGTGCATTTCTATTACTCCATGATGATATTTTTAAGATCTAATACTATAGTACCTGATAGTTTAACTGTGGATGGAACAATAACTTATAGAAAAAGACAAGAAATGGTACACCAACCATGAAGCATTTTGATCGCAACCGTGATGTTGGATGACATTGTTCTTGCAACGGGATTGTTACTTATAGCATCTTGATGTGTCAATACACTGCCATGTATAATGCCCTTGGAGACTTGTCCAAATGCTCCTTGGCCGAGTATTTCACCAAACAATAGTCGCGAATGTGGGATTTCCCACCTGTCGCCTTCTATGGATGGTTTCCTAAACCAAATGAGAAGAAATGATCGACAAACTGTATCACTTGGACTCTATTTGCCACAATCATGAGTTGCTAAATAATCTAAGAGAGAGTAAATGGCAAATATATACAGTACATGTATAATATGTAGTATGCATTTTGTATGTTTCCATTTTTTAATGGATCGATATGGGCCAAACATCGTAGGATAAGAGCACGCGATCAGCGAATTAGCAGTTCGTCGGCTTCCCTTGCACCAGAAACAAATTCCAGGAACGGCGGGTGGATACTACATTTAGTATTGTACCTTGCTAACTGTTTAGCTATGTGCTCATCCAATCTGTTTTTTCTAGCCTTTTCAATTTGTTTCCTTTTCTTTCTTTTGAATAGCAGAAGTCCTACAGTGACTACGCATAGACAAGTTACACACAAGGGAGTTGCAATGAGCACTGGAAGATTCTTCTCTACGTCTGTAATAAAGATATTATTAACGTATTTGAGAATATTCAAAAATATGGGATATGGACTCATTTTGAATCAAAATATCTAAACGCGCTTTAACATATGGAATGCAATGTTTGAATATTTCTGTTAGTATTAGGGTTGGCTTCAAAATATCAATGTCTGATAGGAAACTAAATAAATTTAGTTTTGACCTAGACCCCCATCCCTCCCCAAAACTAAATAAATCCTCAAATGTTGAAATTGCGAAGTTTACGCTATATTTTTGTAAAATTTTGTTCTGAAATTAAAAATATCCACCATAATAGTAACTTATCAATCATAATTTTTGACCTTTTGTTTAGTTTCATATCAGAAATTGATATTTTGATGTCGCTCCTACTACTCACTGAGACCCAAGAAATAGCTCTCGCATGCCTGGGTGTTACATTCTTCTACTACATCCTCTTTTAAAACGCAATGTTTGTCTGTGACGTCATCAGAAACCCGCTGCCTCTCTCTTACTTTATAAAGATGTCCTTTACTACAAGTTTTGGTGCATTCCGTCTCATTTTGCCATCCGCCCCAAGTCCCACAGTATTCATCTAAAATTCACTAAACTTAATGGTTTCCTCTCGATTGAGTTGTTCAAGGTTCTGATGCAAGATTTAAGAAATTGCTGATTAAAGATATAACTGTATAAACAGGAAAAATATAGACCAAAGTAGCCCATTTCAATGAAATACCCGGGGATCACTCTAAAACTACATGAAGATCATTTAAATATTAATTGTCCAATTTAAAACTCTTTCGTTTATGAACGTTTATAAATGCATTGCACTATCCTTTGATAAAATGGGCTTGTATTTAAAGAATGCAATATCGTGAAAATTAGACATCATACAGACATTCTGTCAAACAGTTACTGTAAGTGTTTAATTACAACATAATAAATGGCTTATAATCATTTATTATTCAGTCTCACCTCCACATCTTTGTGTATTGCAGGGCATGGATGAGTCAAAAGATTGCTCCTCTGTGCATCTACCTCCACTTCTACGTACGCCTAAAGTGTACCTCGTTTTCCCAGTTGGTTTTTCCCCTTTACCACAGGGGACGCTACAATTGCCCTCCCTTTCTATAAATTCACTCAAAGAGCAGTTACCACCTGATAAATTGAGGAAATTCGAACAAAATCAAAGTTGTCCAGTTTCTAAGACTTTAAAATACAGGGTGATCATAATGTATCTTTACAATTATAATACAAAGTGTAAAGAGATTTTATGTACACGGTATACATGCACATTTGAGTTAAAAGTGCAGGAACGTACAATCTATATAAATTGCTTCATCGATCTTATTAAACCTATTCTCTGTAATACAGTCGCTGTTTCTTTTTTGAAAACAGAATATCCGTGTTAATCTTTTCAACGAGTCAAATCATTCTTTGACTTATGTTAATGAATTTTCAAACTTACGACAATATCTGTTCAACACAGGCAACATATTTGCCAGGAGATCCCCGACCTTTTCCACTTTCTTAAAGTTAAGATAATCTGGATCGGTTGCTATTGTTTTGAACTCTGCATCCCGGAGCCTGGTGTTCTTACCACTTTCGAGTATACCGAACACAATAACCTAACAAAGCATTAGCGTGTAAAATGTCATCTTGCCCACCTGTCATTTGTTACAGACGCCGACCGTCAACCACCGAACACCAACAGCCGAACGCCGAACATAAATCGCCAACCATCGTCCACAAAAAACTATTATAATATTACTTGTGGTGGTGACATTTTAAATGAAATTTCCGCACACATATATTCAATCTAACAAAGGTCTTTTAGAGACGGCTCACTGTAAGATATCTAAAATCAATGTATGGGTGATGGTAACGATTTTAAAATTTAAAATTAACAAGAAAAAATGACTTACATCCGCCGTGTGCTTTGCGTGTAATAGTTTGGCTTTCTCCGTAGTGTCTGACTGATATGTAGGGGCTGTTATTGCGTGGCCCAACATAATGACAACATTTGGTACATCTGGCCTATCTCCATTTTTTGCATTATATATTTTTTTCATTAACACATCCAATGCTTCATTTGTTCTCATCTGACAATACGCGTTTGCCATGTTTATGTCCATTTTACTAATATGTTGTTGAAGTGCCAAAGTAGAAGTTATGTTGTTTAGAAAATTATAGTATCTGGGTATGACGTATTTGTTATAGCGTAATATGGCGACTTGGATAAGGTCAGGTCCTATATCTAAGGCTCTGGCAAATTGAATAAGAACATTTCTAAGTGCAATGCGAACGTCTTTTTTCCCAAAACCACAACCAATGTCTATCATTAATACTAAATCTAGAGGACAACCTGAAAAATTAAGACATAATATTTTCTTGGGTTCTGTGCATGTGCTCATTTTGATCCATCAAGGTATTACAGGTTCGCACTTTGGCACCTGAAAAGTGCTCAAAATGGTGAAAACTGCATGATTTTGATTTAGCATTTTTGGGCTAGGGGAGACCCCTCCCTGGCTACAGGCCTGTAAAGTGTACTAATAAATTGAGATTCAATGCTAAACAAAAACACTGTGTTAGTTTATTTATTTTCAGTAAGTTAATTTATTTTCATCAATATGATTATAACGTTTACAGGAGCGCATTATTGTTAATTGAATCAAGTCATTTTCTGCCATAATCTAATGCATTAGCAAATTGAAACATATAGTAACTGCCAAGTACACTCTACACAACAATGATAATAACTCTTCTAGCATTAATACGTCCATCGTAGGATAAATAAAATAATTTTATCACAAGATACAGTATATCAAGAAATATTCTTACATATTCCCCTTCTAGTAAATAATTATCCTAAATTACAATACCCTTGCCCTTATGTCTCGAACTTTCCAGAGGCCGAGCAATTCAATAATATTGATATTACATAAGTGATTCTTATAACATACCTATGATGATGTTGGTGCAAAGTGTACACAAGACAGCGGGCCAATATAAGTTTTGAAAAGCCCGCGCCCGCTAACTTTCTGATTGGTCAAGGCGCTGACGTCATAACCAATCAATCGAAGATAAAACTGCGCGAGCAATTTTTCTAAACTCATTTCAATCATTTTCAAACCATTTGTTTGTCAATTCTATAAGAAAACGGTACTCTCTGCTGACCAGTCTACATCATCATAGGTGTGTTATAAATCGTTTATGTCACTATCGTGGCACATATGCCCTCGGTTCTCAGAGATCAATGTCCCTCCCAAGGTCGGGCCATATATCACTGAGACCTCGGGCATATATGCCACGATAGTGACATAACCTCTAAATACTTACTGAATCTTCGACAGCTTTCATTTGCTATGCATTTTTCATTTGTACATCTACCCTCTGAGATAACAATACTAGGCCACTGGACCTTCTGAAAGTTTTATCAAATTGAATCAATGAAAATATAAGTGACATACTACTATTTCGTAGAATTTAAAAACCACATCTGACGCGTTTCGACAGCAATTATAAGCTTTGTAAGTTATACGTAGCCTTGCCCAAGTCGGTCTCTTTTACTTATCTTGATTTCTATTATGGTAATAATTCAAGATCAGATTAGTAAAAAATACCGACTTGGACAAGGCTAAGTTATACGTTATACGGGAATAAACATGCTATAAAAGAGGTTCACAATCTAATAAAATGATTTTTGTGAAATGCCCAATATTTGACCAACAATACACAGTATGCGCCTGACAGTATGTAGGTAATACAAGGGGCAAATGTGATGCCTTTATAATGGAAAACAGCCATTAGATGCAATACTGACAGAAACTAAAAGCTGAAATAATTGTATTTTACAAAATTAATAGTATTATAACGGAATTTCATTTGCAATAGAATAATGCCGGACACATAATTGCTATACATCGCGCAACCCTGCTCATTATGGAGTAGCTAGATTTGATGGAATGAGTATTAAAATATAACTTTGACATTCTATGTATACATGCACATCTTCAGAGTGAATATGAGGTACACATTTCAATGTATCAAACGTTCGATGATATACATAGTGTTAGAAAAGAAGTATGTTTTGGATTAATATATGCATGTAGTAATTGACACTTTAATAAAATAAATAAATAGTTACTGTATATGTTTTCTGTAACAATCACATTATGTTACTTAGCTATTGATAATCAAATTAATTCAATATACCATTATGGTATATTAATTATGGTATGGTATATGAATGGTTATTTTAGCAAAAGTTGAATCAACAGAAGGAACATAAAAATTTTAAAGAGAGAATCAGATCGAGCGAGCAGGCAATTGTACATGTTGCTTGTAACTTCGGTGTCACCCCTATAGATCTGATTCTGCCTTTAATTTAAAATAATACCAATGATATTACTCAGGGACCAGGATAAAAAAAAGTAGGGGAGTTAAATGTAGGCTAAATTGGGTACATAACTACATGTACCATTAGATATCATTTCAACAACAGTTCGATTGTTGAATAAGCGTTTCAATAAACATATTTCTATACTTTCTGTAAAATGAGGGTAAGGCTCTTGTCTCGCCTTCCATGCCTCCCCATTCCTGGCGGCTACGATCATTGATGTACGACTTTTGCTTGACTGTTTGAAATGCCTTACCTTATCGAGTGGGTCCTTGAAGACACGGTCACAGCCGCAACATTTATCTGGATAGAGCGTATCGTTACAAAGAGGCATGCCCTCAGTACATCCATTTATCTGGGAAACGTGTAAAATATAACCTGTAAACAATTATTGCACACTTTTTGAATCTTGAATATCAACAGCATTCATTACCATAATATTTTTTATAAATTCTTCTACTTTTTTGTTTTGAATAAATAACTGCCATTTTCAAATATTAAAATACATATGATATACTATATTTAAATACTTACATGATATGAAAATATGTATCCATTTTTTCCCGTGTACGTTCATGACAGTATCGCTCTGATATTTGCGTTCGTATTAATATATATTAATATACATGTATAACAGAAACCATTGTGCATATCATGTAAAACAACGCTCAAAATTCGAAACAAAGCGCTATTGTCGAGTAATATCCTGGTTAAACAAATGAGAGTATTATTAGAGTAATCTGTAATAATGTTGTGCGTGGTTTTGCTCGGATATGATCACATTGATGAAGATAGACACTGAAGATGGTGAAACTTAGATTGAAATCAAATCGTGAAAAGATAAATAGTATAACGGGCAAATGAGTTTTTTATTTAGTTTTATTTATATTTTAGTAAGCTCTGAAAGTCTTGTGGGGATAAAGTTATACCCGATCAAATATACCAGGAGTGATGCAATGGTCCTTTTTCTATATAGCTTTGAAATCTCGTTAAGGTCTTGTTTTTAATGAGATTTTAGGAGATCTGCATTTTTAACCATTAAAAACTAATGTTTTCTTCCATCTGATGACATATTTGAATTCTGTGAGTAATTCTCTATCAAAACAACTTTGATTTGCACTGTAATTTACCATTATTCAAATTCTAATGATTTACTGGTTGTCTAAAAAAGGTCGGGCTAAATCCCCATTGACACAATGCTGAAAAACCTTAAAAAGTTCATTTACTCTTCCAAGGATCACAATTTTAATGTGAAATCACAATCCACATGTCAATAAGATCATAATGTTACATTCCAATGATGTTTTAAGTTGATCCAAATGGAATTACTTCTTAAATCAAGAAATTAAGTGACTCTGGCAATACATCTACATGTATTCTAGCCCTACCCAAGCTCTACCAATACCCATGATGCCATCTATTTTTCATTTATATGGAAAAAGGTCAATTGCAATCAAAACATGTCAAATCGATCTACCTCTGACTATTTGTATAATCAGCTTTAAATCTAGTTTCTATATCACTTTATTGATATTATCCTTGAGAATAAGAATTGTCTACTGTTACAAAATGTTTGGATAAGTACAGGCCCGTGGGACTGATTTACAAGGAGAAGCGGTTTTACCAGGGGGGGGGGCTTTTGCCAGGGGGGGGGGGGTTGCCAGTCTTGGCACAAAATCATGCGAAAAGTGCTCAGAATGATGAAAAACTGCATGATTTTGAAAGAATCTCTGGCCAGGGGCCGCTTCCTCCGCGCCCTGGTTAGGGCCTGAAGTACGTGTAGGTCAAATCTTTTCTCTTTTAAGTGATACTTTTTGCATTTAAATCTCTACAAAACATCACAAATGATTTTTACATTAAAGATTTATGTTTTGGAAAAAGTTGATATCCAGACTTAATTATTTTTAAATAAGTTTTTAATGCGTTAACATGTAGTTTCAGTGGTGTGTTCGCTTGCTGAATACTAATGCCCTCTTTTATCCAAAGCTAAAATTAGTGTGTGCCAAAACTCCAGAAAATCACAAAAACCTATGTTGTGGTAGCTTACTATGAAGTGACCCATTATCATTATAGATTGGTCCATCAACTATTCATTTTTACTTGTCTGCACTCAAAAAGGTGACACGAAAGGGCTAAACGGCTTGCACCAAGGTTCAACCATCAAAAAGATGAGTTTGATAAAAAATTATTTTTTTCAAATAATAGCAATGGGTATACAATATAGGAGGCAAATTTGATATTGATAAGTATGATAGTCCATTTGCGTGTGGCCATTTTTATAAAAAACAATAATTGTGAAGAATTGTATATTTCTGACCTGAAAATACCATCTTAATTGAAAAGTCATGGTTGTTAATGATAATATTCCTATTTCACCTATTCATTGTTTTCAAAATATTTTAATTACCATTATATTCATTTTTGGCAAAGTAAATAAATATAGGGCTCACACAAGGATCAACTTTATTTGCAATATTTTCATATTAAGTGATGTTTTGAAAAAATATAAGGTTAAACACAATTTTATTTGTTAAATGTTTAACAAAATAAACAGAGTGTGTTTATTTCATTGTTTTGACTGAAAAATCGCAATTCATTGCTCTTCCTCTAAGAACGGCAGGGGATATACAAGTACATAAACAGTCTTAAAAAACGTTGATCCTTGTGTAAGCCCTACACTTATTTACTTTACCAGAAACTGATATAATGGTTATTCGTCGGTATGAAAATCATTTCAAAGGTAAAATAGGAATAATGTCTTTGAACTTGGAATAAAAAGCATTATATGGTTAGAAATACCCAATTTTTACCATAATTGTTTTTAATAATATAACCATACCCTCATGGACTATCTTTACATTTCAATAACCAATGTGCATTATATCTTGCATGTTTTACTGCAATTATTTGTAAAACTATTTTTAAATCTTACATTTTTGACTGGAAAATGAAGAGACAATACTCAAATATACTCATATTATTGGTCACATTTGGTTATTTCACCCAAACAGATTCGAGATTTTTTAGTCCAGGCATATGAAGAAACTAGTGTGAATTAAATGGTCATATTATTTGTTGTTTGATTTAGCTAAATATAATATGTTGAACCTGCTTTGGCCATTAAACTTTAAATTTGCTTTAAATTTAGATTTTGGAAAACACATCCGCTTACTGATCCAATTCAGAACTATTAAAGAAAGTAACTCTCGTGAAAAACTTAGTCATCGTGACTGTTTATTACTAATTGCAGTCATTAAACTAATGACCTCATATTTGGATATCCTCTCTTCTGATATGATTTTACAATTTACTTCAAATTGGCAAAGGACCAGGTATAGTATGGCAAGTGATATTTGATCGTCATATATTTTACCATGACTACTTTCTCAATATAAATATGACATTTCTCAAAAACACAATATGTTATCTTTCAAGAAAATTCAATTCTCAATCATTATAAAAATATCATTCAAACAATCTAAAAAACTATGAATGGGGAACCCATCTCAACATTTTTTTGAAATTATTTACTCAACAGAGGTTCTTCTTTTTTATTTGAATTGCATGAAAATATTATTCAACAAGTGGTCTAAAACTTTTTCATTAGTAGAATTGTAATGAAAGTGTAGTTTTGGAGATATGAATTTTCAATGACCAAAATTATGTTGAAAACGATGGATAGTCTGAGTTTTTCCAATGGTAAATAACATGGATTTTGTGGTTTTTAACTTTATCACATTTCAATACCCGTCCCCTTTTCAGAATTTGTTAATTCATTAGCGTAGAAGTACTTTTGATATATTCGAATTAAGAAAAAATACTTTAGAAAATAAGCCTAATATTTTTCAAAAAGTGACAAGGTGGGGATCTTATCAATAATATTTCAGATATATTTTCAAATATTTATATTTTCAATTGCAATTTATTTATACATTCAAGCATTATGTTTACGAATGTTATTAATAACAGGTGGCACCACATTTGATGCTTATACCCGTACATATAGTAGTAAAATCATGTAGCGTATCATTAAGTTCTCAAGGAATCAAACCAGAATGAAATCATAAAAAATAAGTTGAAAAATAAAGGTTGAGGGGGATTCATGATGTTTTTTCTTTTCAAGTGAAGAAGTTGGATGATATCATTTTTATCACAGGGACTTTACATAAGAAAAATCATATTGTTTTCACAAAAACACGTTCAGCCCCAAAACGCCAAATACTAATTAGATATTGAGCTATGACCTTGAAATGATCTTGATCCATAAACACTGACTTATAGATCTCTTGTCACTTTATCATTGGTCATTAAATAGGACTGTAGCCCCACATTTGCCAACTACCTAGATATTGACCTTGAAATGACCTTGACACCAGGTCACCTAATCATTGGTCGCCAAAGGTCACAATTCTTCTCAATTGCCTTTAACTCCAAATTGCTAGATATTGACCTTGGAAGTCACCCTATCATGAGTCGCTAGGGGCCACAGCAGATACCAGAGGGCCTTAATACACCAAATACTTAGATACTGATATTTGACATTGGAATAACCTTGACCTCAGGTTACACATTCATGATTCACAAATGGTAACCTTACCCTAAAAACGCCAAATACTTTGATATTGATGACCTTGCAATCATCTTGACCTATAGACCTTGACCCTGACAACAGGTTGTCGGTTGTTAAGGGTCAGAATTGTTCTCAATTGCCTTAAAACACCAAATTGCTAGATATTGACTTTGAAATTACCTACACCAAAATGTCTTAAAATGCCAATTATCCTAGATATTGATATTTTAAACCTGAAATGACCCTGACTTTTGACCTATGTTGAATACATATTTTATGAATAAAACATACGAAGTTGAAAACTGATTTTTTTAAAATGAAATTGCTGCTAATGCTTCAAAACTAAGGTGTCTTTATTGCAAAAGTAATATTTAAATTGAATAAACCAAAAGAGATAGACTTAAATATCTAATTTTCCATCAGATTTAGTAAAATTACTACTCTTAAGTAAATGTTGCAATGAATGCTCACATATAATATCTTGTTGTATATCAATCTAGTGCAACTGCTACAGGTATCACTCTGACACGTATCTGTAAACAAATCAAACTTCTTTGATGTTGATGTAATGCAAATTGGTATCTTTTAATATGACGTCCGTAAGATAAACCATCAATACTTCTAGGATTGTCAAAACTTGCGAATAAAATCAATTCCCTCTCATCACTGTCACACCCATTACTACAAGATGATGTCTCTTAGATCACTGTCTGCAAGCTATAAACTAAGTGATGCACTAAATGCTCGTAATACTTTTTTATTCAAAATCAAAAGTCAATGATACTATTCCTATTTTACCTATTAAATGATTTTTATATATCCGAATAACCATTATATACGTTTTTGACAAAGTAAATAATTGTAGGGCTCACACAAGGATCAGCTTTTTAAAGACTTTTTCGAAATGGTGTAGACTCTCCTGCTTGCGAAGCAAGGGCGATGAATTGAGATTTTTCAGTCGAAACAAGAAAACAAACATACAATTGTTTTTTCTTCAACAAATAAAAAATAAAATTGAGTTTACCTTTCAAAACATCACTTAATATGAAATTGCTATGAACAAAGTTGATCCTTGTGTGAGCCCTATAATTATTTACTTTGTCAAAAACTAATGAAATGGTTATTGGTATATTTAAAAAACACGGACTATATAAAATAGGAATAATATCCTTGACAACAGTAAATTTTTAATTGAAAACGCATTTTAAGGTCATAAATATCCATTTTTTACCATAATTGTTTTTCATAAAATTACTACACTCGAATGGACTATCATTACACATCAATATCAAATTTGCATCTTATTTTATATACTTACAAGTATTATTTAAAAAAATGTATATTTTGCAAACTTATCTTTTTGACGGTTGCACCTTGGTGCAAGCCGTTTAGCCCTTTCGTGTCACTATTTTGACTGCAGACAAGTAAAAATGAATAGATAATAGATCAATCTAAAATGACTATGGGTCAATTCATAGTAAGCTACCACAACATAGGTTTAGCCTAACTAAGCCACTTAGAAAGCAATTTGGCACACACTAAATGGCCTGTGATTAATTTTCAAACTTCATGATCTTTTTATTGATTTTTTTCTTATGCCTACTTCGTTTTTTGTTACACATTTTTCTTTTTATTTCCTTTTCCTTTCTTTTTCTTCTGTTGTTTACTCGCCTTTTGACAGTTATTCTTCGTGCACAAAGTTGGCTTGCGCTCTTTGATAGATTCTTGCAGTACCTCTGCTTGTCCCACTGTGAACTGCTCCATGCATTTGTCCTCAATGTAATTCATGTAATTTGTAACGGGGTCTATACCTTTGTATGGAAGCACTTTGGGGAGTGATTCCCCCGGTCCAGTACACGTATCACGACCGATATCGTCGCACCAGTAAGCAGATGTCAGCTCAGGGGGAGTATCTATTACACCGTCGTCCTCTTCTGGATTGAGGGCATTGTTACACTTTCTGCTTCGAAAGGTGTGGTACAATCCAAGATAATGACCAATCTCATGGATCAGCGTGATGCCACGGTTCCAGGAAGGGAAACGATCACCACCTGGGAATGCCTCATGATGAATGAATAATCCATGGATGGAGGAATTTTCTGGACCTTCATGCGGGAAGGAGGACCAGCCGGCGGTGTCATGATAAGGGTCACAAGTAATTATATTGATATATTTTTCAGGTTCAACAATGTATTTAGCTTTAAGTTCCTTGTAGTAGTAATCACAATAGAAAAACATCTTCATATCATCGGTTCTTGTGACTTCATCTAACACGAATCGTATCCCTGTATCGGGACCAACAACTTTACCAAGCACACCTTCGTATGCTCTGTTCAATCGATTGATGGTTTTTCTTATTTTGGATGCATCTATCCAACCACCAAATCTAGAGTATATAACATGAAGTTTTACAGGAATTTTCACATAAAAGTTTGGATCAACTGCTGGCTTCAGATCATCTTCGTCTTCGGGAAATATTGACCGTTTACTGACCCTTTTCGTGTTCTTCTTGTTGTTGCCTTTGCGATTGTTCTGTCTCAGCTTTCGACGCTCGTTCTTTTTACTGATGCGATCTGGTAACATCACTTCTCCTTTATTGTATTTTATTGCGCACCGACCACCTCCTATAATAACCAATTTTTGAAGTTAACGATAAGAAAGCACAATTCTACACGTTTACATTCACGTGCACGTTTACTTTAAACGTGAAGCTTAACCTCTCTGTTAACGACTCAATTTGTCAAAGGTGAAATAAATGTTAATGCTTCAATGGATCTTAATCAAATATATGTCATATTATTTCCGACATCCATCATGTACTGTTTTATTAGCTTGATGGTTGAACGACGTGATTTCGTTGCATTCTAATCATGAATGAAAACTAACTTTATTCAATTATTGAATATCGCTGTGTACCTGTCCCACGTTATACAAGAGGATGATATTGCCGTGGGAGATTTCGGTAAGACATTTTAAAATATTATGAAAATATTTACAAATTACTCAAACATGCTCCTCTGGAAATCGAACACGGTTCATTGATTGCGGTCCAAAGCTCCTCCACCTAGGGTCATTATAAATGTACTATATTTGTACTTCAAATGAAGTATCTTGAATAATTTGTACCAGGTATTTCTAATTTTTCATGACGTATTTTACAAAATAATTGCAATGGTAGTGGCAAATGGTAAATGGGTATAATTTCATGCATTTAAAACTCTGTTAAACGCCACTGAATCTAATCGAAAATACCATGTATATTATATACTATATGTATTAATACCACACGCGGTCAACAGGCACATTGTACTAATTGTCATGAATAAAATGCCAATGACACTTTTTAAACTTTACAATTGATTTATTATCCGATATAAAATACCAATGAAATTACTCGAAGATATAGTTTAATCTCTTTTACATTTGAATCAATTAGATGACATTTCTCTGGAAATTATCAGCATAATAGAACTTTAATATTTGTGTAAGAAATTGTAAAACACGGCAATTTGAATTGGTGAACGCACTTTATTCATATGAACCAATTAATAATAGATTACAGTCGAATCAGATTACTCTTATAATAAAAAAAATTAGTGAGAATTAATAACAAAATATCAATAATCGTAATTGTGTTATATTGGTCTTACACGTTAAACATTATTTATTTTAGAGACAGATTTACACTAAACTTCAAACTTGATTATGCGTTATATTGGATATCATTATCTTTCTATACGTACATACTGTAATTAAGATTCATGCTGTTTGATTACCTGGCTGAGGAAGTCCAGTCAAAATAATTTTTTAAAGGTTTCTTAAGGTTTACCTGTTTCGTAAAGGATGTCATCCAAGATAGGTCCTTGATCCGACTCTAAACTTGGGTCAAACATTTTCTTCCTCGCGTCAACCTCTCCACCAGGTCTTGCCATTTTCGGTTTGCGTAGCGTCTTTGGCATTCTACGACGCATTGCCTGTTGCTTCTTCAGCATAAGCTTATCAGTCAACTCGTCCACTTGGCCTTCATACGGTGGAATGTCGTCATCGTCCCCATCCCTGGGGATATTCCATTTATAATCCAGACGGTTATATTTTGCCGAAACACATATGAGACTGACGAGATAGAATACCACTAAGACTGGAGTACGAAACATGATTTCAAACTGACACATACAGCATTATTATTTATGTCAGAGCTGGTTCTGGACAGTATTTCCAATATGTTAACATTCGTATTTAAATTGATCAAATAAAACGTCATTCTTTGTTCGACCAAATGATAACTTACTTGACGTGCAGGATAAAGACAATGTTTCATGATATGCCATAGAACCGTGGCTCAAATATCCATCGTAATTTATTTATATTGTTTTTGAAAAATGTAAAAGCTATACAAGTAGGTCAAATTCAACGATGTACTGTATTATGTGTTTTAAACGACTGAAATAAAACAAAAATTAGTATTCACAGGATTCGGACTGTAACAATTTAAGCACAAAATGTCACCAACTGCACTGTCATTTTGTTACAGACGCCGTAACATGCCGAACGCCGAACACCAACCGCCGTCCACAAAAAAGTTGGAGACTACAACATGCAAAAATCAGCATTTTCTGATAAGGCCAATACCACTGTAAGTGCTGCAAATTATCTTTTTAATTACAGTCTCACACACACACCCCTATAACTATGAGGGAAATGTTGAGACATGCATTATTGGGAAGTATTCGAACATAGTTGAAGATTGTCAATATTACATACATCTTCCAAATATTGTGTAGCCTACTGACTATGATTATATCCCAGTTTGACAGTGGCACAATTTGTCACATATGAAACAATATTTTCTGCCTCATTAATAGTATCAATATCAGCAGCGCTTAAATTTAAAAAACTATTAAACTGCCTTACATTGATTTTTGCAGCGGTCACTTATCAAATCAGATTTAATGATTTTCCAACTTGGTTGGCCAAATGAGGACAGAGATTGAAAAAGATTTGGTTTTTAATGACGATGGCATTGACATTCACCCGATAAATCGAGGATATGATATTAAACTTTGTTTTTGTGTTGCATAGCAGTCGATATTTGACATTCAGACATAAACATTATTAAAATCATAATTCTCCCTGAGGACATTCATCCAAACCACTGCTCAATATAGCTGGCTATTTAAGAAATTGGAAATTGAGGGTAACATTCGATTTTTTATTTTTTTACCATAAATGACATGATCATAAGTTTAAAAAACACGAACTGCATCAACCGTTTATAAGGCAAGCTAGCCAAGTAATGAATGGTCTACATGAGATTCACAAATTTATTCTTTATTATTTTTCTTTCTTTTTCTTTTTCCTTTCTTTTTTGTCGCTTTTTGACAGTTATTTTTCTTACACAAAGTTGGCTTGTGCTCTTTGATAGACTCTTGCAGTACCTCTGCTTGTCCCACTGTGAACTGCTCCATGCATTTGTCTTCCATGTAATTCATGAAATTTGTCACAGGGTCTATACCTTTGTATGGAAGCACTGTGGGGAGTGATTCCCCCGGTCCTGTACACGTGTCGCGGCCAATATCATCGCACCAGAGTGCCATCATTGCCTCGGGTGGGGTATCTATAACGCCATCGTCCTCTTCGGGATGACTGGCATTGTGGCATTTTTCATTATGAAAGGTATGGTATAGACCTAAGTAATGGCCCATCTCGTGGATCAGCGTCATGCCACGGTTCCAGCGGGGAAAGCGAATACTACCGAAAAGCGCCTCGTGGTGTAAAAATATTCCATGAATTGAAGAATTTTCTGGACCTTCATGCGGGAAGGAGGACCAGCCGGCGGTGTCATGATAAGGGTCACAAGTAATAATATTGATATATTTTTCAGGTTCAACAATGTATTTAGCTTTAAGTTCCTTGTAGTAGTAATCACAATAGAAAAACATCTTCATATCATCGGTTCTTGTGACTTCATCTAACACGAATCTTATCCCTGTATCGGGACCAACAACTTTACCAAGCACACCTTCGTATGCTCTGTTCAATCGATTGATGGTTTTTCTTATTTTGGATGCATCTATCCAACCACCGAATCTAGAGTATATAACATGGAGTTTTACAGGAATTTTCACATAAAAGTTTGGATCAACTGCTGGCTTCAGATCATCTTCGTCTTCGGGAAATATTGACCGTTTACTGACCCTTTTCGTGTTCTTCTTGTTGTTGCCTTTGCGATTGTTCTGTCTCAGCTTTCGACGCTCGTTCTTTTTACTGATGCGATCTGGTAACATTACTTCTCCTTTATTGTATTTTATTGCGCACCGACCACCTCCTATAATAACCAAGTTTAGAAATTAACGATAAGAAAGCACAATTCTACACGTTCGCATTCACGTGCACGTTTACTTTAAACGTGAAGCTTAACCTCCCTGTTAACGACGCAATTTGTCAAAGGTGAAATAAATGTTAATGCTTCAATGGATCTTAATCAAATATATGTCATATAATTTCCGACATCCATCATGTACTGTTTTATTAGCTTGATAGTTGAACGACGTGATTTCGTTGCATTCTAATCATGAATGAAAACTAACTTAATTCAATTATTGAATATCGCTGTGTGCCTGTCCCACGTTATACAAGAGGATGATATTGCCATGGGAGATTTCGGTAAGACATTTTAAAATATTATGAAAATATTTACAAATTACTCAAACATGCTTCACTGGAAATCGAACACGGTTCATTGATTGCGGTCCAAAGCTCCTCCACCTAGGGTCATTATAAATGTACTATATTTGTACTTCAAATGAAGTATCTTGAATAATTTGTACCAGGTATTTCTAATTTTTCATGACGTATTTTACAAAATAATTGTAATGCTAGTGCAAATGGTAAATGGGTATAATTTCATGCAATTAAAACTCTGTTAACTGAATATAATCGAAAATACCCTGTATATTATATACTACGTGCGGTATACGTCTATAGTAAACAGGCATTGTACTAATTGTCATGACTAGAATGCCAATGACACTTTTTAAACTTTACAATTGATTTATTATCCGATGTAAAATACAAATGAAATTACTGAAGATAGTTAAATCTCTTTTACATTTGAATCAATTAGTTGACCTTTCTCTGGAAATTATCAACATAATAGAACTTTAATATCTGTGTAAGAAATTGTAAAAAACGGCAATTTGAATTGGTGAACGCACTTTATTCATATGAACCAATTAATAATAGATTACAGTCGAATCAGATTACTCTTATAATAAAAAAAATCAGTGAGAATTAATAACAAAATATCAATAATCGTAGTGTTATATTGGTCTTACATGTTAAACATTATTTATTTTGGAGACAGATTTACACTAAACTTCAAACTTGATTATGCGTTATATCGGATATCATTATCTTTCTAACGGTGGAACATACGTACATAATTAAGATTCATGCTGTTTGATTACCTGGTTGAGGAAGTCCAAAGTTAAAATAATGTTTTAAAGGTTTCTTAAGGTTTACCTGTTTCGTAAAGGATGTCATCCAAGATAGGTCCTTGATCCGACTCTAAACTTGGGTCAAACATTTTCTTCCTCGCGTCAACCTCTCCACCAGGTCTTACCATTTTCGGTTTGCGTAGCGTCTTTGGCATTCTCCGACGCATTGTCTGTTGCTTCTTCAGCATAAGCTTATCCGTTAACTCGTCCACTTGACCTTCATAAGGTGGAATGTCCTCATCGTCCCCATCCCTGGGGATATTCCATTTGTAATCCTCACGGTTATCTTTTGCCGAAACACATATGAGACTGACGAGATAGAATACCACTAAGACTGGAGTACGAAACATGATTTCATACTGACACATCGAGCATTATTATTTATGTCAGAGCTGCTTCTGGACAGTATTTCCAATATGTTAACATTCGTATTTAAATTGATCAAATAAAACGTCATTCTTTGTTCGACCAAATGATAACTTACTTGACGTGCAGGATAAAGACAATGTTTCATGATATACCATAGAACCGTGGCTCAAATATCCATCGTAATTTATCTATATTGTTTTTGAAAAATGTAAAAGCTAGACAAATAGGTCAAATTCAACGATGTACTGTATTATGTGTTTTAAACGACTGAAATAAAACAAAAATTAGTATTCACAGGATTCGGACTGTGTAACAATTTAAGCACAAAATGTCACCAACTGCACTGTCATTTTGTTACAGACGCCGTAACATGCCGAACGCCGAACACCAACTGCCGTCCACAAAAAAGTTGGAGACTACAACATGCAAAAATCAGCATTTTCTGATAAGGCCAATACCACTGTAAGTGCTGCAAATTATCTTTTTAATTACATGTACAGTCTCACACACACACCCCTATAACTATGAGGGAAATGTTGAGACATGCATTATTGGGAATTATTATATCACTATCTAGCTAGCGACAGTATGATTGGTCAAAACCGGGTCACATGTCGTGGGATATCTGGCGATATTCAATGGCAATGCTAATCTAGCGATATCCCCACTCCTGGGAATTTTCAAAGAATTTGTTTTCGTTCAGTGTAAATAATTTAGTTCAGTGTAAGTCAAAATGGCAGACGAACCGAGTAGATTCAATGTATTTCAATGTTAACCTATTACTTAATAATATTAGGGATGTTTAGCTAGACAGTGATATAATAAAACAAATATTTCACTCTATTTTCGGTGAATACCTAGTAGCACTTTCACAAGGTGATATTCCACTTGCCCTTCGGGCTTCGTGGAAGATGTGAAAGATGTACAGGTATTCACCTCAATAGAGTGAAATATTTGTTCAGTATTCGAACATAGTTAAAGATTGTCAATATTACATACATCTTCCAAATATTGTGTAGCCTACTGACTATGATTATATCCCATTTTGACAGTGGCACAATTTGTCACATATGAAACTGAATATTTTCTGCCTCATTAATAGTATCAGTATCAGCAGCGCTTACATTTAAAAAAAACTATTACTGCCTCTCATTGATTTTTGCTGCGGTCACTTATCAAATAACCATATTTAATGATTTTCCAACTTGGTTGGCTAAATGAGGACAGAGATTAAAAAAGATTTGGTTTTTAATTACGATGGCATTGACATTCACCCGATAAATCGAGATATTGGATATTATATTAAACTTTGTTTTTGTGTTGCATAGCAGGCAATATTTGACATTCAGACATAAACATTATTAAAATCATAATCCTCCCTGAGGACATTCATCCAAACCACTGCTCAATATAGCTGACTATTTAAGAAATTGCAAATTGAGGGTAACATTCGATTTTTTATTTTTTTACCATAAATGACATGATCATAAGTTAATAAAACACGAACTGCATCAACCGTTTGTAAGGCAAGCTAGCCAAGTAATAAATGGTCTACATGAGATTCACAAATTTATTCTTTATCATTTTTCTTTCTTTTTCTTTTTCCTTTCTTTTTTATCGCTTTTTGACAGTTATTTTTCTTACACAAAGTTGGCTTGTGCTCTTTGATAGACTCTTGCAGTACCTCTGCTTGTCCCACTGTGAACTGCTCCATGCATTTGTCCTCCATGTAATTCATGAAATTTGTCACAGGGTCTATACCTTTGTATGGAAGCACTGTGGGGAGTGATTCCCCCGGTCCTGTACACGTATCACGACCAATATCATCGCACCAGAGTGCCATCATTGCCTCGGGTGGAGTATCTATAACGCCATCGTCCTCCTCGGGATGACTGGCATTGTGGCATTTTTCATTATGAAAGGTATGGTATAGACCTAAGTAATGACCCATCTCGTGGATCAAGGTCATGCCACGGTTCCAACGGGGAAAGCGAATACTACCGAAAAGCGCCTCATGATGTAAAAATATTCCATGAATTGAAGAATTTTCTGGACCTTCATGCGGGAAGGAGGACCAGCCGGCGGTGTCATGGTAAGGGTCACAAGTAATAATATTGATATATTTTTCAGGTTCAACAACATATTTCGCTTTCAGTTCCTTGTAATAGAGATCACAATAGAAAAACATCTTCATATCATCGGTTCTTGTAACTTCATCTAACACGAATCGTATCCCTGTATCGGGCCCAACAACTTTACCTAGCACGCCTTCATATGCTCTATTCAATCGATTAATTGTCCTTTTGATTTTGGATCCATCTATCCAACCACCGAATCTAGAGTATATAACATGGAGTTTTACAGGAATTTTCACATAAAAGTTTGGATCAACTGCTGGCTTCAGATCATCTTCGTCTTCGGGAAATATTGACCGTTTACTGACCCTTTTCGTGTTCTTCTTGTTGTTGCCTTTGCGATTGTTCTGTCTCAGCTTTCGACGCTCGTTCTTTTTACTGATGCGATCTGGTAACATTACTTCTCCTTTATTGTATTTTATTGCGCACCGACCACCTCCTATAATAACCAATTTTTGAAGTTAACGATAAGAAAGCACAATTCTACACGTTCGCATTCACGTGCACGTTTACTTTAAACGTGAAGCTTAACCTCCCTGTTAACAACGCAATTTGTCAAAGGTGAAATAAATGTTAATGCTTCAATGGATCTTAATCAAATATATGTCATATAATTTCCGACATCCATCATGTACTGTTTTATAAGCTTGATAGTTAAATGACGTGATTTCGTTGAATTCTAATCATGAATGAAAACTAACTTAATTCAATTATTGTACCTGTCCCACGTTATACAAGAGGATGATATTGCCATGGGAGATTTCGGTAAGACATTTTAAAATATTATGAAAATATTTACAAATTACTCAAACATGCTCCGCTGGAAATCGAACACGGTTCATTGATTGCCGGTCCACAGCTCCTTCACCTAGGGTCATTATAAATGTACTATATTTGTACTTCAAATGAAGTATCTTGAATAGTTTGTACCAGGTATTTCTAATTTTTCATGACGTATTTTACAAAATAATTGCAATGGTAGTGGCAAATGGTAAATGGGTATAATTTCATGCATTTAAAACTCTGTTAAACGCCACTGAATCTAATCGAAAATACCATGTATATTATATACTCTATGTATTAATTAATACCACACGCGGTCAACAGGCACATTGTACTAATTGTCATGAATAAAATGCCAATGACACTTTTTAAACTTTACAATTGATTTATTATCCGATATAAAATACCAATGAAATTACTCGAAGATATAGTTTAATCTCTTTTATATTTGAATCAATTAGATGACATTTCTCTGGAAATTATCAGCATAATAGAACTTTAATATTTGTGTAAGAAATTGTAAAACACGGCAATTTGAATTGGTGAACGCACTTTATTCATATGAACCAATTAATAATAGATTACAGTCGAATCAGATTACTCTTATAATAAAAAAAATTAGTGAGAATTAATAACAAAATATCAATAATCGTAATTGTGTTATATTGGTCTTACATGTTAAACATTATTTATTTTAGAGACAGATTTACACTAAACTTCAAACTTGATTATGCGTTATATTGGATATCATTATCTTTCTATACGTACATACTGTAATTAAGATTCATGCTGTTTGATTACCTGGCTGAGGAAGTCCAAAGTCAAAATAATTTTTTAAAGGTTTCTTAAGGTTTACCTGTTTCGTAAAGGATGTCATCCAAGATAGGTCCTTGATCCGACTCTAAACTTGGGTCAAACATTTTCTTCCTCGCGTCAACCTCTCCACCAGGTCTTGCCATTTTCGGTTTGCGTAGCGTCTTTGGCATTCTCCGACGCATTGTCTGTTGCTTCTTCAGCATAAGCTTATCCGTTAACTCGTCAACTTGACCTTCATAAGGTGGAATGTCCTCATCGTCCCCATCCCTGGGGATATTCCATTTATAATCCTCACGGTCATCTTTTGCCGAAACACATATGAGACTGACGAGATAGAATACCACTAAGACTGGAGTACGAAACATGATTTCATACTGACACATCGAGCATTATTATTTATGTCAGAGCTGCTTCTGGACAGTATTTCCAATATGTTAACATTCGTATTTAAATTGATCAAATAAAACGTCATTCTTTGTTCGACCAAATGATAACTTACTTGACGTGCAGGATAAAGACAATGTTTCATGATATGCCAAAGATCCATGGCTCAAATATCCATCGTAATTTATTCATATTGTTTTTGAAAAATGTAAAAGCTAGACAAGTAGGTCAAATTCAACGATGTACTGTATTATGTGTTTTAAACGACTGAAATAAAACAACGCACAAATTAGTATTCGCAGGATTCGGACTGTCACCAACTGCATTGTCATTTTGTAACAGACGCCGTAACATGCCGAACGCCGAACACCAACCGCCGTCCACAAAAAAGTTGGAGACTACAACATGCAAAAATCAGCATTTTCTGATAAGGCCAATACCACTGTAAGTGCTGCAAATTATCTTTTTAATTACAGTCTCACACACACACCCCTATTACTATGAGGGAAATGTTGAGACATGCATTATTGGGAAGTATTCGAACATAGTTAAAGATTGTCAATATTACATACATTTTCCAAATATTGTGTAGCTAGCCTACTGACCATGAATTTATCCCATTTTGACAGTGGCACAATTTGTCACATATGAATTCGAAGTGAATATTTTCTGCCTCATTAATAGTATCAATATCAGCAGCGCTTAAATTTAAAAAACTATTAAACTGCCTTACATTGATTTTTGCAGCGGTCACTTATCAAATCAGATTTAATGATTTTCCAACTTGGTTGGCCAAATGAGGACAATTATTGAAAAAGAGTTGGTTTCTAATGACGATGGCATTGACATTGACACCCGATAAATCTAGATATTGGATATTATATTAAACTTTGTTTTTGTGTTGCATAGCAGGCAATATTTGACATTCAGACATAAACATTATTAAAATCATAATTCTCCCTGAGGACATTCATCCAAACCACTGCTCAATATAGCTGGCTATTTAAGAAATTGCAAATTGAGGGTAACATTCGATTTTTTATTTTTTTTACCATAAATGACATGATCATAAGTTAATAAAACACGAACTGCATCAACCGTTTGTAAGGCAAGCTAGCCAAGTAATAAATGGTCTACATGAGATTCACAAATTTATTCTTTATCATTTTTCTTTCTTTTTCTTTTTCCTTTCTTTTTTATCGCTTTTTGACAGTTATTTTTCTTACACAAAGTTGGCTTGTGCTCTTTGATAGACTCTTGCAGTACCTCTGCTTGTCCCACTGTGAACTGCTCCATGCATTTGTCCTCCATGTAATTCATGAAATTTGTCACAGGGTCTATACCTTTGTATGGAAGCACTGTGGGGAGTGATTCCCCCGGTCCTGTACACGTATCACGACCAATATCATCGCACCAGAGTGCCATCATTGCCTCGGGTGGAGTATCTATAACGCCATCGTCCTCCTCGGGATGACTGGCATTGTGGCATTTTTCATTATGAAAGGTATGGTATAGACCTAAGTAATGACCCATCTCGTGGATCAAGGTCATGCCACGGTTCCAACGGGGAAAGCGAATACTACCGAAAAGCGCCTCGTGATGTAAAAATATTCCATGAATTGAAGAATTTTCTGGACCTTCATGCGGGAAGGAGGACCAGCCGGCGGTGTCATGGTAAGGGTCACAAGTAATTATATTGATATATTTTTCAGGTTCAACAACATATTTCGCTTTCAGTTCCTTGTAATAGAGATCACAATAGAAAAACATCTTCATATCATCGGTTCTTGTGACTTCATCTAACTCGAATCTTATCCCTGTATCGGGCCCAACAACTTTACCAAGCACACCTTCGTATGCTCTATTCAATCGATTAATTGTCTTTTTGATTTTGGATCCATCTATCCAACCACCGAATCTAGAGTATATAACATGGAGTTTTACAGGAATTTTCACATAAAAGTTTGGATCAACTGCTGGCTCAATATCGTTTTTGTCTCCGCGAAGCACGGCTGGTAGTTTTCGAAATATTTTGTTTGACTTGTTAGTGACTTTACGAATATTTTGTTTTCGACGTTCGTTCTTTTTATTGATCTTTTCTGGTATCACCACTTTTCCCTTCATGTGTTTAATAGCGCATCGGCCACCACCTGAAAAACAATCACTTTAGACTCGCAACCTATTAAAGCACTTCGTGTACATGAATCGAACCCATCATTAGGAGGAACAAAATATAAAGCAATTTAAATAATGTAAACTTTTATTCATTCGTACATGACTACATGTAGTTCTGTTGTATTTTGTCACCATCAAGAAGTGCTGGCGTATTGCTATGACCTGTAACCTACAGTTTGTGATTTTCCCGAGTGATTTGTTAGTCGCCATTCGGATTGTAAATCTTACTTGAGATCACTGCACTTCCAATAATATAAGGAAATTGCTAATGCTGTAATTTAGCTGATTTACCTGTTTCGTTGCGAAGGTCATCCAAGATAGGCCCTTCATCAAAATCTAAGCTAGGGTCAAACATTTTCTTCCTTTCGTCTATTTTTCCTCCTTGAATACGCAATTTCGGTTTGCGAATCGTCGGTGGCCTTCCGCGGCGCATGGCTCGTTGCTTTCTCAACATAACAATATCCGTCATTTCGTCCACCTGCCCTTTATAAGGCGGAATATCTTCATCGTCGCCATCCCAGGGAATATTCCATTTGTCATCCTCTCGGTTATCCTTTGCCGATATACATATGAGACTAACAAGATAAAATATTACTAAGGTTGGAATACGAAACATATCTAACTAAACTACAGATTTAATTTTCATTTGTGTTATTTACTTTTTTTCAACATGTTATAAGTTCATCGTGGTTTTGAATTAAACTCATCTATTACTTATTACGACAAGTAAAATAAAGATACTATTGACGGTTATATCTAATGATACGTGTGCAAGAAAAGAAAAACATATAATGTAGGGTTCAAATACCTGTAAAAACCCACGTATGATGTACCTATTGACCAATAATCCAGTTTTCAATAAAATGATATAGGGAAACAAATAAATGTTGTTGATGCTGTATTATTTTGTTACCATAGTATAATTCTCTCTCCTGAAGCAACTTTGAACGACATTAATGGCATGTTCAAAACCAATTCGAATAATATTATATCATAAACTTACATTTTCTAAAAGTAAGATCAAGCAAAATTTTGTATATATATAACAGCAAATCATGCGATTAATTTCAAAGTATAAAAGCTCATCAAAACCTCTATTAATATCGCTGAATTATTTTTCTATATGTTTTGTATCATTTTATTATTGAAAATTGAATTATCTAACCTTTGGTATATCATACACAAGCAATACTGGAAGAATAAAAAACACCTTGAATAATTACTTGTATACTCATTTGTGGGGCCAACCTGTACTTATTGCTGAATTACATGTACACACAAAGAAAGATAATTTTCAAATCAATAGAATCAATATTTGTCGTCTAGTCGTGACATACATCATTAGTGTAATCTATTCAAGGCTGCAGCTTTGGACAATGTATAACTGCAATTTTCCTTTCCATAAGGAAAAAGAACCTTGAAATGGAAGAAAAAATCTTATGTGCTCAATGGACGCGATAAGAAGACCTAGTGGTTACCTGAAGGCGATAGTAGTTCCACAGAGAGTACAGTATTGAGTGTGTTATTTTCTACTCTATCAAATTTTCTTTTCTTTATTTTGACTTATATCAAAATGTTAAACTAAAATATAAAAACAAAATGCAAGGCATTAACGTGACAAAACGTCACCACCTACTTGCTTACAATATTATTTCTAGATGATTATTACAAAACAAATTGGTCAATTTGAAGCAAGTTGAAAAAGTACATTTTTGATCTTTTTGACCTTGATAAGGTCATTGAAGGTCAAATCTTAAGTCATATTTGAACTTCTGATAACTTGTAGATGATTTTGAAAAAAACATTTGAACTTCTGATAACTTGTAGATAATATTGAGAAAAAAATTGGTCAATTTGAAGCAAGTTGAAAAAATACCTTTTTGACCTTTATTAGCCCTTTTTTACCTTGAAAAGGTCATTGAAGGTCAAATCTTAAATATAAAGTCAAATTTGAACTTCTGAAAACTTGTATATGATTTTGAAAAAAATTGAAGTCAGTCAGTATTTGTTAAGTTTTTAGAAATTTTTACAACGCCAACTGCCACCCGCCAATCGCCAACCACCAACCGCCGATCGCCAGCCACCACCAACCACTGCCATAAAAAAAACGGAGAGCGTAACAATATGTCACCACTTTTTGGTGGTGACATAAAAATTGGGTGACACCTCAAATCTACGTATTAGGGAATTCCACCTTCTAACTGGGACTGAGAACTCATGTCATTTACGATGTTGACATAAAACAAGTCAAAATAATTTTTGTTAAAAATTTATATCTTTATTTTGTATTTGTATACAAAATCAAAAGTTAAATATATAATAAATTAATAAAAAACTATAAATATACACATGTTTATAAAAACTATAAATCAATAATGGCTAGTCTTTACTGAAATCGTAAAATGAAAATATAGCACATTTATTGGATATACAAAAGTTGGTCATGGAGTTCTTTGTCTAATTGGTTGTTTTCACGCATCTCTTGATTAATTATTGTTAATATATCAGCTGTTTTTAAATATGTTTTGTTAATGGTTAAAAGTTCATTATTTATTGTGTTTGTTATAAAGGATTGGCTGTTTAATAGTGACCTGATCAGGTCTGTCATGATAGGCTATATTTAAGAATAAACCACTTGATAGTGACCTGTTTAGGCCTTTCATGACAGGTTTTATTGTTTAAGAATAGCCCACTTGATATTAACCTAAGTAGGCCTTTTTTCACCCTAAACTTTAATGTTTAATGATAATTTGAAGGCTTTAACGTCCAAGTATTCATAAGCGTTATAGTCTAAGGACTAAATTGTCTCAGAATTGTTTCTTATTTTTGCTTATAAACAACATGTGAAGGTATGCTGTCATCATAGGCTCTCTCAAGAATGTTGACCCAAGGCATAGTTAACTCAAAGATTCTAATGTTTCCATCATTGCTGCAGCTAACAAACTTTTCCTTATCCACCTGAAACAGAACAAGTTTAAAGGGTGACGCATATCGTTTAGCAAATCGAACGCTCGTTTCTGGTGTTGCTCACCGTTTAGTATAAAAGGCCGGGTTCACAGGTTCGAGGTCGTTGTGTCAACACCTCTAACTGTTATATAGCATAAGTATATTATAGATCGTCACACATCTATAAAAGGGTGATTTTTATTTTGACAAATCAGGATCTTCTATTTGTGAACAATAAGGAAAAATTGGCATCTAAATTTCCCCATAACGTAATAGCACACAGCTTGGCATATGAAATATCCTACAAATGAAACAAAGCAAGACAAACCGGTTTCTAATACAAGGATTTATATTGGCTGTTGTACATGTATTCTTTGAACGCAATGACTCTTTGGATAACATTTTCAAAATCATTATAAACGGATTACTTTATCTCAAAGACAATTTCAATAAACTGGATTTTACAGAACTCCCCTTATTTCTTAAAAATGGACTGATCCAGTTGATTCGCCTGGAGCCGCCATATTGTTTTTATACGGGATGCTAATCGGAACCCTTTAAAGATCAGTTGAATTAAAGTGGCAGTAAAGAATGGAGAGTGCTACATGATGGGGGCAACATGAAAAACATGATGTTTCCCTAACAATTGTATTGTTCATATAAAAATGGGATATCTGACCAAGTATGGAAATTACTGAATATTTAAGATGCAATTGCAGGTATATTAAATTCATTAGAATTGGAAAAAGGACATTCATTCTTTTTCAAAATAATGTCAAAGGGACTTTAAAATCCATGCACTATCATTGTTTATTCACTTATACTCAACTCAGCTCTGTGCCACCCTTTAACTTAAGTGGTTTTCAATGGGGATGGGGGATCAGGGGATGGGTGCGAGTGAACCCCCCTGGCCAAAATGATCAAATGTGAATATGAGCCCTCCATGGAATTTTTAAAAAATTGACCATCCCCTTGGCAAAAGCTGGCTACACCCTGGAACTCATATAGGTTACATTTCGTCACTCTGGGTTTACCAGTTGCACAGGGGCTGAAGCAATTGCACATGTTGTATATTTTGTATATTGACAAAATCCCTGTGAGAGGCTCACCTTAATATCATTGACAGGCCCCTTGTGGCCATGCAACTCTCTCACACACATCATCGTCATCAGATTCCATTCTTTAATCACTGTATCACTACAAATATGTATGTAAAATATAAATGTTTATCCCAAATATGGTACATGTATGTAAAATATCAACAACTATCCCCAACATGGTACATGTATGTAAAATATCAACAACTATCCCCAACATGGTACATGTATGTAAAATATCAACAACTATCCCCAACATGGTACATGTATGTAAAATATCATTAACTATCCCAAACACAAAAATATATATTCAGCATATAAGTCTTGAAGTAGAAACAAGCTATGTAATTCATATTAAATATATACCTAGATGCCGTGAAGAATTTTCCTTTCCTGAATGTTATAGCATTGATGGGTTTCTCATGGGCCACAAAGGCAGCCATAGTATTCATTGTGTTCTGGTCAAAGAAGTACACATGGCCTTCAGTGTTGCCTGCTAATATCAGGTTCTGCTCAACCTACAATAGAAATTAAAGATTATTTAGAAATGCAATGAACTTTCAAACAGAATTATTTCTGAGATTGGAAAGATGATTTAGGTATTTGAACAAATAATTCAAGATGATCTTTTCATTTGGACGATGGTCTTGGGTTAGATATATTTCATGAGTAAATTTCAAAGGACTTTTGTGTGCAAAGGCACATGAATAGATGTGTATTTCAAAAGGGCCCGTGGGGGTCTGGGTAGAAGTACAGTTTAAGAGAGCTAGTTAGTAAGAGGGCCTTTGGGTATGAGGGTCTGTAGGTATTATTTCAAGAGGGCCTTTGAGTATGATGGTCTGTAGGTGGTATTTTAAGAGGTCATGTGGGGATTTTGGGTGTGGGAACTTTAATAGATGTATATTTTAAAAGGGCCAGTGGGGATCTTTGGTTAGAAGTACAGTTTAAAAGGATTACTTGGTGAGACAGTCTTTGGGTATGAAGGTACAGTAGAACCTGTATAAGAGGAACACCCTTTGGACCACAAAAAAGTGTTTCACTTGGGAGGTGTTCCACAGAATATTCATTAACAAGTAGTACATAGGCCATTGGACTTTCAAAACACTGTTCCATTTGTGAGGTGTTCCACTTAAGCCCGGTATACACCAATGGGGCAAAATCCGACTTGCCCCATCGAGTCCCATCTTGCCCCATCGAATCCAAATTTGCCCCATCGAATCCCACGAAGTCCCATGGGACCTTGATGACTTTGCCCCATCGTGCCCCATGGAGTCCCATCAAGCCCCATGGAGTCCCATCAAATCCCACCGTGCCCCATTGGTGTATGTCGGGCTTCACACAACACGTCATATGATCGAAAATCCCACGATGCCCCATGGAAAGAATGAACATGTTCATTCTCGATGGGACTCCATGGGACTTCGTGGGATTTTGCCCGATCTTGCCCCATCGAGTCCCACCGAGTCCCACGTGGGACTTCATGGGACCTCGTGGGACTCGATGGGGCAAGATGGGGCAAAATCCCACGGAGTCCCATGGAGTCCCACGGACTTCATGGGGCAAAATCCCAAAAGGTCCCACGAGGTCCCACGCAATGTTAAGTCTATGGAGGTCCCAACTTGCCCCATTGGTGTATACCGGGCTTTACAGAGGTGTTCCACTAAGCAGGTTCTACTGTATGTAGTATGAGAGTCTGTAGGTAGTATCTTAAAAGGGAATATGGGTATGAGGGTACTTAAAGCTAAGGAGAGGAATGGTTCAGATCCATGCAGGACAGCTGTACATTGTAATAGGGCCTTTAGGTATGAGGGTCTATGATGTATGGATATAGGTGTCAATGCGACGTATAGTACTGTATACTTACAGCTAAGGAGAGGAATGGTTCAGATCCATACAGGACAGCTGTACATTCTGATGTGCTGACATCACTGATTCTTACACTCCTAAAATAAGAATTCTAAATTAGTGTCTATTGAAATATAAAACTTTGCAAAAAACTCAATGGTAGTGTAAATAATACCAAGTAAGGGTAAACAACTTTCATTTATTGATTAAAATCAAAAACAGTGCCTCAAAAGACGATTATGAGTTGACAAGGACACAGATTGAGAAAGTGTTGTAAATGCAAGGATGCAAATCATTTGTGATATCAGAAATTCACTCAATATATATATCAGAGTTTCATAAGGAATCATACAAGACTATCAGATTGACAACAGTTACTATATCTTACCCATCATTGGATCCTGTTATAACTTTAGTGCCATCAAACTCTAGACAAGTTATAGCAGATGTGTGTCCAGGTTCTATGACGCTCATGCTTGTGTAACTATGCAGTGACCACACCCTCACTGTTTTATCATGAGAACCTGTCACTCTGTAATAAATAATATAATCTTTCAACTGTTGCTAATGAGATTGGAGAAAATGAGATTGGCAATGGATTTTTTTTTACAATTTATTGATCTTCCTTATGCAGTCAAATCAAACAATTTCACAATGAAATGCAATTAAAAGCCGACGGCTATTTCATAAGGGATGACATTTTTGTACTTAACGGAACCACCTGGCCAAAAATTCTTTCAAAATCAAGTAGTTTTTCACCATTCTGAGCACTATTCAGGGATCTTGGACCAAATTATCAATTGATCCCCTCCCTGAATTTTTTGAATAATTGAACTCTTACAATAATTTACAATGTAACAGAATTTACATCCAAGAACTATGGTAACTTACAGTACTTTATCCACATATTTCAGACAGGTCACTGCACCCTTGTGGCCATGCAGCACAGCAATACGTTCAAATCTAACCAGCTCCCACACCATTACCATCATATCCCAGGAGCCAGACACAAGCATTTCTCCCTCAAACTGCAGGCACCTGACCCCACCCTTATGGCCGTATAGTTTATGGATGCTGCGCCCACTGCGGATGTCCCATACTCGTATACTGCGGTCCATTGAACCAGTGATGAGACGTTTTTTGTCAAAGTTCAGGCAAAGAACTGAGTCCATATGACCCTGGAAATAAAAATGAGATGGTTTGTTTTATATAACCATGATATCTGTGAAGTGGAACACCTCTAGAAGTGGAACACCTTTGTAAGTGGAATAGTATTCAGAGTCCCAAGATCAACTGACTTAATGTTAAATGAACCTCTACAAGTGGAACACCTCACGAGTCGAACACTTTTTAGAGGTACCAAAGGTGTTCCACTTCGACAGGCTTTACTGTATGTACTTAGATACAGCTATATAAGAGTCTTGAACTATTGTTTGTTTGTGTGTATAATTTAGATGGGGTAGCACATTTCAATTTTTATTGTTTACTCAATCTTAAAAAATGTACAAATTCATCTTCAGCATTATACAAATTCACATTATACATTACACCATAAAGAGGCATACATCCAGCGGGAGAAAAAATTTAAATTATTGAACAAAATTGAAGTTACAGTCAACAATGGCAAACAACAAACTGAAATTATATTGGTGTTTTCTTAATTCACAATTTATAGAGAAATGTGTTCTTGTCAAGATTTGTGACCATATTATTTACCTGTAATCTTCGACATCGTTTCAGAGTACGAACATTGCCAGTTAATCCTTGTAATTCCTGTACACTGGCCTTGCCAATTATTTTACCATAATACTGTTTCTAAAAATACAGAAAAAATCAGTTTTTATAAAGAGCATACAAAAATCAATACTTGTTGTTGCACTTGTTTTTATGTTTAATGTCTTACTCTTAAACGAATAGCTTACAAAAATCTGAATTTAAATATGATATTAAGCTCAGAGGGTCCTATAACCCTGGATTCAGGGGGTGCGGATTGTGTCAAAAAAGAAAATGTTACAACTTGTTGGTGCTGACATGAAAATGACTATTGTAATACTCACTAATATATCTTTAGCTTGACACAATTCAGGACGTATGTCTAAAGCAACCTCTTGGTCCACATCAATCTTCTTCTTTGTCGCACGTTTCAAGTACCTTCAATAAATGTAAAATGTATCAGAGAATTTCTATATAATCTCCTTGAACTAAAGAACATGTCCAATGAAAGCTTAGAAACTTAAAAACATGTTCAGCTTGGTAGAAATGACTATTTTATTTAGATCAATCTTTTACACATCCAGGCAGTGGCGTAGGAACAATGTACGCCAAAACGCCAGTGCGTAGTGTTGAAAAGTGAGAATAAAAAGGCTTATTAATTTACCTATGTTCTTTATTCATATTTTCTTATTGTATTGTGCAAAAGTAATCTCGAGCACACTAGCCTAAAGAAATGTTTGTGGATACCATATGATATGGTCGATTTTTTAATAGTACCCTTTTGCATGATTTTTGTGCCTCTGTTATTTTTCTAACCTTGGCCACAGATAAATGACACTTTTTGAAAAATAAAATATTGAAAGTTAATACCTTGTTTCTACAATTCTAATACTGTAGAAAATGCAAAGTAATCATTATTGCTCTGTTTGGCAAATAATCAATTAACAGATTGAATTCTCTTACCAACATGCTTTATTTCATGAAAATCGAGTCACTATTGACTGACTATCTTATGGATTTCAAAACTAAAATAAAATTTCGCCAAATATTTGTGATTCTCGTTCTCTTCACGAGAGAAAAACAGTTTTTTTATCAAAAACTACTTGATGAATACCTTTGCAATTGTTTGCGCATGTTCCGTAATGTTTATGCAAACTGTGGTATCGTTTAATTATAATGATGAACCTCTTTAAATTAGATGTATATTTTTTATTCTCCCCTACCCCCAATTTTTCAATTTCACTATATCGATTTATATTCCTTTGCTAGGCAAAATCATAGACAGAAGTTATAGTTAAGTCAGCAATTATCTATTTTCTTACTAAATCACCGATTGTTATTTACCCTTTGCATTCGTTTGACTTCACTTCTTAAAAGAGAGCTTCGTCTTCACTCTTTCAAACTAAAATAAACCTGTGAACTCACCACGCCAATCAGTGTTCGTCGGCCAAATTTGACCAACGTTCTATATATGGTCATTCCTTCTGACGTCATCGTTGAGCCCGGAATTGACCAATGACATGCGCATATTTAATTAGAACGCATTTGGCGTATGTTTCTTCAAGCTCGCTGATTGGTATTTATTACCCAAACTGTCACCGGTACCCGTCGTGGGGGCGGGGCTACTAAACTGTAATATGGTATCTACTAGGCAGAGTGTAGTTTAACTAGACTCTGCACGCAGGGTAATTGTTATTGGTAGTACTTCTTGAAATATGAATAAGACAAAAATAACTTGAAAATGTTGATTATTCAATTACGCGTTCCATTGATTTCAGTTCTAGAAAAGCTATTACATAGATTTTTATTTCATTTGAAAGATAATAGATTATTGTTTTTATGAAATATAACATTTTTGGCACCCCCTAAGTCACGCTGACCTCGATTTGACCTTTGTGGTGGGAGGTTTATTTGGTCTTGCGAACTAGTGTTATAAAAAAGGTTGCAGACATTAGGATTAATTGTATCATTGATCACGAATGCGTTTCTTTAAATCAATTGATCAAGCTAGATTCTTTAATCTGTACGTGTCGTATTGCACGGTACTATACACGATGGAATCAGACAATAATATGTATCTCAATTCAATTATTCGAAAATGATTAAAAATCTCTCATTGTTATTTTGAAATCGATCGTCTTTATCGTTCGAGACATAAGAAAAGTGAGGATGATTTGTGTCGAGATTTAAAAGATCGGCTTTCCATGGTGATTTTAAATGATGAAAATCATTCGAACATTTTAAGCACATTAAAAAGGGTATCAGGGATATTAAGCTTGCATATAAAATCGAAACGCCAACCTATACGTATGACCAATCGCCCATACAAATACATCGCTTAACTATTTCCGTTCACATTTAGGTTGTGAAAACATTGCAAGCTTAAAATCTCTATTGCCATAAAATGACAATAAAATAGGCGTTTTGATAAAGAAGATTTGACACAATTGTTTCATATTTTTGGCGGGATTTTTTGGCGTAGTGTTGAATTTACACCTTCCTACGCCCCTGTCCAGGTACTAATCCCTTTGCACATATGCAACTTTTCATCCTTTTAGAAATAAGTACATCATTTTGATTTTCATACACTGACAAAAAAGCGTATTAACATTGGACATTTTTAAATGGATCTATGTAAAAGTATAATAGTCCTACAGTGAAAGCTGAATACCTCTCTCAATCTGAACGCTTCTCTCAGTCCCTTTATCATCTGCCATTGACATACATGTTTATAAAAACGTGTAAGGTAAAGACATGCTATTTCAAAACTTTCGGCAGGCTGGTCCAAGAGGCGTTCGGATTAGACAGGTTTTACTGTATTTACAAATGCACAATAATTCTATAATATAATAGGATTTTATTAGTACTGATGCCCTTTTAGGGCCAAACGTACATCCGATATATGCAATCTATTTAATTTGCTTTTACCAATTTAGTGGCTCACATTAGTTATTCTATTGAGGAATGAGTAAATACATACTTGTCTTTATTCTCCAACAGAGGAAATTCTGGCTGTGAATCTGTATTGGAACTTTTCTTTTTCTTGGCTGCGATCACCTTCTTCATGTAACTGTACAGGGTCTGTTTGTTTCTTCTGCCCACCTTAGTCACATCAGACTTAACACCATCTTCTCTCTCTACAATTTAGATGGATTAGTCTAGATTGGTTTATTCGAATTAATAATACATGACGCACAAGACATTGACATGATAAAGTTACCAACTTGGCTGCGAAAGTGTAACCAACTCTGAGAACATCAAATGGTGGTCAGACAAATGATGCTATAATAATATGTCACCAATTAGTGGTGACAAAGTGTAGATTTTCTTTGTAGATTTGGTGAGAAGATTAAATTACAGTTATTAGAAAACAAAATATGATTATTTGAGCTCATATACAAAACAATTTCAAATGCATGATTTTCAGGAACTAAATCCAAGAATGAAATGAAACGTGTATTTAAAGGGGCACAAAGACAAAACACGATTTTAAAGTAAGTTAAAAATAAACTGCCACAATTCTACAATGACATCTCAATTCTATTTTCAGAAAATAAAACAAAAATACTGTAAGTATTGTATTTGGGAAACATTGGCATACTTTTTGGAGATATAAAGTCAATTTCTTTTTAGACTCTGATCTTAGCTGCCACTTTAAACTGACTTCCTTTTCAAACAGTCCATATGAAAAATCTCTGGATACACTAACCTCCATGATTTGGGGAGTATATGCTGAGATCCTCTGATATACTGCTAGTGTCACTGTCATCATCGTCTTTTCTCCAATCCTTCCTTTTAATCCTGACCACTGGCTTGATACGAACAGCTGTAATATGAAATTAAAGATCAACATTTATTTATTGACACAGACAGACAAATAGGAGCTCTAAAGCCTCAGTCACATTTGCCCTACGGCGGCCGTATGGCGAGAGTAGATTAAAAAAATCGATACAGAAAATCTTCATCATACTGCTTGCTTATTTGACAGCTACTGAATCATTCCTATGGTAGATCCTTTAGATAATTATGTGCCCTCTTAACAAGCAAGTTACATATTTTGCAAGTTATCTGTAGTTCTCTCGGATTCTAGGGTGGCTGAAATCCCATGAGCATCAATATGAATTAAAATCATAATTTTAGACATTCACATTTAGAGAAGATTTATATTCTAAAATTATTTCAATACTAATATTTTAAAAGGACACATATTTATCACACCACAAATATTCATACAAAGATGTATGCAGATTTATTCATTTCTGCAATTTCTTATTAAGATCGAGTGCTTAGTACTTGTAGATAAATACATCTTCTACTCTCTAATACCAGATTATAAGACTGATATAATAGTGAAGTTTCAAGATTGTTTCAAACGTTTTGTTGTTGAAGTTCTTTTTTCCATGTTTGCGAACTCAATGAGGAAATTGGCAGGTTGCCATGTCAAACAAGTGTTTACTTATTGAGCTTGTTCAAAACATATAATTGGGATGGGATTTACCCTTTGGAATCTAACTTCAATACGCTTCTTGTAGCTAGTACAGCTACACTGTATATAATTGACTTTGCTATTACTCAACCTGAATGCCTGCCTAAACAGTTATTTATGTATATATTTTTCATTGTTTTAATCTAGTTTTAGAATGTTGAGCTTTGCCAGAGACTGTGTTTTACCAACACTGAATGGACCTTACAGTGTATTGATAAACTCAGCTACTTTTCTTTGTAATTGAACAGTTAGTTTGTTTTCTTGTCTTGGTTTTAGATTGACCAGCTTTGCTTGAGACTGTGGGCAACTGTATGGAATGGTCCTAACTTTGTATATACAGACTTTGGATGAGGATAACGTACTGCTAATCTTATTTTGTTAGTGATTTTTGTAAATCAAATGCAATGCACTAGGCGTTTTTGTTTTTTTGTAAAATTGTGTAACTTTGTCTCAGACTGTTGCCAACATTATTGAATGTTTTCATTGTGTAAAAATCGATATAGATAAACTCAACTGCCATCTATTGTTGTTGTAATAGAGCCTTTTATTCTAATCCAGAAATACTTGTTACTTTTTATATAAGCCTATGGGGCTTTGTCTCATAAATATTGGTCATCCATTGTTGATAATCATAACCCTGCAAACCTCATTTTTGCTATTTACACTCTCTTCACCAATATTGGAACTTCTGCATGCTTTCTAAAAATGTTGATGATTTAACACTTGAGTTAATTGTGAAGTAATGTTCTCACTTTTCATTATACTAGTGATAGACAAGTGGTCCTTGGATACTATTTCTCAAGTTCAGATATATCCATACCTTTATTTTCAATGATATCATTAAAGAATCTTTGTGCTGGTTCTTGCATTTCCCAAAGTTTGTTTCAACATTTTTGTACATGCAGAGTCCCAAACTTCTAGTACATCCATGTCTCTACTTTTTTTGCATTCACCAAGATGCAAGACAAATCATAATATTAAAGGGGATCTGCTTGTGTGTATGATGCTTCTGCTCTTGGATACTGGATGATTTAAATGTACATGTGTCATGCCCATGGACTGAATTTCCATTTTTTACAATCATAGACAATAGTGACTTTATTGACTCAGTTCCAAATGGTGCCTCACTGATTAATTTTGATAACAAAATTTTTAATCCCCTTGATCTAAAGGGTGACGATTGTGATGATTCAGGCTTTGATCAAACTACCAGTGACTTCATGGCTAAAAGCGAATATGTAACACTTTCTAATTTTAACGACAATCTCAATTCTAAGAACAATGTAGATATGTCAATTATTCATTGCAACATACGCAGTTTGCCATCAAATCATTGGAAATTGACAAATCTTTTAGCATCAATTGATAAGAGAATTTCTATTATTGCACTTTCTGAAACTTGGCTATATGAGGATCAAGAGGACTCATTTTCTAACTTCATGAATTATCAGGGTTTTTTCAAATCTCGTACTACCAGGGGAGGGGGGACTGCTCTTTTTATTGATGGTGCACTAAAAACTAAAGAGAGACCTGACCTTAGATTTAACAATAACAACTGTGATGTCTTAACTGTAGAAATTATTGTAGAGGGGGGAAAGAATATTCTAGTAACTAGTATCTACAAGCCTCCTAATGTCAACATTGAAGAATTCAACAATGACCTCGATATCTATTTGTCCCTCATTTCAAAAGAAAACAACAAAGTACATTATATTGCTGGAGATTTCAACATCGACCTCTTTAAATCTTTTGAACATGACCTTACAGAAAATTTCTATAATACAATGACTGCTTACAATCTCTTACCTGTCATTTATAAAGCTACCAGAGTAACATCCACATCTGCTACCTCAATAGATAATATTTTCACTAATGACCCTAAAATTGACTTGTGTGGAATAATTTATAATGACATTTCAGATCATTTCCCAATTTTTGCTACTTCTAATAAGCCTATCAACAAAACTAAATTTATAAAAAGATCAATAAGAAAATATACAGTAGAAAATATATCAAAGTTCAAAGAACTCCTCTCACATGACACCTGGGATGATATTACTAATGTCAATAATGCAAATGATTCTTATAATAAGTTTGAAGATAAGGTGTCAAATTTCTACAATGAATGTTTCCCTTTAAAACAAGTCACGATCAAATTATATAATAATAATACGAAGCCATGGTTAACATCAGCGATACTTAAATCAATTAGAAATAAAAGCAAACTTTACAAAAAATACCTTCGAAATCCCAACGATCAAAATAAAAAGCAATATAAATCTTTTGCAAATCAGCTAAAAACCACAATAAAATTTTCACAAAAGCAGTATTACAATAACAAATTTGAACATAATCAGGGAAATATAAAAGCAAATTGGCAAATAATTAATCAGATACTCCAGAGGAAAAATAAAAATAATAATATTTCAGATTCTTTTATTCATAATAATGTTGAATTAACTGATAAACAAGAAATAGCTAATCAATTTAATAATTTTTTCGTAAATGTTGGTGAAAAATTAGCAAGTAAAATACCAAAATCAAACAGAAATTCTTTGGACTTTATGCAATCAATAGGAAGACAAGCTCAAACTCTTTTGTTAGATACCGTTGAAGCAAATGAATTGAATAAAATAATTACCAACTTAAAACCCTCTGCAGCAGGACATGATGATTTTAAACCTTTTATCATTAAAGATTATGGATTGTTATTTCACCATCCTCTTTTACATATCTTTAATCTCTCTCTTAAAAGCGGAATTTTCCCGGATCGGCTTAAAATAGCAAAAGTTATTCCTATATACAAAAAAGACGATGCACATTTTTTCACTAATTATCGCCCAATCTCAGTTTTACTTGTGTTCTCCAAGATCCTGGAAAAAATAATGCATCATAGAATTTCTACATTCATAGACTCTATCGATATTTTGTACATTAACCAATTTGGATTAAGGGAAAAAAGATCGACTTCAATGGCTGTTCTAACTTTTATTGAAAAGATTAGAAAAGCGATTGATGATGGCGAATTTACCATTGGATTGTTTCTTGATTTTTCCAAGGCCTTCGATACAATTGATCACAACATCCTATTTAGTAAACTTGAATTTTATGGCATTCGTGGTGTTGCGCTCAATTGGATCAAAAGCTATTTTACACACAGAATTCAGAAAACATTTTACAGCAATACCTTATCTGAGCCTGAATTTATCACGTGCGGAATCCCTCAAGGCTCAATTCTTGGACCACTTTTCTTTATTCTGTACATAAATGACATTTACCTTTCTTCTCCACGATTGTTTTTTGTTTTATTCGCGGATGATACCAATTTATTGATAAAAGGTAAAAATCTAACTGAACTTGCTGATATTCTTAATACTGAACTAAAACTAATAGAGGAGTGGCTTATCACTAATAAATTATCCCTTAATGCGGATAAAACAAAATATATTATTTTCACCTCGAGTCAAAAAAGATATAATGCAAATAACATAAACATCTTTCTTAATAAAAAGAAGCTTCAGCAGGTTGATAACATTAATTTTCTTGGTATTACAATTGATCAAAATTTAAACTGGAAACGTCATATTATGTCCGTAAGTGCTAAAATCTCCAGAACCATTGGTATCCTATCCTACATCTATTCGGCTTAGTGCAAAATTACCTTGGTACCGTATGTGAGGACCGTTATGGGCCCCTATCCGCACGAGGGGAGGATCAGATCGAGGATATAAGCATCAAGCGGAGGAAGGGTGAGAAGAAAACTATTAGCATGTCAAATGATATATACGATATGTACGTATACCTTAGAGGTCTTACTGACTTTTTCCCACGTAGCGTTTTGTCACCCACAAGTCGTATGCCTGAAGGGCTTGGGCGGAGCACTGACACACAACGTGCATCTGTGAGTGAATCTGGGGGCAGTGCGACCAGTGGCAGTGGTAACGAAGCGCTAGCCCAGGTATGCATATTGAATGCGGCTAATGTAGAGCTCACCAAAGAAATACAACAGCACAACAAGCAGTTTGCGGACATAAAATGTCAACTTGACCAGCAGGCCAAACAGATCGGGGAGCTCATAACAGAAATTGACCGACTTCGATTACTGAGTGTGCCTTCGTCCGTAGCAAAGGAACTTCAGCAAATAGGAAATCCTACCAAAGGTACGAATTTTTCAACCGATAATCTCCAAGTTTGTCAACTACCCAGTGACCAGACCACAAATGCTGATGTTTGTTCTGAAATCAAAACAAACCAAGTTGCCCCGCTTTCAAGCAAATTAGCTGATGTTTGCCTTAATACCAAAACAAACCAAGCTGGCCAGCTTCCAAGCAAATCAGCTGATGTTTGTCCTAACACCACAACAAACAAAGCTGACCCACTTTCTAGCAAAGCAGCTGATGTTCCAAATGTAAATAATAGCAAAACAGTACTACCGAGAGATCTATGCACAAGCCCATCCTTCGGTAGGGGTAGAGGCAGGGGTCGAAATGTTTCCGCACCAGAATCCCGTACACCTGGTAAAAAACAGCAGAGCGCACATTTCCGACAGGTGGATGCGCTAAGCCAACCCCCGAAGGAACGCACCATTGAGCAAGGGACTACACCACCACGACAGATTGGAGTAATAGGGACCACACAATCATCGACCAACAATGAGACTTATGCGGAAGTTGTTCGTCGAAGGAAACAGCCGCAACACAACAACAAAGCTCCTCGCAAGGAACTACAAAAATCCAAGGGACCCACAAGGTGCCTTAGTGGAGTAAGCCACGAGAAAGGATATACCTTATATGTAGAAAATATTGAAATACATGAGGGTGAAAGTGATAGTGATATTAAACACCAAGTGATAACACATGCCTCATCAATGAACATACGCATTATGCAATGTTATGTAATACATAACAAAGTGTCACAATTTAGTGTAGGCTGCAAAATAGTTGTGCCCATATCATCTGCCCTTCGTGCACAACTCGAAGAAACGTGGCCAGCGCCTATAAAATGTAGAGAGTGGGTGAAACGTAGGGGCCATAATAATGCCCCGAGATTTGATGACGATCTTGATCATGATGACATATACGAATCAAGTAAGCGATATGAATGTGTGCAATATAGAGACTGGCACACAGATATGATAAATAATTATGAGTATTAGGAAAAATGATATCAGAATTTGTGGCTGGAACGCGAATGGCTTGTCTTCGTCAAAACCGTTCCTCAAGCAATTGACTGATCAAAATGATGTAGTATGTATTAGTGAACATTGGTTGAATAGCTCAATGCAAAGTCAATTAGATGTAAATGATGAATTTATATGCGATATGAGTTGTAGCAAATCTCTAGATCCCCTTGATCAAGGATACACTATAGGTAATGGAGGCATTGCTATTTTATGGCGTAAGTCTATGAGCAATTTTGTGCAAAAGTTGCCTAATGTTAAAATGGAACGTATAATGGGAATCAAATTATGTCTACCTAATAGGGTGGTGTTTATTTTATGTGTATACCTGCCTTATGAAGGGTGTGCAAAGGCTAACTTTAGGGAATGGCTAGATACATTGGAAGAACTTGTAATCCAGATGCAAAATGAAGGAGATGTGTGTGTAATAGGTGATATGAATTCTGATATAGGTAATATGTACAATGTACGTGGCGCGTATCCGCCATCTTGTAACGGTACTGCACTTAACCAAATGTGTATACGACAGAGTCTAAGGGTAGCTGATTTAACTGACAAATGCACTGGGCCAACATATACATTTTACAGGCACTATACTGGCAAATCATATGTCGACCATTGCATTGTGTCAGAAAGGTTATTCAATTGTTGTAACAAAATATATGTGATGGATGATGAATTGATAAACACATCTGATCACCTCCCAGTTTGCATTGAATTATCAGTAGAAAATATATGTGTAGTCAAGTCAAGTAATATAGTAAATACAGGACCCACTAGGATAGCATGGACTAAAGTAACAAATGATAGCAAGAACGTGTATCAATTATCATTGGAACCAGAGCTTACACAATTATATAATGAAATTCAAAGTAAGGAAGGTACTCTTACAGACTTAAATATCGAATTGTATTTTGAAAGATTGACACAGCTACTTAAAAATAAGGCAAACGATGCCTTTCCCAAGAAACGCTTTGTAAAATACTTGAAGCCATACTGGTCAGAAACACTGAAACGTCTTGTTAAGGAGAAAAAGTCGACATGGAACAAATGGGTTAAGGCGGGTAAACCAAGAAATATTGAAAATGTTGTATGCCGAAATTATAAACAAGCTAAGAGGGAATTTCAGAGAGAATTAAGACGTGCTGAATACCAACATCAACTAAAGCTACAGGAAGAAATAGATAGTGCTTCAGAAATATCCATGTCGTTTTTCTGGTCCTTAGTTAAAAGCCGCAGACGCACTAAGCAAACTACAAGTAACATTAAGAGTGATGATGGTGTACTGCTGACCAATCCCTCAGACATTAAGGAGGAATGGAAGAATTATTTTTCCAAACTTGTGGCATTTAATGACAATGACCTTTTTGACAAAGATTTCAGTCAATACATAGACAGTGAGATTGAGAAAATAAATGCTGAGCCATCTGACATGAACGAAAAGGCTTTTAAGACACCAATCACCGAGCATGAAATATCAAACTTATGTACCAAGCTTTCCAGCAACAAATCTCCTGGATGGGATGATATATGCTCCGAACATTTAAAACTAGGTGGAGCCAAGCTAATTAGTGTTTTGACAATTTTGTTTAAGTGCATTGTACAATTAGAGTATATCCCAAGGGGCTTTAAAACAGGAGTACTTATTCCACTTTTCAAAGGGGGTAATAAAGACCCATTGAACAAAGATAACCATCGTGGAATCACCCTAATGTGTACATATATGAAGTTACTCGAAGGATTAATGGCCAAAAGGGATCGAGAATGTCAGGAACTTGGATATCATGATGAAAAACACGAATTACAAGGTGTTAGTAGAAAAAACGTCTCCAGTCTGCATACGTCATTTCTGGCAAGAGAGGCAATAGCCACAGGGCTCGAAAGAGGAAATGACGTCATAATAGTAGCACTCGACATCAGGAAAGCATTTGATGGGGTGTACCACAAGGGTCTATTATATAAGATGCATGAGCAAGGTATCCGAGGGAAACTTTGGAGGCTATTGAGGAATGCGTATGATGATTATAACTGCACTGTGCGTGTCCAAGGGTGCAATGACCTTTCAGAGTCCTTTAATGTAGAACAATCTGTTCATCAGGGCGGGGTCTACAGCATGGAGCTGTACGCCAAGTATACGAATGGACTGATACAAGAAATATGTGAGAGTGGTGTTGGCTCATCTATAAATGGACTAAATACTACAATACCGACGTATGCAGATGACACCATGCTAATTGCATACCATGTGCCAGTCATGCAACAGCTCTTAAATGCAGTGTACCAATACAGTCTAAAATGGCGTTTTACGTATCACCCCCATAAATGTAAATCAGTAATATTCAGTAAGGGGAGATCGACCCAGAAATGTGAACTATCGATAGGTGGCGTAGATATTCCAGTTGTAGATCAGCTAGAACACCTAGGGCTCCCTCTTATACCTAATGGTAACTATACTAATTTCATAGAGAACAGAATTGGTAAAGGTAGAAGGGTGATTAACTCCTACGTTGGGGTGACATCGAGTCATATCAATCCATCTAACCCACTGACAATCTCGAAACTTTATTGGACCGTTGCAATGCCATCTATGTTGTACGGACTTGAAATTATACCACTGAAGGAAAGTGATTACACAAAATTGAGCCACGGGCACAAGGTAATTGCAAAGAAGATCCAAGGACTCCCGATAAATACAAGTAATCCTGCAGTTTTACCACAGCTTGGATGGAGCGAGATATCGTACATCATTGACCAAATGAAGTTAATGTTTATATGGCAATTGCTTGTTCTTCCAATAAGTAGCATTTACAAACGCTTAACAATCCAGCGTTTAATTGAAATCATCTCTAAAAATCTTCATGCACAGTCACCGATAAGGGACATTGTTTACACGTGTAACAAATATGGATTATTGCCAGATGTAATGTCTATGGTAAAAACAGCTCTTATTCCAAGCAAATCGTCATGGAAAAAGACTGTCAAAGATGCCTTATGGGATCACCAGTTAAATTCCTGGCATTTGGAAATGTTAACATATAGAAAGTTGAATGTATATGCAGACGTTGTCATGTTTATCAAACCGATATCATGGTGGTGTGTGAGTAAGAGGTATCCGAAAATAGTAAAATATGTTCGTATTGTGATGACACTATTAGTGGGAGAAGGAAACTTGCAAGTGAATAAGGTACAATGGTCAAACGAGAATGACAGAACGTGTAAATTATGCAATATTGATGAGGAAACATTAATACACATGGTACTTAAATGTGAAAAGTTGAATGAGGAGAGAAAGCCAATTGTTGATATAGTAGAGGAATATGGATGCAATACAATGAACGACGAAAATAAACTGAGGTTTATATTCGATGAGGGTCAAATCCTAGACGATGTATCTCTGATCGCTGTGGCAAGGTCAATTTTTATGATGTATCACAAGAGAGATATCTCCTAAGATATTATTTACCACTGAATGCATCACTTAATTTATATCTTGTCATTCTAAATAAGTCTATTCGTGTAATAGGCATTGCAATATGTAAATAACTTGTAATTATTTTTATACTTTATACTTAACACCTAACTATACACACATGTACAAATGTTCATCATATAAAATGTATGTAAATGTACTCATCAGAAATTGATGGATAAAATAAACATAATAATAATAATAATAGGGTCAAACAACTGTTAAATGATAAAGCATTCTTGAGCATCTATTATTCCCTTATTTACTCTTATTTGATATATGGCAATCTTATCTGGGGTGAAGCAGGTAGTGGTTTGTTAAACTCCCTTCATATTTTGCAGAAAAAATTTACACGTATTGCAACAAACAGTAACTACAGAGCACATTCCCTTCCTCTATTCAAACAACTGAACATTTTGAATATATTTGATATTAATAAGCAGTTGAAATGCCTTTTCATGTACAAATGGATTAATAAACTCCATAATTATCATAAAATTTTTCCAAACCTCTTCAGTACCATCCAAGAGAGACATGTTTACAACACCCGAAATAGGGTAAACTATGACAAACCCAAAATTCGAACAAATTATGGAAAAGCTTTGATATCTTTTACTGCACCATCAATTTGGAATTCATTACCTATTGAAATAACATCATCTGGAAGTATTTTTATTATGAAAAAAGAATTGAAAAAATATTTTATCAATCAATAATATCAATTTCAGTTAACCATTGTGGGCATTATATGACACATTCTTAGTCAAACATATATAGTAGCATTCATCACACAAGCAGATCCCCAATCTGTACATTTCATGTTTGTTTATAAACACGGGAATATACACGAGAAGTGTCACCCGTTTACTGTATATTTGTTGTTGAAATATGTATGAATAAATAAATAAATAAATAAAAAAAAAAAAAAAATCCCTATATTTAATGCTGCATATTTCTCTCAATTGGGAAGCTACAGTCACTGTTCGATTGCCATAGATCAAATGTGATTGAGGCTTATATAGTCTTCAAATTCAGATAAAAAGAAATATTTTTTGATCCTCCTATTGGGATGATAACACTCAGATAGAAAGCGCAAATAAATTAGAAGTTTTATAATTATTTAATTGGCCATTTGATATTAATAACAGTATTTTTATTGTGTACAAGGAAACAATGCTAACATGTTTTATCAATTAAGTAGCACAAGTGAGGGATAAATTAGCACTAACTACATGTAAACACATAAACTTACCCACTTTCGCCCATTTTAATTTCGCATGCTTTGGAGAACTAGATTCAGATCTCTTGTTTGAATCTGTATGTTTACTTCTTGGAGATGTACTCCCAAGCTCATCAACATTATCTATATCCATTCCTACATCTAATGCATCTAAAGAGCAATATAAAGCAAGGAAATGAAACAGACCAGAAATGTCATTTTTATGTCAATCATGGTCAATTCTTCAGTATATAATTTAAGACCATCTACAAGTATTTTCAATCTTAATTATTCATGAGAATACATGTTGTATGACTATGAAATGACATTTTTGATCACATTTAAGCAGCCAAAAGATCAAGGAGTAACAGTTGGATGGAGGCATATGAGAGTGGGTGTTCAAATTCAGATATTTTCGTCTGGGAGCCATTTCTCAAATGTCAAGAACAATTGAATGTTCCAACTTGCATGTCATTAAGCTCACAACACATTCGAGTAATGGCTGTACCCTTTACCCTGAAGCCCCACTGGATAGGTAAAGATTAGGCAAAGCTTAATTTAGAGATCTCAAAGGCAGATGAGTGCAAAGGGTAGTCTTTGATAAATGCAACTTATAATAAAGGGTCAGGGTTGAAAATTTATAGAAGCACACGTGTACAAATTTAATGCGTAACTAAGGTTGCCAGCAATTACTTACAAGTTTCACCACCATGTGGCTAACAAGGAATAGACATACAAAGAGTTAACAAATAGATAAACAGACGAGAAGTTGATTCTAAAATAGACCAGCTGCAACTGCTACATAATTTAGTACTACATGTGTGTAGATCAGCACATGATTCTACTGGTAACTTAATGATTTAAAACACTGCTTTCCAGCACAAGGCAAAATTTGTTCTCTATAAGACACTAATGCTAACTAAACTAAGATTGAAGAAAAAACTAATAAGCCATACAGTGATATAATAGGAATACCTTTCTTTGTTGGTTTTGGCACAAATCTACCTCCAAGCCTTAACATTCCTGTTGGAGTCTTCTCTATAATACAACAAAGGTAATGTACATACACAACTATCAATGTGAAAAATATCAATTCATTCATGTGATTCAATGATGTGATACATGTGTCTGTAAATTGCTTTAACTTGATGGCCGTTTTGATTTGGCAGATTGTTAAAATCCGCCAAATTAAGTTTTCGCCAATTTTTGAAAAATCCTTGGGACCTAAGGTCTCATTTGGGAATTGTTTCAATATTTTGATTGTAGCCCCATTTTTATTAGATTTTAGAACCTGGCCATGTGACTTTCTAGCTAGCCCTCCAATTTCCCTATTTTTCTGCCAAATTGAGTCGTAGCTAAAATTGAGAAATTTTGCCAAATCTTGGAAATTAAATACCACCAATTAAAGCAATTTACAGTACCCTGTGATTTCTAGACAAAAATATGGACTTTTTGACTGAAAAGAATGAAGATCTATTATATTATTATAAACTATGAAAATTATTTCATGAAAAGTATGATATGGCTTAATAACATACTTTTTAGATAAGTTTAAGACAATTAAGTATCTACCTTCCCATGCAACTTTTTCAGGCTTGGCTATAGATTTCTTCACCTCCTCCACAATCTCTTCAAGCTCCCAGTATGCGAGCTGCCAATCAATGCTTTGCCCCGCCCCACTTGCCTTCTGCATGACCTCTATGACATTTGGTATTCCCTCACGTGTCCCCACTTGGTGGCACTTGTACATCCAGAGTGAGTCCTTGTTACAAAGATATTTCCAACGTCTGCAAACCTACAGTTTTACAAAATAATAGACCAAATAATCCAGTTAATTGTGCCAAATATTGGTATGATGTCACTTTTACAGTTTTAGGTCAGAAATAGGATTGCATGCTTGTCTAACTCATTTTATGAACACTTAAACCTATTAGACCTATTCAAATGTATGTTTTAAGCCGAACAAAACTAGGCATTTAAGATTTACCCCTTTTTCAAACAAAATTATGTTTACATCAAGAAAAAGACAATTCCCTCTATTCTATTCTAATTCAAATAAAATACACTATAACATTACTTTATACAAATCAACATAATTAAATTTACCTGTGAGGTTATTTCTATGTCATCCCCAGAGAGAAATGAGAATGTGTACAGTAATAACTTGTCTGGGAGCCTATTGATGTCTGACATGTCTTCCAATCTAAAACAAACTCTTTAACATGAACATCACGCATTGTAAAATAGTAGTACTAAAATGTGTCTTTAACACACTGCAGTGTTAAAAGATTTTTATCGCATATCAAAAATATACTGTCTTTAAAACAACATCTCAGTAACCAAATATGACAGGTTAAATTTCAAGTGGACTACATACTTGATTGCTGGACTTGGTTTGTTTGATCACCACTGAAAGAATTCTTGACAAAAGCTAGTTTAAACTTAAAGAGGTACATATTACATGCATCTGTAGACTATAGTTAGCTGTATTTTACCTCTGTTGAAGACACTGTGCCGCATAGCCAAGTAGTTCCATGTCACAAAGTTTAATTATCTCAACTAATAGCAAGATCTTGTCATGACTCTCCCAGCTTGACATTATCTGGAAATTCATGAAATTATTAGGCCAATGGTAATACATTATGATTCATTTACAGAAACATTATCTGGAAATTCATGAAATTATTAGGCCAATGGTAATACAATTGTATTCATTTACAGAGACGAGCAAGATCTTGTCATGACTCTCCCAGCTTGACATTATCTGGAAATTCATAAAATTATTAGGCCAATGGTAATACATGTATTAATTTACAGAAACAAGCAAGATCTTGTCATTCTCCCAGCTTGACATTATCTGGAAATTCTTCAAATTTTGTTTTGGCAATACATGCATTCATTTACAGAAACAAGTGAATGAGCAAAATACTGCCTTGACCTTAAATAATTGAATCACAGGATATCTTATTCCACCCAGAAAATGGTGAATGTACATGTATATGCACATGTTTTCATATTTGATGAGTGAAAAATGCCATGGACAGTCTGGATCTGCTAGAAAATATGTGACCTACCTCCCACAGAAACTTAATCTGTGCCTTAAACTGGGTTTTTAGTTTTCCCGTTCTAGGCTTGGAGAGAACTCGGTCATCACTTTCTGTCCACCATTTACTGTTCTTATAGAGACGTTGTATTGGCACTTGGAACTCTTGGGATTCAGGAGAATGGCTCCCATGTCTGCATTCTCTCTGCATTGGACCTGGATGGTTAAAAATATAGCTGATTTATGAAGAATTGCTAGAAGGGGGACTTGGAAAAAGAGATACAGGGCTCTCACTAGACTTTTAGACTGTAGCGCGGCACTGCACTCTATTTAGCTCCCACCACAACCTATTGGCAAATCATGATTGGTTCCACAGTCTAAACTTGACAGAATACACTATAATAGCATGTAAAAGATAAAGTATAACATAAATATGATAATATTATGATCCAACAGTTAGCTGAAGATGTTTCCTCCACACCCTAAATATTTCAGGGTGAGATGGTATTAGTAAAAGGAGATTATGTGGGAAAGAGGAGACAAGTGGTAAAAAAGATGGTGTGGGTAATGAAGAGGGAACACCAGGCAGATCGACTAAATGCCAATCAAAGCTGATACTTTAAGTTGATATCACCCAACTTTTCAAAAATGCAAAGAGGGTTTCTTACTATGGAATAAACATGATCATTTCAAGAGTGATGATGTTTATAATTTATTTTTACAATACAGTACTTCTGCAGAAGTAACAGATCAAGACAAAAATGTCTCAACATCTGCATGTTTATATCAAAATGTACTCACCAAACTTATCCTGTTTATCTTTGAGAAAGAAATCACTTGCATTTAATCCTGTTGACCCAAGAGTGGACCTGTGTCTGTGAACCCCAGGGGTGGGGCTAAAACGTGGACTATACACAGCAACACTCTCACTTTCTGTGCCCCCTAGATTATAACTAAGCTCTGTAATAGGACGTAGGGGGTATTTTCTTGTAGACTTTTTCAGTATTCCTTTTGCACTTGTAGTGTCATGATCTGTTGTCCCTGATGCTTTAATTTCAGAGTCATCGGCAAAAAAGTTAATTGATTCTAAGTTTTGAATAGCTGTATCTATAGAGGTGTTAACAACTTCATGTACAACTCTTTCTAGCTTAGTACTAGTATCCACTGAATTTACAGATTCAATGGTTTTCTCATCATTAAGGTCTGAAATGGTATCATGTTGCTTGGTATCTGGCTTATTCAAATCTGTGTTGGCATTGCTGTTTTCTACATTGGCATTAGTAGAATCAGTAATATCATTCTCATTGGTAATGTCTAGTTTCTTATCATTGGCAAGTACGGATGGCTCATTTGAGGCAGCAGTTTCAGGCAAGCTTACATTTGTTATGGACTTTTCTGTTTTATCAGGAGTTTGATTTTGACTTGTGTTTTGATTTCCATCTAGTTCTGCTTTCATTCCAAACACCATGTCCAAACTTTTCTCCTTTTTCAGGGATGTATTACTTATCTCTTTAAAATTGTTATATGCATCCTCTAAGTCAATATCTGGTTCATGGGTTACATCAGGCTCCTTAATACTTGGTGTCTTAATGCTTTCATTAAATTCAAATGCTGAACTTGTTGCATCCTCGATATCTCCTTCAGAGATTTTAGAATATGTTTTCAAACTATCCTTGGAAAATGGTCGATCTGTGTCTAACAGGTCATCTTCCTGATCTTCTTTCGCAGTTTTCAGACCTTTGTGAGATCCTCTTGAATGGTCACTTCTACTTTTTAATCTGCTGAGAGTGTTCCTGAACTGTTCTCGTTTATGTAGAGTTTTGAATGGAGATGTGGGGTAAGATCTCTTCCTGAGTGCTGTGTGGTAATCCCTGTGGAATATGGGCTCTAAGGTTGTAGCAAGTGATTCTAACTGGCTTGTGGTACACCTACAAAATAATTTTAAAATAGAATATAAACTACAACAAAGTAATTTAAATAAAAATGGTGATATAATGGTATACCACTGTTTTTGTGACAAGCATTTGGCATCTGTAAAAAGTGTTTCCAGGTGCTGGATATGTGTGAATAAATAAATCACAAATAACAGTTGAACTGTAACACTTGCATTTCTAAGAATCTATGTATGTACGTGAAGGGAAAGAACTTAAGAGGGTTGTACATTTATCAGTTTACTGTATGTAGTACATGTTTATTACCGTACATGGCTTAAGATGACTATATGTATTGTACATTGCACTGTTTCTTATGTTTCTTGCTTCAATTTAAATTACTGGATTGGTAAATTCATACATGTAAATCAACTGCATACACATATTCAAAATGCAACCTTTAATTTAGAAATAACATTTACCTGTCTGTTAGACCACAAATAATCAACCTTTGCTGCCATGGTGTCCAGGTATCAAACCATTCACGAATTTTCTTGATTGTTTGCTGATTGTTAAAATGTGATTGCTGGTATGCGTTCCTTGTGGGATGTAGTGGAGTTGCTCGAGGTGATGTTGAGTTATATCGTATGTCTGGCAGTTTTGTGCTCAGATTCCGAGGCCCCACTGTCCTTGTATGTGTAGGCATCTTTCATACACTAACTGAAATTCAATTAATACAGTACATAAAGGGGAGTTAAAACTGTTCATATGTTTAGCCACATCTTATCTTGCAACAACTTAATAATACACGACTAAAGGACTAAGAGGACAATTATTTGTCAGTGAGTTAATGACATGCTTAATCTTGCTATTCTGGCCAGACATTAGGCTACTGTAAATGTAAGATAATTGCAAAAATCATAAATTGGAATTAGAGCGCCTTATTTCACGAATGAACCAATTAGATCGTGCAACGCATGCGAGACACATGAAGATATGGATAGGGAATTTCACCTTCATAACCTGCAGACTACTGGTGTATACCTTAGTCTAATCAGCTTACATGTATACTATAATATAGATCTAGGCTTATACATGTACTTTACTGAACACAGATGGCACAAAACTTCTAGAGTAACATGTACTAGAATCTCTGATAACTGTGGACCTACAGTTGGGGACAAAAATAAATGACAGGTCGATTTTCGATCACCATTTCCTAATTATGGTGGTCTGAAAGCCCATAATTTCCAATATTGTCTAGATACATATCCCTTAAAATTTGTATATTTGCATTTTGTATAATCTCATCCACTGATTTATGGCCTCTTGTAAATTCTCTTATTTTTAACATGGGAAATCCTTACTTCAGCAAATCCACCTGTCATTTATTTATGTCCCCAACTGTAGGGCCTAGCCGAGCTTAAGACAACCTGCAATGTCCTGTGTGACATCATATGAATTAAGCTTTGACTAGAGTCTAGCCTGTATAGACTAGTAGGCTAATATTATTGAAAGATAATTGATAATCTGACATAAATCTGAGTCTGAGTCTGAGTCTGAGCATCAGCAAATAAATTTTCTACAATTTTTCACGTTTTCGTTGATTTTACCATATGTCTCAGAAAGTAATCCACTGTATTCACTGTAAGAATAAATAATTTTACCTTAACTAATTCAGACTCATTAATTTCTATGTAACCATCCTGGAAGAGCCATGAAACAGACTGGAAAGGCTACAATTTCTAAATGTTTACATCCGACATTTTGGATCGCTGGGCAGTTGCATTGTGGGAGAAATTAAGTCCACTCGGTTGAACTCGAGGTCATAGCCTTGGTAACTGAAACTTTAAACCAATCAGATCGCTTGTTTCAAAATACAAAAATTTAAAGAGACAGGAAATGAAAACAAAATATGGTGATTTTGGTGAGTTTTTATTCTGATGTTTTCTATATTCTTAAACATGTTTATACAATGAATTTGATTTTTTCATGATTGCAATATTCCAGGGCACCAACGAACCAAGTATGAGCGGTTTTGACTCATCAGATGACGAGAACGAAGGTGAAGTTGACCTCTCTCCTTTCAAAATCGATTGGTAATTTTTTTTCATTTTTATTTAGATCTAGAGATCTATATTCTTTTTGAAATTGGTAACATGATACGTTAAATCTTTATGCATTACATTCAAACAGATACGTTGATTAATTCTCTAGGCCTGCTTGAAGTATGTCTGGATTTTATAATAATTTTTTAGATACATGTATGAACATACCATGGAGGACTATGAACATACTGTTTTTGGTAAATTGCCATTGGCAGTTGAGTTGGTGAACAATTCTGTGCTCAGCTTTTGTATCATGATTTTTTTCTCAAGCAAAGGCAAGAAGTTCAAGTCAGCTTTGAAAAAAACGGCACTATCAACGCACATATTTCTTACCTCAATCGATTTTATAAACACCAATCTAAACGTTCTCTCAAAACCAAAAAAGAAGCAGCTGTCTCAAATTGCACAATATCAACTTTGTTTCATCTAGGCTTGACCTCTCCTACCTTGGACTAGTGGAGCCATTAGGAATAAGTGCCTTACCTGGATGTAGATTCAAGGATGTTTGGAGAAACCTAGAAGCAGATATCGGTAAGGAAACTTCACAGTCTATTAACATTCTTAAATTTTTTTTAATTCACTAGAAGATTTCAGGTAACATAGTACATATTTATGTTGCAAATCACCTATTGGTGATCATGGGTGTAGCATCCAAGCATATAAAGATTGTCGGAAAAGCTTAGGTAAACCAAATTAATACAACGAAAAATAAAAATCCTCTGGGAGGCATGCCCCCAAGGAACCTCCTAATTTGTCATCTTTGGCTTCTTATTCCTCTGGTTGGATGTGGCACTACTCATAACTACAATAAAGTACATGTGTACACCATTAGATATGAACATAATCAAATTTTGTAAAATGAAAGACATGTTTCTTGTATATTCAGAGTCCATCAAGTCTTTGGAAATATCTGATGTATTCTGCTTCTGCTCACGTGGTGAACTCCACAAATATCGTGTAACATGGTTGTTACAAGAGTATACAAAAGCTGATATCACAACATATCATTATCCATTTCCCGATGGATGTACCCCAACTATTGGAAATCTGGTGAAAATGCTCGAACAGTTGAAGCTGAACCTAATGGAAGGAAAGAAGTCATTAATTCAGTAATGTTTGCATTTTCATTGTATTTTATTGCCTAAGTTTACAATAATGGAAAACAAAGTTGTTATGTCTTAATCGCAGAATGGGTTGTTTTATCATCAGCAAGTGTATCTTTAATATTCATAGTTCATCAATTGGATATTTTGCAATTCAATGTTCCCATCTAAATAGGACTAGTTTTGTTATCTAAATCACAAAAATTAAACCATCAATAAAAATACATAAAGATGTAGAATTGTAGGTTGTTGATAGACAATAAGGACATTTTTCATCCAAGTTGATATCACTGTGGACTTGATAACCTTAAAACCTACAATAAACTTATCCATACATGTATTGTGCTAAGCCTATTTTAGATGAATATATACTGTGTAACTTCAGTTGTTTTGGAGGCCTTGGAAGAGCCTGTCTGGTTGCATGCTGTTTCCTCCTCTATATGGACCCAACATGTACACCAGAGGTGGCCATTGCAAAGGTACAACAGATACGAGGACCCCGCGCAATACAGTCAGTAAAGGTATGTTGATTTCATGAAATTTTTTCATATTTTCAAAGCTAATTGTACCCATCTCCATGTACAAGTATATACATGTACTCACTGTTATATTGAAAGTTAAAAAAAGTTAAACAATTTTGGGCCCCTAAAACCATTTTCTTCAAAATTTGGCCTGAAATTAAAAAATAAGGCCTTAAAAGGCCCATTTTGGGGGGCTTTAAGGCCTTTTTTGGCCCAGAATCTCAATGTTTTTTTTCTGGGCCCATTCAAGGGGGGGGGGGGGGGGCGGGCCCCCAGATCCACCAGTGATAAGAGAATTTATGCCAATGGCTAAATTAATTTTGAATCATTTAAGGCATGTGGGTTTCCTATCAAGGCTTTAAATGAGGTTGGTAGCCCAATTCAAAGGCTAGGATACAAGCATGAGTGCATTAAATCATGCACAATTCCTTGAGTCGTGTGCTTGAATTCTTCCCACACATTGGAAAATATAGGATAGTATCATAATAAATATGAAAATCAATTATATTATATTATATGTTAGAAAATGTACAGTTTTCCAAGTGTTTGACATGGTTTGACATTTTGACCTGCATAAAGACATACCTTTATATGAATAATGAAATTGATGAGGGTAATCAATATCACTGAATCTAAAATAGCTATGTAACCTGTTATAAAAAGATAGAAACAACCTTCCTTCTGAAATGCTTGGATGAAATGTAGGTCAGTTGACCCTTATATAAGCTATTACCATATTTCCAATACACTATAATCAAAATGTATGGTTAAATGATATTCCTTCAAAAAAATCAATGTAACTTTAATTAAATACAGGAAACAGTTGAATTTTGATAAATCATGCCATGTAGTATTTTAGGTCAATTTCATCCGCTCTCTTACTCTATTATTGTTCGAATACTATTCTAAATATCACTGGCATGTAGCGATTTAAGCGATACTGAATACTTTACTGAATTGTGTCGAAGTTAGACGTGTGGTGCGGAAGTTAATATGCAGATGACCATCATTTCAATGTTATATTGTTTGTAGGCAAATTGAGATTAGGCCATTGGAGTATTTGTTTCACGCATACATAAAGCCTAACGCATTCAAGGGTCACATTTATCATTAAACCAATAACTCAAACATATGACCTTGTACACCGACCACCTCTTGAAATCAATGCGGGCCGATTTCAACAAATGCAAACGATGATATATAAAAGAAACATAATCAAGCATGACCACGTCCCAACTTCTTTTGTTTTCTTTACAACTAAGCTATGACTGCAGTCTATTCAGTGTTGCGTATCGAACCTTGTTTATTATAAAAATAGTGCAACAACAAGCAGAATTCACACATTTACCTATACTTATTCTCAACTGAAGACATTGAATTTATCTCTTAGGTTTTACATTATAAATATCTTAACATGCAGAATACGAAAATAGAGGCTTATGCCCAACTTTGTATGGATTTTATGAAAATAATCTGATTTTAGAGAAATGAAAAGAAAAATGTCCACACCCTACACAAAATATTTATTGTTCCCCGGGAATACGTATGTGTTGCTTGTATATTAGAATCGTATTCCAGTTACAGAAAGAAGTACATATTATGCTAAACTATATAGTAGCCCGGACAGAATTGTTCAATGGTCACTTTTTCTTAAATAACTTTTTTAATTTTCAGTATTATCAAAATCTGATTACATATTTGAAAACTAGGGTAAAATTCTGACATACAGAAAAAATATTTAAGGAACATCTCACAATTTATTGATATTATAGGCGTTCATAGTAGGAGTGACGCAAATACATAATTCACCATTTTGTCTCATATTTGTTCAAAAATAGCGGCATATTTTGCGGTTTGAATGTTCAGTTGAAAGTTAATATTTAAGAAATGTAATAGCCCTACGAAATCATGTTAACTGCTGCCTTGGAATGAGGTAATGACTGCATTTATAACCCAACCTAACCTAAATTGACTTGTATGTATACCAGTACTTAACAAGGTTTGTACATTGTATGTACAGTTCATTGGTAAGGTCGCAGGACTTAAAGTTTTTTGGCCCTTCCATTGTTGCTCGTAGTGGATTAGCAATCCTAGTTCATTTAACCTGTGCAACTATAGGGTCATACTGCAACAGTTTGTAATGTCTTTCCCAGTCACATGCCTCTTAACCCATCCTTGGCATGCATGTGAATTGTTCTTTAGCTTTTCAATGGCCTCTGAGATGACTGTTTGGAGCTCTTGAAAAGATTGAGGACCTTCTCTCGTCCCACCCCGTACATTGGGACGCCACCTTCACATCCCCTTGAACACAACTCCGAACATATCAATAGAGGTGACTTCATATACCCTTGGAGGGAGTTGACTTCTTGTATTTGATGATTGGTCAGTTGCTGAATTACATCAGTATTGTAACGGTTGCAGCATGGCCATATAGTCCTATGACAATCTTTAAATATTAACTTTCAACTGACCATTCAAATTCACAAAATATGCTGCCATTTTGAACAAATATGAGGCAAAATGATGAATTATGTATTTGCGTCAGTCATACTATGAACGCCTATAATATCAATAAATTATGAGATGTTCCTTAAATATTTTTTTTGTATGTCAGAATTTTACTCTAGTTTTCAAATATATAATCAGATTTTGATAATACTGAAAATTAAAAAAGTTATTAAAGAAAAAGTGACCATTGAACAATTCTGTCCGGGCTACTATATATATATTTATCGTCTATTATCCTTTGACAAGTAGAGTAGAGAATAAAAATAAAAAATTTAAAAAATTCAAAAAAGGAAATAAGATTAATTTTTTAGAAAACTACTTAGTATATGATAAAGCAGATATGTGCGGTCGGTTTGGATATGGGGTTTATCCCTCGTGAGATATGCACGTCTACCTTCGGTCCCTATGGTCCATCAGGTAGATATAGAGATTATCCTATATGAGGTTCAGGATATTGGGATTACCCCGAAGCAAATATAATATATCTGTCCGAGGGCCGCAGGTCCCGAGGGCCGCAGGTCCCGAGGGAAAATATATTTTATTCCAAAATACTACTATTTCCCAGGGAAATATGAAGGAATTAAAATCGTATTGAATCGTATTACATGAAAAAATCGTATTGTCCCCGGGAAAAAATCGTATTGGACCGTATTGACCTATTTTTTAGTTTCCCGGTTATTTTATTTATTTATTTCATTTTTCAAACAATGTGCATTTATTAATATAACGTTTGCATTATCCAAATGTAACATTCTAGAGGGATGTAATATGGAATAAATAGGTTATTTCTGGTCAGGATTGAATATGGGTTTTATTCCTCGGAAAATATGATATTGGCCTTGGGCAATATGATATTGACACTCGGTCGCTGCGCTCTCGGTCAATATTATATTACCCTTCAGTCAATATCATATTGTCCCTCGGAATAAAACCCATATTCAATCCCTCCCAGTAAATAACCTATATGTATTCCATACCTGATGAGGTTTCAGGGGCATATCAACCGGGAATATATTCCATATCCGGCAAATATTTTTCGTATGTCCCGCTCCGACGGAGCTCCATATAAATCGTATGTCCCACTCAAAAAAATGTTAAAAATAAATTCTGAAAAAAAAAATGTGAAAAAAATTGGGAAAAAAAATTTGAAAAAAAAAATTTGGAATTTTTTGTTCATTTTTGAAAAAAATCTGAAAATAAAAATTTGAAAAAATTGTGGAAAAAAATTATGCAAAAAAATGTGAAAAAAAATTTTGAATTTTTTTGAAAATGATAACATATTTTGCAAGTAACACACCAGAGCATGTGGGGAACATACTCAAGATATCATATTCATTCGTGGATAAAAATCATATCTCTCATAAATCATAGGATATCCTCTATATCCCATGGTTGCAATGATATAGATCGAATATCACATGATGATATATTTGATATGTGACCAAGATATCATATTTTAGTAAACAATTTACAAACCATCGAATATCACTTTAAACTATCGAATATCACGTCTTAAGAAGTGATATTCGATGGTTTCGAATTTTTTCAAAAAATGAATTTTGAATATTTGAAGACGTAAATCAAGATAATTTCTACTCGCATCTTGTCTATTCCACAGGTTTGGGAAAAGTGTACAGGAAAATCTCCATGTTCAATTGATGTATGATCAATATACGAATCGAATGTATTCTCGTGTGCATTACAATATCAACATTGAAACATTTTTGGCCTGCAATGGACGTATAATGGATTAGAATATGAGGCCGTGTTATCATTCAAATGCAAAGTCATGGTATTGGGTTGCAAGTTAATATCAGATTCAATGCAAAGTAATCATTTAATATCAGATGCGCGATCAGTCCAATAATGTAATTTCGGGTCATCAGTTCGATATCTAGCAGTTGTTCTAACGACACGGTATTACTAGGCTATCGTGTTATAAATACACACACATATAAATAAATCAAACTGGTACACGATATAAGCACGACTGCTCTTTCAATTGAGTATAAATGTTGATAAACTTACCCGGAAGCCAACACATACACGTTTAGACGATGCTATTTTCAGTTCAGTGTAAGAGTAAATGCCCGGATATCGAAGCTTTTTCGTGTAAAGTTTTAACCAAGCATGTAGTATCGGGTTATATTGCGTGTAGAATTTATCGATATCAGGGCCGCTACATGCCAGTGAATATGGAATTCTTAATTCCATAGTTATTGCATTAACAAAATTGGTTACGGAAGCATTACGATAATATTACAAGGTAGTTAGTTACCTGACAATTTCTTTCATAGATATCTTCATATATTGAGATGACATTTTCCTATTGAATAGAATATGTTACTCTTGATTATTTCAGCAATACAATCAAATCCACGACTTCAGAAAGGACTATGAGAAATACTCTACGCAACATGGGGAGGCATTTAGATCAGTCTCAAGATAACTTCAATGAGACATTCCTTAGGCTAGTTATCCAATTTTACAATACACCACATATTGGTGATGGGACTGCACTGGTGTGTGAAATGAGATATTTATATTAAATGTTCTGCATTTTCATATTTACTTTTACCCAAGTACAATCTGGAATTACTTTGACATAATTTTCAAAGTGACGACATGAAGGATCTAAGTTTGAGTTCAGTAGAAACCTTTGCTTTCTTACTTCAAACCATCCTCCGAGATGTGGTCTGGAGATTATGGTTCGGCTAAAATTATGAGAACATTATCTTGATTAAGAGTGTCAATATACATTCGGTTCAGAATTTGGTTTTAAAGGAACTACAATTCATATATTTAGTTCTTCAGTTTTGTAACATTGAGTCTAGAATATTACCATGTTCCTTTTATGTGGCCTTTCACCAATGTAACAAAAGCGAGGGACTAAATGTTAGAATTCCTGTTTCATTTAAAGACTAAATTCCCAACTCTGTGTATGTTCTTAAACTAGCTTTTGAGCTGAATTAAAATATGTACCTTGAGTTAACTTAAAAGTAGGTTTAAATCGAGAAAACAAAAATTTTACAGAACTCAAACGAATTAGTACCTTCATTTGGGTGATATTGAATGGCCAATATTTACATATTGAATGGTCAAGATGAGAATGTACCTTATATGTGCTTTGAACTGAGAAGTATGTGTTTATTTATTTATTGCCAGAAATATAAAATCAAATGCCAAATGTTTGATACATTTAACCAATGTTGGTAAACAACAAAAAATTAAAATGTAATCTAAACAGGTAGCAATTGCAATCACAATTTAATTACTGATTTTATCATGCTACAACAACAAACAATCAACCATAAATATTCCAAATTGGATTTTGGGTTAGCTAACAAATGTCATAGATGTTTTAATATTATGTTATATAAATTGGTAAGGAACAAATATCTGTAAGACCATTTTCATAAGATTGCGTGAGGGGTGTATGCTTGAACTCTTTGGTATGATCAGATCATCTTGGAGCCTTAATGCCAATGTAATGTTCTATACTTGTATTAGTGTCATAAGTGTGTATGCAGAGAACTTCTATTTTAGAATGTTAAACAAAAAGATCATGGAACAAAACAGTAAGAAAATTTTAGTAGTCTGTAATATCACCCCATGCAGACAGATCGACTTAAATTACATTTGTATGATGCGAGACTCGACATTCACCAGGAAAGTAGAAACATTTTGTAACCCATGAAGCAAATTAATTTCAAGATGGCATGCTATTTTCATACGACTGTCATTCATCAAAAATTAATTTGCATCATGGGTGACAAGATGTTTCTACTTTCCTGGTGAATGTCAAGTCTCGCATCATACGAATGTTATTTTAGGCGATCTGTCTCCATGGGTTGTAATATACATGATATACATTATTGAGTCAAATGAATATTTGTTGTATTCAAAGGAGTTTCAATCTAAAAAATTAAGACCACTTTCATGATATTTCATTGGACAATTATATTGGTCTCGTCATCATGTAATTTGAAGAGTTGTATTTATTTTTTGATGTTAATATATATAATAATTATGTAAATAAAAATGTACTATATGCACCTGATCACATGTTTTAATTATTTTGTTAGAGTATGACATTTTCCACGACCCTGGCCTACACAATTTCTTTTGTTTTAATTCACATGTTCAAGATTGCTCATTGTTCTTGGCCTTCCTTAAATCACAATGAAAACCATAAAAGTACTAGCAATTCAGAAAAGGGTCACTATTTTTGCTGCAGTTGTAAAATCTGTGCACTCTTAGAGAAACCTTTTCATGGCTCAAAATAATTGGTGGTACTTGCTCTTGGAGGCAAATGTGAACCTAATAATATCCACCTTTGAACCTGTTGAATGTGACTTCTATCTAATTATGTGGCTTTGACCCCAAAGTGACATTGGCTTTACAAGCGTTCTTGGGTTTTGAGAGAGGTATCTTGCGTCAAGCCCTTGTAGACCTCCTTCCCCTATGTGGGTCAAAAAAGGCTTGAAGCAAGACTAAAAATTAAAGGAAACAAAACATGTTATAAGATTGCATTGCTATATATAAAGATCTGTATTTATTCACAACTGTACTTTGTCCATCAGATGGCAATTTTCTAACAACATTATACACATTTCATTCTTATTACAGCACTTGGAAATTAAAGCTTGAAACATACATTTGATGTGGAAATGAACTTAAACTTATACAAATTATACAAGCAGTAGAATGATTGAAATGCTATATCATATTCACTTTAATGTCAGCACACAGTTCCAATGAGCGCAAAATAAAGCTTGAAATGTACATTGGATGCGCATTAGATGAAAATGCTATGCCGACCTCTCTAATGAGCACACAATTCCAATGAGCGCATATGCGACTTTAATGATCAATATGGTATCATATTATGAAATCTCTCAATATCTTACCCTTTAAAATTCAATTAAGGGAGCAATCTGTGCGCTCATTAGAGACAATACGGTACAACGAATTATAATATAAAATGACAGGAGTCATGATTTTTTCAATTATAGCATACATGTGCATGCAAGACAGACATTAATGAACTACTTAAACTTATTGATATCATTGTCAGTATACTATGTGTACAACACATAATCACACGCGATGCATCAAAAGTTGCTACTAGCTCTGGAAGTGAGCAGATCTGTCATAAGCATTACAGTAAAGGGATTCAGATGAATTAGAATGTCACAGCAAACATATTTGTTTATACATTTTGCTAGAGATATACAAAAACATGGATTATGCATGTTAACGTGTCTCTGATTGTAAATTATATTCTCAGTCAGATTAACTCTCTTCATCTGAGGTCTGATGTCCCGTACTTTCCTGATTTACCCAAAATTATTTTTTCCATTTTGATAACTGCAATTTTAGTTATCTCCCCCCATAATACTAATGAACGTACAGACAATTAACTTACACGAATCTCACATTTGTGTACCAAATTAGCATTTACATGTATATTATAGGGGTATGAGTGTAAAGCAATTCTGCCCTAATTATTTTGATTACATCCCCATTTCTTGGTTAAAATTGATAACAAGTATTTCACTGCAGGTGTTTTTTAACACTAAGATGAATTTCCTAACATAATATATATAAAGCAATCTAAAGTATAAGAGTAAGAGGCAATAACAGCTAGATATAAGTTGAAAGCAACTTTCTAAAAGTGTCTTAATTTAATGAATGCACATTTTTTAAAAAGTCCTAAAAGTACAGACAGTAGCGACCTTACAAGGATTAAACCCATTGTAACTCAACTATTAGTGCAACCATCTTTAGAATGATTTACAATACTCTAAGCCAAGTAAATGAGATTGTTCTAGTGTTTCTTAGCAAGAGAATTGGGTATGGTATGACAAGTGATTATGTAATATATTAAGGGAGGCTCCAAACTAATTATGCTGGGGAGTTGGGAACATTGGGGAGTTAAAAAAGAAAGATGGCGCTAGTGATATGTCTATTTATCTCCAATCAAGGAGGATTGACTCCCACAATGCAATCCAAATAATTTCCATCAATGAATCTGATCTTTATAAGAATGTCATGATTTTCACTTCAAATTTTGAATCGCGATTTTTGGTCTTAAATTCAGAACATACAAGAAGTGATCAAGCTATTAGCTTGAGTCTTTTAGATAAGTGATAATCCATTTAAAACCAGTTTAAGTCAGACAATAACAACATTGTGACATTGTTATTGTTGGAAAAAATCGAGTTGTGTGCCTGGGAGACAATCCTCCTTGATCTCCAATAATAAATCGATGGATAGCTACTGCCATCTTTCTGTTGACTTAGTGTCTATGATTACTGCTGTTTTAATCATAGGGATCTCGTCGAAAGAGAAAAGGCAGTAACCATCTGTCTATATACACCATCCAGGCCCCTAGCCAGGAGTTGCCAAGGGGGGGTTCAGTTTTCAAAAAAATTTCCAGGGGGGGGTTCACATTTGACAATTTTGGCCCAAATATGGCTAAAATTACTTGAGAAGTGCTCAAAATGGTGAAAAACTGCATGATTTTGAAAAAAATTTTGGCTGGGGGGGGTTTCGCCTGAACACTGCGAACCCCCCTGGCTACGGGCCTGCCATCTCTTATCATATGTATGCTTAACTGCCAACAGGAAAGTACCAAATATGGTCGCAGAACACAGCAAGAAAAAAAAGAAATCAAAGAGAACACCAGAACACCAAGATAAAAAGACAGACATCTGCCATGTTTTTGTTCAGCTAGTGTCCATGATTTCAATAAAAATGGTGCATGGTGGTTGTTACAAAATGGTCATGGTAAGAATTTCGACTGTAAAATCAATTGTCATATCATACATGGTTCTTTTTCAGAGATTACCTTGAAGAAACTAGTGCTTAGTCACTACAGTATAGTAGTAAGCAAAAACAAAAATATAAAAAATAGCAAAATACATAACGATTTCTTTTAATAAAAAAGTTCAACCTTTCATTGCTATAAATCCTCAACAAATACTGCAAATGTGATAACAAATAATATACTGTCCAATAATCACAAGATAGACTTGTGATTTTGATCCTAATGACTAAATCGCATTATTTTGTTTTACATTGTCATTTTTTATGCTGCATTTGTTTATGGACACTTAGTGCACACAAGTACTTGACTCTCCAATTCCATTCTAAAGTACAAAGTCCCAGAATAGTGTTTTCATCAATCCATTTTGAAACATATATAATACAGATCATTGTAAATACAAAACACACCGGAATAGCCTGACAACGGTAACTGCTACAGATACCGCTGTCACAAATGGCGGCCACAGGTTCCTATTCGATACGAATTTTATTAACTGCGTGTTTAATAGAGCACCTATATTCAATTCCTTTAATCAAAGTGTCTTTCTACTCATTGTATAGTTAAATATGTTCTTCCATCGAAATAATGCCTTTAATTTTACCGAACAAAATATGACACGGGATAACAGATACTGCTTTCAGATTTATCCTTTCTCTGTTAATTATTTGAAATGCAGATTCTCTTGTCATTGATGATATAGAAGACAGTATATTGTGATTTCATATGATACAAGAATTTTGAATTTACAAGAAGGGCCAATTATTAGTTGAAATGTACAACCATGACATGTACAGAATATATAAAGAAATGATCATACAAAGAAGATATTGATGTTTTCAATGATAGAACTTGCTACGACATTTGCATAAACCAGTTCATAAGAACCAGCATACTATAAGGGGACTTTAGCCTATGTGTTTGGCTTCACTAATTATGACAGGTTCAAATATATAACATTTAATCTACTTTTCTCCGCCATACAGTTGCATGGGCCACAGTCCACTGGTTTTTCCTTGCAGTCTCACGTATAAAGAATGGCATATCTTTCTCCCCTATCAGATCAAAATCTTTTCCAAGGTGGCGCTTAAGTCCATCAAACCCTGTTACTCGCTTTCCGTTTGCATCTGTGTAGCTTCCTATCCAATGCCGCTGAAAATGAAAGAAATCTTATTAATCATGTACACTGTATACCTTTCAGATGGTACAAAAATTGAAGAGTGGTTTTATCCATGATACGTGACATTTTGACATTTAATACAGATGAAAAATACGAAATAATAATTTGTACATTTATTTTGTCAATTTCTTATAAGTGACAGCTACTGGCAGTTGGACGGGTGAAGACAAATTGAAAAATTGGCCTATATATTCAATGTTACTTTAGAATTAGCCTCTGCGCATAGGGTATCGTATGACTTAATACCCTTATTATCTGGAAAATGAAGATTTCAGTATGTTAAGAGTTTCTACCCTAATAGTGTATTCCTGAACATAAAGATTCAACTTTAAGTTCCTTCCATTAGGAAAGTACTCCAGTATCTAACTTACCTGAGCTGTATTCCTGTATATGACTCATCTGAGCTTTACTCCTGTTCAGTATATAAAGATTTAATGTGTGGTGTACTCCTGTATATAACTTACCTGAGCTATACTCCTGTATATGACTCATCTGAGCTTTACTCCTGTACAGTATATAAAGATTTAACGTGTGGTGTACTCCTGTATATAACTTACCTGAGCTATACTCCTGTATATGACTCATCTGAGCTTTACTCCTGTACAGTATATAAAGATTTAATGTGTGGTGTACTCCTGTATATAACTTACCTGAGCTATACTCCTGTATATGACTCATCTGAGCTGTACTCCTATACAGTATATAAAGATTTAACATGTAGTTTACACCTGTATATAACTTACCTGAGCTGTATTCCTGTATCTAACTTACCTGAGCTGTATTCCTGTATATAACTTACCTGAGCTGTATTCCTGTATATAACTTACCTGAGCTGTACTCCTGTATCTAACTTACCTGAGCTGTGCTCCTGTATATAACTTACCTGAGCTGTATTCCTGTATATAACTTACCTGAGCTGTATTCCTGTATATAACTTACCTGAGCTGTATTCCTGTATATAACTTACCTGAGCTGTATTCCTGTATATAACTTACCTGAGCTGTATTCCTGTATATAGCTTACCTATGCTGTACTCCTGTATCTAACTTATGTGAGCTGTACTCCTGTATATAACTTACCTGAGCTGTTCTCCTGTATTCAAAGATTTAACTATCTTACTCTTAGAGTGAACTCATGTATTCTTTACAGATTAACTAGTAACTTACCCGAGGTGTGTACTCCTCAAGGAAGGTATAAGGTGATGTGATCACTGCTATACCACCAGGGGAAACCAGGCTCGATAATCTATTTAGGAAGTCAACTGGAGTGTGAAGACGGCAAATAAGATTCGCAGCAAGGACACAACCAAAATGGCCAATATCTAGTGGAAGACGGCATGCATCACCTTGTTGGAATGTCAGTCTATCAGTTTCCTGGAATAAAGGAAGAATAGGTATAAATGAAGAGGTGAAGGATATTGGAATTATCTAAATTTATACCAAAATCTCTGTTTCAAGTTTGGATTTAACTTACTAAAATGTCAGTTAAACCCTGGTTTATGTTGATATCCTTACCCTTTGCATTCGTTTGACTTCACTTCTCAAAAGAGAGCTTCGTCTTCACTCTTTCAAACTAAAATAAACCTGTGAACTCACCGCGCCAATCAGTGTTCGTCGGCCAAATTTGACCGACGTTCTATATATGGTCATTCCTTCTGACGTCATCGTTGAGCTCGAAATTGACCAATGACATGCGCATATTTAATTAGAACGCATTTGGCGTATGTTTCTTCAAGCTCGCTGATTAGTGGAAGAAAGGTCAGCGCGTAGGTCAAAAGTGATTTATTACCCAAACTGTCACCGGTACCTGTCGTGGGGGCGGGGCTACTAAACTGTGATATGGTCTCTACTAGGCAGAGTGTAGTTTAACTAGACTCTGCACGCAGGGTATGATATCCTAGATGTTACATTCATAAAGCAGAGTCTGGTCAAGGTTCGACAGTCTTTACATAAAGCTAGCCTATAGATATATACATACTGTAGTATGTACACATCAGTGTATCAAAAGTCAGTCAACTGGCAAGCTGAAATCAAAATTTATTTAGGTAATGTTAACAAAGGAGGTTTGATTAATGTACCATACTCACAGAATCATAATTCAGCTCCACATAATTGAACCCCTCTAATGTCAATTTTCTTATAATATGCTCATAGCTGATTGAGCATCTGTATTGTCATAAAAATGATGATGATCAAATAATTAAAAATTATACTTACAATACCTGAAGGTACACTGGCAACATGGTTTGTATAAAGCTCCCCTTCTTCCAGCATCTTATACTCGAGCTTTCCTCCTTGTTTAAGATGATTACAAGCATCGATGAAAGACTGACTGTAATCTGATCCTATGACACGGTTGAATGATCTCGCCAACTCAAATGATGACCTTCCTACTGCACATCCTATGTCTAAAGCTGTATTTGGGACACCTTCCTGAAAAACAACAGTTTCAGATTTGTAGACATATTAGTTTGTAGCATACACATCGTCAGAAAAAGTACCAAAAAGAAAGAGCATAATGTATTAAAAAACAAAGTACCCAAAAACAAATAAGACTATAGTCTGAGTCATAAAAGAAAACAAATCTCGAACAAAACCCCTTCTGGACCATCCCTCACCTTCCAGGAGCCATTATCAAAACGAAAAACTGAAATATGAAGGTTGTTCAATAAATACTAATAATAGAAATAGACTTCACTAGGATTTCAAAATACAGCTGGCAGGCCTGCAGGCATAGGTGTTTAAAAGAAAAATAACAAGTGTCTAAAGACAACATAATTTTTGCTGAATCCATTCATGGGACTTTACATCACAGATCTGAACCTAGTGAGAGATATTGTCTAAAGATGCTTATTTCATAACATTGCAAACTGACAGAAAGATATCATGGCAGGGGCATAGCCAGCAAATGTCAAGAGGTGTGATTCTTTAGGATTGAATCACCTTGAGCAATGCAAGCCCAAAAAGGGGTGTACAGGAGTTCACCCCTGGAAATCTTAAAATTATATGGTGTACCCTTCACACCCCCCCCCCCCCCCCAGCTACACGCATGCATGAAGCTTACTTAGTTTGCACAAAGCTAGCTTTGCATATGGTGATATTCCCAGCCCATGTTAAAGGTCTTTTGCAGAAATGTAAGAAATCGTGGGAACACTTACACTACTTCAATCGATTTATAACATTCTAAAGTATCGTTTTTCTAACCATATCTTGCTATCTTAGACTGTATCCTTCGTCTGAATAAATATTCAGACTGTAAGTCACCGATTGTAAAATGTGGTGTTGTATAAATGTTACAAATAAGTTTGTTAAATGATAAAATGATTACCTTATAAAGTACTTACAATATTATTTTTTCGTATATTGTCCTCTTACTGAAGATATTCATAAAATGTACAGACGCTTCTTGTAGCGAAGCCATTGATTAGGTCAAGCCATTTTGGCAATGCCAATTCTCACGATAAACGAGATTTAGCCAGTGACGTCAGTCTATTTGTAAACAAATAACACGTGGAGCGGACGGAAGCGTGTTGATAAATTCCATTTGTGCGGGAATTTATTAGATCTAGTCATTTATTATCATTATCCCGATTAATTTTCTTCATTTATAGTAAATAGAGCGGAAATATTCATGAAGAAGGCCGAGGTAATCAAGTGGTCATGTGTTGTCAAAGTTCAAAATTTGCATATCTCGTTTGGATCTCGTGAACTCAAACGTCCTTGACATTGATTTCGCGATGTACTTATAAACACATCCTGAAGTTTTGGTGAGTCTGAACATTTCATTATTTTATATCAACTTGTACCCGCCTTATACAAATATTTTTGCTTCTAGTTTAAGATGAACATCTCTTCAACATATTCACCAATTTTCAAGGTGAACATTCTTGTAATAAACGAGAAATTTATGTGCAAAAAATATCACCGAGATTTCCACAGGAAATATATGAATCATAACAGACCGAATATTATATTCGGTCTGTTGGATACATACTACTTGCTATCTGGAGTCGGAAGACAGTGTAATTGACGAAAAAATGTATTTGGAACTTGTTATTTTCCATGTCGTCTGACCAGGAAGTCTTGCCAAAGCGCATGCGTGTAACCGGATATTAAACCGATATTTCATGATGTTATACATCGATTGAAGTAGTGTAAGTGTTCCAACGATTTCTTACATTTCTGCAAAATACCTTTAACATGGGCTGGGAATATCCAGTTTTGCATAGCCTGATCTATCTAAAAGATGGCTATGTGCAAATATAGTAACATGAAGCGTTCATCTTGAGATTTCTATGTAAATTGTGAACAAACCTTTGCTTCAAAATATTCCATGCAAAGCTCAGCACATCTTCTTGGGAAATCTACTGAACTCCATGGACCATGTTCATACTTCAGGATTTCTTTGGGAGCGGCATAATGAAAGACTAAATATTCACTGAGTGATTTTTCAGTTTCATAAATGTTCTGTTTTTTTCTAGACGCACTCTGACGGTAACAAAGATATGCTGAAATCGCAGCTGCGCCAGCAGTAAGCCCTAGAGTAGACGCAGCTATAATTTTGTGGTCAATGCCTAGAATTGTCGCCATAACTTATTTGTTCAATTAACCGATGTTTTTAAAAATTTCTCAATTCAATCGCAAGGAGGATTGGCTCCCAGAGTGCACCACCGATATTCTGTCCCATATATGGGTATGTCGTAATACAAAATTCGAATTCAAACAGCCGCCATTTTGTTCACTTCAACATTTAAATCGTGAATTTTGGTCTTATTTCCAAACGAAAAATTCCAAAACTCACAAGAAATGATCGAGATATTGGTTCGAATCTTTTGAACTGTTTATTTTGAATTTATAGTCGGTTTTAATTTCAGAAAATAACGACATTTCGACGTTTTCATTGTTGGAAAATATCGAGTTTCGATCCTGGGAGGAGCCAATCCTCCTTGATTCAATCGGAAGTAACAGAGCGCACGCGTAATTGAAACGAGACTTGACGAGAGTTCAAAACGAGAGTTAAAACGAGATTTCAAAATTTCGTCTGAAAGAAGATGTTTAAGTTCCTTTCAGTAAAAGTTGCCATTGCATCGTGCTGAAAGCAATAGTGGAGCTGCAATGCGTCGAAAAAGAATTATATTCCTTCTATTCATCGCCACATGGGGTTTACTGATCATGCATTACACTACTTTACTCTGGAAAGGTGAAACAAAAAAAGAAGAAAAAAATCAGCAAAAGATTTTGAGGAAACTTTCAAACTTAGAACAACTTTATGAAAAACACTCTCCAGAGGTAAGTTGTTGGATTGCTGAATCAACCACTTTGCTTTCAATGGTATTTCAATTTATAATTATTTTAATGTCATTTGATTAGACTATGGGCTTAGTCATAAGCTCGCTGACTTGGAAGTTCTTTTGCATTCGGCCAGGGCTCTTTTCGTTGAAAAGAAATCGGTGTAAATCTTTTCATGGTATGCGAACCAATATTTGATATTTATATCACAAATGCCATTTAGTACCACTGCCAGATCCAGAAGAAACAAGGGGGTCAAATTTCAAATCTGTGAATGCGGACCGCAGTTTTTAAAAATTTGAGGCCCATTTTTGACAATTTGGCCTAAAAAGTCCCAAAAAGGCCATAAAAAGCCAACTTTTTTTTTCTGGGCCCACCCAAGGGAGGGGCCTATATGCCATCAACTCAAGGCGGTCCCCCAGGGGGTTCACTGCGGCATAGAATTTGGCGGGGATCCTAGGCTCATTGCACCCTCAGATATCAATTTGTTCTCATACGAATCTGTCAAATTTCAATGGGGACGGTCCATATCCATGGCTCTACACTGTACCATCTCTAACGAAATGTGTAAGTAGTAAACTATATATAGCAACAGTTATAAAAGTATCTGTACAGAAACATAAAGAAGGAAATTTTCAAACTAAATTTGGCATACAAAATCATAAGCTTATAGATTTATATAAAGGGGTGAACTCATACTGTATGCGTACAAAGATAATATCATATTTCATATTATTTGTATTATGATCAGTATTGATAAAATAAATATTATGGAGTTATGGTTCAACGGTAAGTATAACACATGGCCACGGATTGACAGGTTTTGAAAAAATAGCAAGAAGTCAAGTCAGATCATCGGTTACATGTAATTATGTAAATTTCTTGTTTCATAAATTACCAAAAAGGCAATGGGCCTAGCACCTTTTTTATTGCTTGAACACGAAGTTTGGTGTGACATTAAAATCGTAAATCTATAGACAGCAATAAAATTCTGCTATTGGCAAAATACTAATACTTGTATAAACACTGTATATGAGAATTAGTCATGCACATAGCTTTCTATCAGTTTCTTTCTTGGAACTGTTTCTATTTGCAAAACAGAAAGATGTAATGAGATGACAAAATGATAGGATCATCTAAGATTTTGATTATTTATTGAAGTATTGTTTATTTGTTATCAGGCATTGATCTGTTTATTTGGTATTTGTGTTTGAAGGATCTAAGATACCATGTCAAGATATCCTCTTTCTATAAACACTGCATTTACAATAATAAATCCCCTATTTAAGTGTTTGGATATTATCAGGCAATGGGCAACATCAGAAGAAAACACAGGTAACAATTAATTAGCTCACAGCTCGGCAAGGCAAGGTAATTCCAGCCAAATCGAACAAAGTATTTCATATAACTGCACTGCATTATATAACCAATAACTCACCCAAGGTCATTTGTTGAATGGTTGTCAAGGTGACAACTTGACTCTACCGATTGCTTTACTATTACTTGACTCTTGCAGAAAGTTTCACTGAAATGGTTGGAAACAGATGTAGAATAGATATACAGAATAGTAATACAGTTTTAAAAAACATTATTAAGAGAATATCTTCTTAAAATGAACCCACCACCTAAGGACATCTAAATCATGAAGGATAAAGTCTATGGTATAACCTGTAGTATATTACTATAGTTTGACTATTTATATTGTGTTCTATTTACTAATCTAGAAGCTGTGTATCCAGTTTTGATTATAATTAGTAAACTGTAAATGGGAGTTGAATAACTACGTATTGTATAGTATTATGTATAATGTGTCAGCCTGTATTACCACAAGGACATAAGACAAAAATAACAGATGCATTCTATTTTGAACAGTAAATGTTGTTAAACCTGGGGACATTGTGGCTAATAAATTATCAATTGTGATTGCCATTGAAAGAATGTAGTTGTGTCAGAATGGCTGTTCCATCTGTCATGTTATCCGATAGGTGTTCATTTTGACTGTTAGGTATTCATTTTACCTAAGAGGTGTTCATTTCACCTGAGAGGTGTTTATTTTACTTGAGAGGTGTTCATTTTACCCGAGAAGTGTTAATTTTACCTGAGGGGTGTTTATTTCAAATGTTAAGTATTTATTTTACCTGAGAGGTATTCATTTTACCTGAGGGGTGTTCATTTTAACTGTTAGGTGTTCTTTTTACCTGGGAGGTGTTCATTCTAGTGTTTTCATAACAAAACAGTTTTAGATGTGTTCAAATACTGCTCAAAAGTTTTATTAAGGATTCATATGATTGTACTAACAAGTACATGTATATGAATACATCCTTGTCTCTTCAACATATACCTAGTATACAGTTTATGATTATGGATAGAGTGCATTAACTTTTCAAGAGCTAACAATTTATACACAATTGTTCATCTTTAAGTAAAATCAGCTGCTCCATTACCTCCTGGGAAATCCTAATTTACAGCCCTGGAAAGCATCAGTAAGTGTGTATTTACCTCAAATTGAACATTTAGTTGGATTAAAGTGGCAAATAAATTATAGGATTACATGTTTTATGTCTGCTTGATTATCTACTAGAGAAACATCATTCCTACATTCTCCTTCATTGAATTTATTGCACACGGAGAGCCACTTCCTTTTCTGTAAAGTCTTGTCATAACACAAATCCGGCTAACTATTCCATAAATGAAAAAATGACTATCATATAAACATACATACGTGTAGCAAGATTTTTTCTTTTATGATTCATTTCATTTTGATTAATTTTCAGAACCATAGTCATTGTTTGTATGGGAGGATTGTTTAGAAAATGCATTACTTAATGAAATGAAGCACTCGTATGATTACAATAAAGAAGATGCTGAAAGGTTTTGTCTCCTCTACTAACAAACTGATATAAAGGATTGATTCGTTTTATTTCCAAGCCAGCACATAAAACAGTTCATTGGTTGCATCTAGAATATGATTAAAACTGGAAATACAATCACCAAGACCTGTGTTAATTAATTAATTTAAAAAGCAACTATTAATTAAAATAGCAACTGCCATTGAGAAGGGTTTTGTATAAATGTAATTACTAATTATAGTTCATTAGGCCTTTAACAAGTTCCTAAAGCTTGATATCTGTTTTCATAGCTCAAATCATGACATAAATCTTGATCGAAACAATGAGGTATGATTGTATTATATTGTATTATATTGTATTGTATTGTATTGTATTGTATTGTTTTATTTTACTTTCACAGAACATTTTTAACCTAGAAAGTAAACAATTTGCGATATGAAAAAATTGTCATTTTGATTAGTGTTTTCCATGAAATAGTTATCTTGAATTTTAATCATTTCTTATGTTTCAGTTATTCCGTCATCTCACAGAACACAATGATGTTATTAAATTTGACATAGAGTCATATATAGCTGAGGGTGTCCATTTCGCTGACCCCTACAAGAAGCATGCCTTTAATGTAGTCGCCAGTGATGCTACGTCCATTCATCGGAACATACCTGACACTAGAAATGAGGGGTATGTATAGAATTAGTTGACTCAAGCTGAGATTAACTTTACAAATAAGAATAATTTATGCATATTATTAATGCAGCTGAAATTATTCTCAATATTAAAGATGTTTCTATTATATAGAGTTAAGTATAATGCAGTCTTGCATCATTTGTTTGCCTTTGTTTCTTAAAAGAGAGCTTTGTCTTCACTCTTTCAACTTACTTTAAATCTCTGAACTCACCGAGCCATTCTGAGTTCGTCGTCGAAGTATGGTCAACTTTCTATGTATGGTAATATCCTCTGACATTATCACAAAGTTAATAAGCAAGCATTTAGGATGTGTTCCTTTTAGCTCGCTAATTGGTTAAGAAAAGATTAGTGTGGTATGTTGTAGGTTTGAAATGATTTATGACCCAGGCTGTCATGGGCATAGGCCGTGGGAGCGGGATTACCAAACTGTAATATAGTCTACACTAGGCAGAGGGTAGTTTATAACTAGACTCTGTGAGCAGGGTACTTGGAAGCTTCCCCTTATAGTGATAATCACTTATAATATTGGTGTTGAAAGTAACTCATATAGGTTTTATGCGTCCAGTAATCAATTGTTATAATACACTTGTCCTTTTATCTGTGTTTATATGAGGTCATTTCTCGTAATCCTAATGTGATCAAGTACTATCAGAATTGTTAAAACTGGGATGGAAATCACCTCCACATCATGTTCTCATGCATATTTCATAACTTGTTCATCCTATTCAAACATGTAATGTTACCATTATTATGACCAGGTATTACTCTTAAACTGTGTTCTTTATGAAGAAGTTATTTACTTGTATAAATAATGAATAGTGTGTTAATGAATGGGACGTGATTACGATCTTAATATCTCTCAAGATATTCATCTATACACTTTCCCAATAGAAACATACGACTCTCCCGATGCAATGGTTTATTAATGTATTTAAACTACTGAGTGACATGAAATCGTGAAGTAAAATAAAAACTCAAATTGATCTGTTTAAGAAGATGTGAAGAGAATGAACATGAATTAATTAGTTAGATTATCTCATATTTATTAAAATAAGTCCATCAATCTGTTGATTAGATGAGCATAGCTATTTGTATCCTGAATGATGTCTTGTGTATCCTCATGCAATCTGATGATGATTTGTCCCGTTACCGTTGTCAGATTTCATTGTTTCGAGACAGTACAAATATCACAAATATCTTAGTTACTGGATATAAAATTAATCAATTAAAGTATAAATTTGATGCCATTGGACCACAAACTAAACCAGTGATCTCCCTAGCATTAAAGCAAGTGGGTGCAGCACCCACCTGAGATTTTGAAAATAGGCTAGCACCCACCTTAAAATCTGTTTGCACCCACTTGAAATGAAAATGATAAAAATAATGAAAAATAAAGTTTTGTTTTCAGCACTGTTTTAAGCAGCTATAGCGAACATAATTACAACCAATTTAGTCGTTTTCACAGGGTAATATAACACTTTACAAACCTGCATTAAATACCTAAAAAAGTTCAGAGTTTGGCATTCAGTATCTGTAACAAATGGCAGGTGGTAAAATTTTGAATGTCAGTGCCTTGTCTTTAACCTGCTTTTGTTTCAAATCAAAATATTGAATCTTAAAAGTATACTGTAAACCATAGACACTGATTAATAGCTAATTAACCAATATATCTAATATTTTTGTTATTGTGTCGCAAATGTGCCATGATAATATGGGATTATTGCTCAGTTTATGAGCCCCTGTGGCCCCATAATAAATATTTTATTATGTAGTCTTCCTTTAATAAATCAGTGAGGCAGTCAGCTCCTATCCCACGGTGCGGTAGCCAAACTGCTTGCCTACTATGCACGCAGTTTGAAAGACTGACAAACTGCGCGCCTATCAACATTGCATCATAAAAGTTGGAGTCTGTGTTTTCAAACGTCATTTTAAGACATTTATTCTGAATTGTTTTATAGTTCAACACGTCCATTCGGTGGCGATTATATGATTCAACCATGTGATAGCGAAATGCATGTCCAGATGAACGTAGGTTTAAAAATATAAGCAGATTAATACAAAAAATTGACATCGATTTTTCGATCACCGATACATAAGTTGATATCGCACGTTTCACAGAAATATAAAACACTTGGGTTTTGATTCACAGGTACATCTCAACCCAGTTTTCCCGTACAATACAAAATATTTCGTCTTAAAATAGATGAACATGACAGAAAGAAGTAATAAAACACAAACTGCGCGCCTATTTTAGCCAGAAATCACAAACTGCGTGCCTACTCTTCCAAACTGCGTGCATATTATCGATGACTTCTCAGTAATGCAGGCCTATGTGATTTCATGGGAGTACGTAAGTAAGTTGAAAAGGTAGAGATTGAAAAGGTTAAAAAAAATCAAAAACTAAAATTGGGTTGATGGTTGACAACCAGTGGAAATGTACATATTTATATTTTATTTTGTTCTTGTCTATGATTTAATAAAAAATTGATGCAATAATTCGACTTCATCATATAGAGTTGAGTTCAAAAATCTCATGAAAATGGTTTTGTTCTATTGGGGTCCTACTAAAAGACACCCAGGTGGCCCCCGCCTAGTCCCCATCGAAGTGCCGAAGTGCTTATTTTACTACTTTATTTCAAACTAACATGGTGCATGATGCATGGTGCAACATAAATACAATTCGTTCATAAAAATTGTGTAAATATATATTGAATCCTTTTTATGTCCCCACCACATAGTGTGGGGCCATATTGTCGTCCTAGGCGCGTCCGTCCGTCCGTCCATCCGTCTGTCTGTCTGTCTGGTTGTCTGTCTGTCCGTCCGTACGTCCGGCAGTTTTCTCCAAAACCGCTACAGGTATCACCTTCTAATTTTCAGGAATAACTTATGAGTGCCTATAGATGTGGATGAAAAAAATTTAACTCGAAACCTACTTCCTGTCGGCCATTTTGAAGTTTAACATCTTGTTCAGCTCACTTCATTCTAGATCTGATTAGGTTTTGGACCTGCTAGCTCAATCATGTCAGCCATTTTGAATGTCTTAAGAAAAGTTAGCGCGCGATAATACTTTGTATCATATTCAATGGTGTTTTTGAGTTTTCATACTTTAACTATTTAGTAGCTTTATAAATAATTTCAGATGTACTTTGCTGTAAAAGCCTACTTTATTGTTAACAGTAGTTATATGTGATAATTTTGTAAAAAGAAATCAGCAAAAACTCATAAGGACTTTTTTATTGACGGCCATTTTGGATTTTTCGGTCCTAAAATCTTGTCTGTGAAGTCTTGTCTGCGCGTTTTCAGGTGAACCGTTTGGTGGATCAATTTCAAATTTTCAGGGATGATTCTTAGTATAAAAATCTATATCTCATTAGTTTTTTGGCATTCTGGGTAAATGTCAAGGCAGCCATTTTGGATTTTCCGTCCTAAAATCTTGTCTGTAAAGTCTTGTCTACTCGTTTTCAGGTGAACTGTTTGGTAGATCAATTTCAAATTTTCAGGAATGATTCTTAGTATGAAAATCTAGAATTCATTAGTTTTTTTGCATTCTGGGTAAATGTCAAGGCAGCCATTTTGGATTTTCCGTCTTAAAATCTTGCCTGTAAAGTCTTGTCTACGGTTTTTAGGTGAACGGTTTGGTAGATCAATTTCAAATTTTCAGGGATGATTCTTTGTATGAAAATCTACATCTGATTACTTTTTTTGCATTCTGCGTAAATGTTAAGGCAGCCATTTTGGATTTTCTGTCCTAAAATCTTGTCTTTAAAGTCTTGTCTACCCGTTTTCAGGTGAACCGTTTGGTAGATCAATTTCATATTTTCAGGGATGATTCTTAGTATGGAAATCTACTAACAGATTAGTTTTTTGATATTCTTGGTAAATGTCAAGGCAGCCATTTTGGATTTTCCATCCTGAAATCTTGTCTGTAAAGTCTTCTTTACATGTTTTCTGGTTAACTGTGTACAAATTTTCAGGGGTGGTTCTTAGTATGAAAATCTAGAACTGACTTAATTTTGGGCATTCTGGGTAAATTTTAAGGTGGCCACTTTGGATTTTCCGTCCTCAAATTGTGTTGGTAAAGTCTTGTCTACTCATTTTCAGGATAACCATTTCATGGGATCACCACTTGGTGGGGACATTTTGTACACATTTGTGTTCTTGTTTATTTATATTTTTGATTGATGCAGTCCAAAAAGCCATTTCTTAGAATTCAATGAATTCCTCATTATAAAATGCTACAAAAATTCAAAGTTTTAGCAAAATAAGTAAGAAAAAGATATTTACAACAATCTCACTCTTTCGACTTGAAACTTATTACCCATGTTACCATAAATAAGTGACCATGCATGCATGACGAGCAAAAATTCAGAAATTCAAAACTTTTTCACTTAAACCTTTGAATTTTTGGGGATACAATAGTTCCGAGTCTATTTTATAGCATATGCCAAAGGAAGTAATACTTGAATGTCCCGACTGCAGTACATAGTATACGAGCCTGATAAATCCAAAGAAATTGAGGAAGGGTTGACACAATGTACTATTTCTTTTAAGGTTTGAGAGGACATCGGGCAAGAGGTTTTCACAGTCTTTTAATGGTTTTTCAAATGAGTCACTGGTACCTTTAAATAATCGCCTCTTTGGTTTCTTGATTGGTTTCCTTTTCTTCATTGGTGCGTTTTAAAATAACATCTTGTTTAATTCTGAAGGGGGTGTCATGGTTTTTGAAGATGCGCCATTGTTATCTACATTTTGCTAGGGTCAGACTTTGGTTTCTTTTTATATAGGGACAGGCTTAGTGAGTGGCGTTTACGTTTTCTGAAAATACACAACAAACTTGCACACAGCTTGCAAATTAGGCGCGCAGTTTGTAAATATAGGCGCGCAGTTTGTAAATATTAGGCACGCAGTTTGTGAAATCCACGTGAAAGTATGCACGCAGTTTGACAGCGAAAAAAAATAAAATCACGTTAATGGCTTGTCACTGTTTAACAAACAAACTATATTACTTAAACCATGTGCAGCAATCCTATATCTTTCAGAATATGCAAACACAAGGGCTGGAATAAACGTCAAACTACGAAAAACAGACATTATATGACGCAACACTGTATAATTTTAACACGAAAGCTCCTTGGGAACCTTATTTTGAGATAACTAGATATGCATCAGGAAAAAATCGAGTGCTACGTATAAACTAAGTTAGTCTCCACATCTTGGTACTGTCTGAAAACCAAAACTAGCCTTGTATTTCCAGTAATTTCCATCCTCTTGGGAGTCGTGTCCTCCCTGTCTGTCATTTTGTGAATAGGCGCGCAGTTTGTCAGTGTTCCAAACTGCGTACATAGTAGGCGCGCAGTTTGCCTACCGCTCCGTGTATCCATTATCAAATGATTGTATGATCATGATATATGTTCATAAAATAAGAAAACTAACCATGTTTATTTTAAGGGTGAAGAGAATAGTTAAATATTTAGGAGCAACTAGGTTTGAGGTAATTTTTTGAATGGAAAAAGGATATTTGAGCGGATCACATATATTGACCATTGACTGCCCAACAGACAAGATGAGAGTAGAAATAATCTTGATTTACAACATTAGATATTCAAAATCTACATGTAAAAGTACATCTTGAAGTATAATTTCGAAAATATTTATCAGCTTTGAAAATTTAATTTTTTTGAAAATGTGACTTCTAGTGCAGGGAAATTCCTCATAGACCCCATGTTAAAAAATCACAAAAGTAGAAATATCTTTTCTTGCAGATAGTAAAGGGAACTTTCTACTATACCCGCCATGGTATCTAACCCAAACGAGCAACCTGGTGGTGAAACTGGTAACTACCTACTCGCATCTGAGTAATTGCACACTGATTTCAATTATTTTTTCCCACTTCTCCTTTAATGATCAAATTCAGCATTTTTGCATCATTTTGATATGATATGATAAATATATCACAAAAAACAAACAAGATATCATTTACATAACACTGACACACATTTGTTCAATTCAGTCAAAACCTGACATATCTAAAACCAGAATATCCCAATTTATTTTTACTTCTGGTATACTTTGTGTGTATTAGGGGATAATTTGGCTAAATATTCGGTATATGAGATATTGCTATTTGTTTGAGCCCTAGTGGTGTCCACATCTGTTAAATAGCACATTTCCTATATATTCTATTATTACACCATGGTTAGGTAGATATTTTTTACAATGGCATATATACTTGCCTTGTTGCAAATGAAGAGATGTTTTATTGAATATCGATTTTAAGTCGATTTTAATTTAGCATCAGGCAACCCCCCGCCAAAAATTCTTTCAAAATCATGCATTTTTTACCATTTTGAGCACTTCTTAAGTAATTTTAGCCATATTTTGGCCTAAATTTACCCTTTGCATTCGTTTGACTTCACTTCTTAAAAGAGAGCTTCGTCTTCACTCTTTCAAACTAAAATAAACCTGTGAACTCACCGCGCCAATCAGTGTTCGTCGTCCAAATTTGACCGACGTTCTATATATGGTCATTCCTTCTGACGTCATCGTTGAGCCCGGATTGACCAATGACATGCGCATACATTTAATTAGCATTTGGTGTATGTTTCTTCAAGCTCGCTGATTGATGAAAGAAAGGTCAGCGCGTAGGTCAGAAGTGATTTGTTACCCAAACTGTCACCGGTACCCGTCGTGGGGGCGGGGATACTAAACTGTAATATGGTCTCTACTAGGCAGAGTGTAGTTTAACTAGACTCTGCGCGCAGGGTAGCCTAAATTGTCAAATGTGAACCCCCTTGGAAATTTTTGAAAACTGAACCCCCCTTGGCAAATCCTGGCTACGGGCCTGTATAACATATAAGTCTGAATCTTCACAAGAGTTCTATTAAGCATCTCCAGAAATATTATTTTGTCGGTCCTCAGAAATATTCAGACTTATTATTAAAAGAAAGCATTAGTGGCATCTTAATTAATACCAGATTATTGTTATGTTAAAAATATTAAATATTCATTAATTCATATCTTGACATCACCCACATTTCAACCACATTTTACCACTCCATCAGCTTGATAGAAAATGTTTAATTCATTCTAGATATTATTGTCATAACCATCATAAATAATCATAAAAGTCGCGGATAAAAAAGGATAAGTGACTTCTAAATGCAAGTATCTGCAAGTGCTTAATTGAATATTCTACCTTAATTGGAGCATTCAAATGTTGTCAATTATAGTTTTACATTTTTTCTATAGATATTATCATGTAAATTCTGAATATTCTAGGTATAGCACAGAATGTTTGGTATCTAAATTAGTCCTCTATTTTTAGTTTAAACCAATATGGTTACTAAATAGATTTTTGGTAGTCACTTTTGTGCATGGGTTTGAATTTGCCAAAAAATTTAAAGTAAAAAATATACATCGATTTTATGCTATTATTGGCTTAAAGGGCACATATTGGGTAACATTTGAAAAACTGTCAAAAATCTAACTCATAAATAGACAACACTAAAACCTAAAAGAGTTGGTTTACCTTTCAATGTTTAAAGCAGATCTGTTGTGTTTTAAACACTACCTCCAGACTTAATTTTGTTATCAAAACTTAGGATTAATATGCATAATATTTGTCCCAGACAAAATCGATTTATATTATAATTGATATGACACATTTAGCCTTAACCCAGGATACTAGGCTGCAGTTGTATAATTTACCAATTTATTTGTTATTTATGCAGCAGATTATTTCTTTCAAACAATTAAGAAATCAAGCTGTAATCATAACTTTGATCATTTTTTTTTTGATAAAAATTGTGTGTATTGTACACTGATTGAGTCAGACGATTTTCTTATTTACCACCTACCTACATTCAATTACCATTAGTGATTACTTTTAGTGTTAATTTTCACATTTATACAAGACATCACTTAGCATAATCAGAAAACTCATGTAATAATAGAAGATATATGTGAATTTGATTGATCCATGAGTTTGCATGCCAAACTGCTTTAATTAAACCCAAAGTAGTGTTTATGCCAATATGTTTGACATTTCTCATCTGTCAATAAATGTTAAGATTTAGTTTCTCTGATTATAGAAACAATCTCTTAATTAGCTTGAGGGTACATTGGCCCCATTCATCATCTAAGACACTTCCAGGAAGTATAAGTAGCAATTAAAATGATTATAACAGTTTATAGAACAACTTGCAGTTTGTTACTTAGGGAGCACTTCTACATGTGAAGATATTTCAAGTAATAAATAATATGGTACCATGTTATGGTACTAAAAGGGTTGATCTTGGAATCTATATTGAATCAACTATCCATATTTTCAATTACTAGTCTGTAATACCCTTTTATATATAAAATAAAGAAATGATTTTGATTTGATCAAAAAACACTGCTCATTTTATGTCACTTACTACAACAAATGGTTACATATTGTTATAGTCTTCAACTTTTGTGGATGGTGGTCAGCGTGGGCAGTGTCTGTAACAAATGGCAGGTGATCACATTTTGCATGTTAATGCTTTGTTTTGCTTAAAGTTGTACCTATATTTTATACATGTATACAATTTTAGAAAATTATTTAAAATATCATTTTTAAATATAATCAAAACAACACAAGCGTAAGTGATTTAATCATTTCTGTATACTGTTTCCAGGTGCCAGGACCTAGAGTATGACGGTGACCTCCCAAGTACAAGCATCATCATAACCTTCCATAATGAGGCCAGGTCTGCCCTCCTACGCACAGTCATTAGGTATTCTACTTTTTCTTATCAGGCTTGATTTGTCCACTGAGTTCCTTCATTGGGGAATAAGAGTGCAGGAGGGAGAGGGGGGGGGGTAAGAACATTTAAAGCAAATGTGGAATTCTCTATCAATTTACACAGTGCTAATTTTCCAGATCCTTATTATGCCTGTTTGAGACAAAATATCTCAATATTTCATAATTTTGATAAATTTTCAGTTTATTCTATTCAACTTGAATATATTCCTGGGAATTGTAATGTGGGGTAATCACTATTTACATTGTTTCAAGAAAACAACATACATGATTTTTTCTGGATTTACCTCTTATGTTTTCTGATCTCTTGGAATGGTACTTTTCTAAAACTGCTTAGTGCTTTGGTGCTGAAAGATGAGAGTGCAAATGTCTGTGCTTTGGGGTCATACTGGAATATATGGTACACAGTTTTTTGACAGTTTTAGGGGTCATATAGACTTAAGATAGGACTGATAGAACACTTCATCTAACTCTCCAGTATGGAATACCAGTACATTCATATGCATGTCTGTAAAGGTTCATATGATGAGCATGCACATACAGTAATAGAAGAGCTCTCTTGATTAGCGAGCAGCTGACTTCAGGGCCATTGAATGCTGTGGTTCAACAGGAACTCAATCAGATACTTCAACAGGGAGTAAGTCATCGCCCTCCTTCATAGCATGTAATCAGTATCACTGGTGGATATTAAGCGAAGGTAACTGCCGTCACCTTCGCATTCAAGATTTTTTTTATTCACAAATATAAAACAATTGTACAATAACAATAAATTGTGTATAAGCAGCATTCACAAAAATTGCTTTACAAAAATATTGATAAAGATAAATGTTTTTTTTCAAAAGTTCTTGATGATGTTAACGTTTTCAATCCATACAGACAAATTGTACTCCTTTTTATTTATGAGTTAAATAAGCAGGAATATTATTGTGAATTTCTTGAAAGTTGTTCGAATGTCAAATAGTTTCCAACTGTTATTGTCTTCTGAAAATTTACACCAGTTGTTATATATTGTGATACCTAAAATTGATATAATGACATTTCTGAAGTTGGTGATGTTATTTCCAGATAAAAATCCTATAACAATATGTTTATATATGATTTCACATTTAAATTGTATACCTAATTCTTGCCATGTATGTTTTACTTTTTTACATTCATATAACATATGTTTCATATCGTGAGTTTTATTGCAGATAAGACACATGCTTGAAACATTTTTGTTCCATTTTGACACTGTGCTTCCTTTCACATGCCAGTATATTATGGATGGTTTTGAAATTAAATTCAGAGAAATACTTGTATGTCATGACTTTTACCTTTTGCTGATAAATGTCTTCCCAGATTCTTCGCATTCAAGGTTGTGGAGAATATTGCATCATTTCAAATATAAAGTGGTTTAATTCAATGAAAACTGAAATTTTTGAAATCGACAATATTCGTCCGCCATCTTGAATGCGAAGGTGATGGCAGTTACCTTCGCTTGGTATCCACCAGTGAGTATATAAAACATACAGAGGGGATGACTGAATCAAGTGCTTCTTTCATCATACAAGGCCATAGGCTTAATCCTAGATGCTTTTGCTATAGCTCTTATAAGATTTTCTTCTAGGCCAGGCCCGTAGCCTGAGGGGGGGGGTAGAAAGTTTGAACCCCTCCCCTTGGCCAAAAATTCTTTCAAAATGCAGTTTTCACAATTCCTAGCAATTTTCAAGTGATTTGGGGTCAAAATTATGTGAACCCTGCCCCCTGGAATTTTGTGAAAAAGTGACCCCCCTTGGCACAACCTGGCTATGGGCCAGTAGGCTCTACTGTATATAGTGAGTTGTACTGTATTGTCTGAGCTTGTCTGAGATTAATTGTTTTTGTCAGACTTCACAACCATGTGCTGCCACATTAACCTTAACATCAGTTACATCACCTGTGAAAGATGTGTCAGAAACAAGACTCCTATGCAGATGGGCCTTTTGGCTTTCCAATTAATCAAACTTAAGGCTTCTCTGTAAGAACTATTTATACCTGGATGCATGGAATACTCATATATATATATGGGAAAACATGTACCGATTTGTACTCTTTATATTCACACTTTTAAAAAAGGGATGGGGCCTTTAAGCATTTAGTCCCCCTCCACCTACCATCCACACTATCAGTCTCTATCAGCTACAAATATTATCACTCATATAGCTCATAATGATTCATTCATATGGTGAAAACAAACTAGAGTATAATCATCATGGCCTAGTAATATAAGCTTGATAACTGTCTGCTAACTCTAATTGATGACTTCTTAAGTCTCATAAAAATTTTCTATATGACCTGAATCAATGAAAATAATCCCAATTTTCTGTTTGTATAAAGTACTGGAATAGTTTGTAATTCTATTATTAGTCTCTTCGGTTGATATATTGTTGTATTATGATTAATGCTTTGACAGAGGATATTTAGTTAATGACAATATACAGGGTGGGCCAAAAAAACGCCACTTTTTTTTCAAGACACTATAACTTTTTTATTTTCCAACCTACATACCCCAAATTTTGCAGTTATATAGTGCCAAGGGTTCTTAGTAATAATATAATGTAACAAGTCCTTCAACTGGGATTATATTTGATCTAAAAAGAGGAGTTCAATTGGTCCGCTACCCCATTTGATGATAGATTTTAGTTTTAGTCGCCTTGCTGATATAGCAGTATCAATGACATGTTAGCTATATTTTTTTCAATGTGTCTTAATTGCCAGCTTTAGTTAAGCAATATTTTAGATCAGGTGCCTTCATACCATCTCCTGGAGACCTCCCCATACCCTATACTCACTTGGGCTTGAATTAGGGCTATTAGCTTGCGGTCATCAAGGCATATCAGTTTAGGAACATTATGCAAATTATGCTTATTTCTCATGGCACTCCACATGTTTAAGTGAGACGCTGGTGACATATTTTATTCAAGTAAAAGTGTATAATTCATGATCAATGGCTAGATAACAACCTCAAGTCTCATTTGGTATGTAAATTATGATTTTGTATCAAAAATTAAAAAAGTTATAGCATTTTCAAAAAAAGTGGCGTTTTTTTGGCCCACCCTGTATATGCAAATTGCTCTTACAGACAGTTAACATCAGCACTAGATAGTGACAATATATCACCCTGTAGCTGTAGAAAAAGTGTTTTAAAAAGATTTTTGTCTTCGGCAATATGTAGATATTTGTGAGCCTTGGTGCAATAAGAATTTTTGACACTGTTGAATTCCTCGATCCTATTTATTTTGAATTATCAGATGGTACTCTTTATATTAAAAAGTTAGTAGTACTGCCTATCGGAGAATTGTACATTTTTCTCTACTATTCCTTAAGTTTGTAGTGCTTGTAATGTTACATTTGCTATCTTTGATCTCTGATTTTAATTTATCAGACCAAATTTGTGTTTTGTATATAAACAAAATAATCATGTTTCACAATAAAGCAATATTTCACTGAAGCATTGGATTTATTAGATAATGCAGCGACCTTTACAATCTATTTCACCCTGTTATTTCTAATTAGACTGATTCATGACATTTTAGATATATTCTATCCATCAGAGACATCCCTTTCAGTTTGCAGGAAATTTAATTCTGTAGAACAATTGTATAAAGAAGTTACACTTCATGATTCTAATTGCAAATGTTCTCTCTTCTGCCATGCAGTTCTTAATTACTCCTTGCAAAAGTGTGACTTTGGATGATTCAAAGAGTGCTACATTTTGATACAGATATATCTTACAGCTAGGCTCTGGGTTTAGGGTAACCAGTTTCTGTTTTGTGCTGCTTTTTCTGCACTGATATGGTCATTTTCAAATCCACATATGCTTGAGTGCAGCACTTCAGTGACTGTGAGATCACTGCCATCTTCAGAGATAAAGATAAACATGATGAGCGTAATTTCATTCATGTGATATGATAGTTGTTGAAAGATCAAGGTTTATTACACCCTAGATATGTTCAGTCATCAGGAGATCTTGTAAACTCATCCATGCAGAATCTCTATCTTCATCTCTCTTCTTCAAAAGAATATTTATATTTAGAAACTCTGTAAAAAGAGCATTCTTGAATCTCAATATATTGCGTGCTAGATTATTTTCAATCAGGCACATCTTAACAGGCACATCTTTTTATGTAACTATTTATTGAAAATGAAATAAAAAAATAATTGAAATCATAAATAATTCTGATAATTTAGGGTTCCAGACTGAAACATTTTGCATTGTTTGGTACATTTGGTTTTATAGTTGATTAAGTGCCAATATTGAATAACTTAGCAAAACAGACTCAATAAGTTGAAGGAAAAACAAACCTATACTGCTTGTTCAAAAAAGTGTGGAGAAAGTATAACTTCATTATATTTATAAATGTACATTTTTAGGGAAATACAGGAAACCTGCTTGTCATACTTGATATATTTGAGAGAGGAAATATCTACATGTATTGACTAATATGTCAGGTCATGACATCTAAAGAGTCAATAAAAGATATATATATATTTATCAAATGTCATTCTGAACTATATACACGTTACTTCCTGCGAAAGCTATTTGGATTTTGATATAATAGCTTTCCCACGGAGCATTTGGACAGCTCAATGATCGTGACCTTTGAAATCGAATTAAGTCGATCCGCGGCTTACTTTTGGTCTCTAACTGTGTCTTACATCAGTATCATCAATCCGTGTAAGTATTGGAGCACTGGAGTACTTCTTTTTCGATCAAGACTTGTAATTGTTAGTCGAGGGAATTGTTTTACTGCCAAATTCCAATATGGCGGTTTCTGCTCGGACATTTTCGTAAATCTCCGGAGGTTGTCCGAACCTAACTAATTCTCAAAATTCATTTCGTTCGTTGCGTATCTCGCACCTAGCAAACCGCCATATTGGAAATAGGTCTGTAAAACTTTAAAAATATATTTCTTAGAGTTTCCAACCAATTAAATTCACCACATTTTATTA